AATAATGGCCTCACATCAGCTTTCTCAGCACTCCTCAACAGGCAAAGGGTTGAGTGTCAGTGAGCAGCAGTAAAAGCACAGCCAAATGATCCCCCTGTTTTGTAAACTTTGAGAGTTTATGGGCTCTGACTGAGGTGGATCCTGCTCAGAGGGAGATAACTGGGTTGCAGCCTACTGTGGTCCAGGAGAGCTCAGAGGGGGACTCTCTCTTGGGACTGCTGTTTATAGGGTCGTAAGATGATGGGCTTTAATCAGTGTAAATTTTCATCCTGGGATCACATGTTTGCTGGGGAATAATTTACCATCTCAAAAGAACTCCTGATATGATAAGGGAGTATCCAGGTTTTCTTGTTATCTGTATGGCGCTTCCCTTAGGCAATTAGAATTCCTGATACGTCCAGGAAGCACCCATCCATCCAACTCCTGCCATCTGTCCAAAGGCTGGGGCCTAACAAGAATTCTTGTGGAAGCAGAGTGGTACAGAAGAGAGAGGCAGGGATGCACCACCACATAGGGCAAGGGGCAGTGGGTTCAAACTTAAACGGGAGATTTAGGTTGTATGTAAGGAAGAAATTCTTTACTGTGGTAAGGCACTGGAACAGGCTGCCCAAAGAAGTGTGAATGCCTCATTCCTGGCAGTGTTCAAGGCCAGGTTGGACAGGGCTTGGAGTAACCTGCTGTAGTGTAAGGCATCCCTGCCTGTGTCAAGGGGTTGGAACTGGATGATCCTAAAACCCTTTCCAACCCAAACCGTTCTATGATTTAGAGCTGGAACATGTGGCTGAGTGAGGAGTAAACCCCTAGCGACTTCTGGTAATTATTTTTGCAGACTTTTGGAACCAGTTGTGATGATACCACAGAGTGCTGTGATTATTGATGAGTAGTCCACTAGGAATTTAGTGTTACATATATAAAATGTAGACCTGTGACTCCATTTTTCTAGAGCATGGGTGGTTTTACAGTGAAGGCTAGGCATTATTCCATTGTATCTGGGCGTGTGTGAGAGAGAAGGGTGGGTGATGTACCTAACCAGAATATCTGTTTTCAATTTTGCATGCAGAAAAGGGCATGGTTAGGGAGAAGGAACTGATAGAAGCAGAAATTGATTTCAGCATTGTAATGGTTTGCTTCTGTACCCTGTTGTTAAAGCCAAAGTTGGGATTCAAGTTCTTTCTAACTGGGCAGTTGCTGTAGCTGAAAATGCTATTAAGAAAATGAAGATAAACCAGGTAGCTATAAATGTTTGTTTCGCACTGGGGGCTCCTGCAGTACATCTCTTTGGTGGTCCAGTAAGTACAGAGGGAAGATGAGAGCAGGGTGGGGCTAGCAGGGGAGTTGAATATGCTCAGCTTTTTAAATAGCGGCCTGATAAGAAGAGGTCATAGAATCACAGAATGGTTTATGTTGGAAGGGACTTTAAAGCTCATCTAGTTCCGGCCCCCTGCCACAGACAGGGGCACCTCCCACTACACCAGGTTGCTCCAAGCCTCATGCTGCTTGGCCTTGAACACTGCCAGGGATGGAGCTGCCCCAGCTTCTCTGGGAAAAGTGTGCCAGGGCCTTACCATCCTCACAGTGAAGGATTTATTCGTAATATCTAATCTAAATCTACCCTCTTCCAGTTTAAAGCCATTACCCCCTCCTTTGATTACTACACTCTATGATGAAGAGTCCCTCCCCACCTTTCTTGTCTGCCACTTCAGGTACCAGAAGGCTGTTCTAAGGTCTCTCTGAATCCTTCTCTCCTCTGGGCTAATCACCCAGTCACTACAGGCTTACAGGGACATAGTAGCATGTTGAGAGTCAGCTGGAGAGTTCATTTGGCTTGGTAGCTCTGTGGGGGCTGGAGGTGTTAGAGGCGTAGGGGGCTGAATCTTCATTTTATCCTTATCTTAGCAGCTTGACAATGATATCCATCTGAAAGGAGAGCTGCAAGGTAGTGTTTCTTGTAGATTAGGTGCTCAGTGACATGGTTTAGAGGAGGACTTGGCAGTGCTGGGTGAATAAGTTTGGACTTGATGATTGTAAAGGTCTTTTCCAGCCTGGTTGATTCTATGATTCTGTGGTTCATACTGAGTTGCACAAGTCATAGATTAAAATTGTGATGAAGTTGTTTTGTTTTTTTTTTTTTTTTGAATTTAGCTAAGGAGAGGTGTTTGAATGTGATGTTCAGATTTCAGTCTGACCAGTGTCACCCTGGCTTCAGACATTAGTGGTGCAAGACAGGAGCCCAGGAAGCAGTGGTCCTGCAGCAGGGTTGTGTCCTGCAGCAGGGTTGTGTCCGTCTTGCAGCCTAAGCTGTTTAATGTGTTTTTAAATGACCTGGAGGAGATGAGAAGGGGATTTTTTTTCCATAACATTTATAGATGACATATAGATGTTACGTGTTTTTCTTAACATTTATAGCAGAGCAGACACTACATTGGAGGGCAGGGCTGCCATCCCAAGTTACCTAGACTGGCTGGACCATACCTCATGATATACAGTCAGGACATACACACAGTCTTTCCCCTACAGCAGACTAAAGCTATAGACCAAGACCAAGGATTGCCTACGTGGGGAGCAGCTCTGTGGGAGGCTGTGGTGTTCCTTGGGTTACTTTAGGCAAAATGTCAACATCTTTAAGGCCAGCAGCATCCTGGGCTGCAGGAGCACAGCTAGGGGAAATCATTATATCCTTCTGCTTGCCTCTTGTTACACCATATCCACACTCCTTGCCCAGGTTTTGGTGCCCCACAATGCCAGAGGTACATTGGCAAGTGACAGAAATTCAGCGTAGGGCCACAGAGAGGGTTTGCGTTGGAGCGCTTCCCCTCTTAGCAGGGGCTGAGGGAGCTGGGCTTGTTCAGCCTAGACGATGGAGGGCTTTGCAGGGAGGATGTAACAGACTTGTATTGCCTATGGTGAGGTTTCCATGACACTGGTGCAAGACGGGAGCACTGTATGTGGCAATGGCCTTAAACATTGGGGTCAGGCTTAGTAGAAAGAGCAGCTTTTGCTATAATGTGAATCAGACCTGGGAAGCTGTTTCCCGAGGCGTGTGTACTGCCTGGGATGGAAGTTTTTCAGAATGTCCTGGGTTCAGATGTAACAGTAATTTTTCTCCTTAGTATCTCTCTGGTGCAGTGCTGTGTTTTCAAGTTTAGTCTGAGAACAGTGCTGATAACACACCAATGGTTTAGTTGTTACTAAATAATGCTTAGTCCAGTCAAGGACTTCAGTCTCATGCTCTCTGCCAGTGAGGAGGGGCACGGGAAGCCAGGAGGGAGCAGGGACAGGACACCTTACCCAAAGTAGCCAAAGAGGTATTCCATACCACAGCACATCATGCCCCTGAAGGGCATATGGCTGCTTGGGTCAGGCTGGGTATAGGTCAGCGGGTGGTGAGCAATTGTATTGTGCATCACTTGTGTTTGTTGTTGTTGGTTTGTTGTCTTTTTTTTTTCTTTTCCCTTTTTAGTTTTATATTTTCTCCCCTTGTTATTTCCCTTATCATTATTACTGGTGGTAGCAGCAGTAGTTTTGTTTTGCATTGTACTTTAGTTACTGGGCTGTTATCTCAACCTGTGGGGTTTACATGCTTTCAGTTCTCCTCCCCATCCCTCCAGGAGCAGGGGGGAGAAAGTCGGGGAATGGTGAGTCAGTGGTGGCATGGTTCTGAGTTACCAGCTGGGCTTGAACCATGACATAAACCCATCTGGATAAAACTGTGAGCAACCTGGTATGACTTTGCTTTGAATTGGATGTTCTAGAGATACCAAGCAGGTTCCCTCCCAGCCTGAGTTAATCTTTCATTCCTTACCCTTCATGTCATATCCTCAACATTATGGAAATCACTCGGGTTCCACTGGGCTGTGAAAATACTCCACATTGGGTACAGGGCTGAATCACAGGCACCCTAGCCAGCCCCAGTGATATCCTTTACCTCACCTTTCACTTACTGGTTAAATTTTATTTTAATAAATAAATTAATAATTTATTTAAGTATTTGACTTGCACTATAAAAGTTGCTGGTTTTAACAGAAAGTAGATATTTTTTCTTAACTCTTGTTTAAAGCTGAGGGCTTTACGTATCTTTTGTTGTGCCAAATAAAGTTTTCGATTCCTGTGCTTGGATCTGATTTATACAGCTGTTTTTCAGATGTCAGGGGAACACTTTAGCTAAGGCACACTTTGGTACTTCAGATGCACTTTGAAGTACCTTGTTTCAGTTTTTCTCTTCTAATTATATTTGTTAATGACAAGGGTGGTCTGGCAGTTTGTGTACACCCTGTGGGCAGCTGTTACTAGATTTTACTGCTAAACATCTTTTGGGACAAGATTTGGGTTTTTTTTGTTGGTTCCTCAAGACAGAATGGGAGAAAGGTTACTTTTTCTGTCTCGTGTTCCTTGACCTGCTTAATTAGTGGTAATAGAAGAAAACGCACATCTTTGAGGTTACCTGTGTGTAGAAGTCACTGTGGCCTTTAATTCCCAAAAGCTGTGTTTCTGTGTGTATGAATGATTACTGTTCTTTCCCACCTATTCTGTTAAAATGATTGGTATTTAAATACCTAAGATAGAGAAATTACATCACTCCCAAAATGTCTTGCTATTGCAATAAAAGAAGTGATGTGTCACTCATCAAGTAACGATCTGTGCATTGACTTACATCTGGGAGAGCTAATTGCTGATGCAGCTCATCTCTGAAAGTATTGCTTCAAGACCATGTCCCCGGCTGTTCCAGATGTAAATCCATCTGACTGGACTGGCTGGTGGATGTGCCTGGTGCTTGCTTTAAGAAGTTGATATTAAATAGAATAGTGTACTGTCAGCTAAGAGGATAATTGGAAGCTATTTCCTCACAACACCTAACAGCCACAAGGCCCTTTTGGTCACCCCCATTTTCCTCATTGAGACAAAAATGGGAAGCGATGGCTGTTTCCACATTCCTTGTGAACCTGAGGGTTCAGCCTGAGGATAACCTTGGCTGGAGGACAGCAATGAACATACAGCTCTACTGTTTTAATGTCAGGTATTAATCTTTAATTCCACATCACAGCAGTCGAGTGAATGGGTAAGGGAAAGAAACCCAAAACAAATGGTAGATATTTACATCTAAAATTCACACCACTTATTTGTTGGTTCTGGAAACATGCTATCACAATATATACAATGAAGTACCTTTAGGACACTTGTACAAATTATTTTGTTTCCTTTTAAATTGGATTTCCATTATAGATAAGATAGCTGTTTTCATTTTATTTTAAACATGAATACACAAAAGAGAAGTGGTTAGAGGTTTTTGCCTTTTTTAAATAAGCACAGAATGCCAGAGGTTAAAAACACATTTACAGGGCAGAATACCAGTCAGACATCACAATCTATACATTTTTTGCTCAATTTCCTGTACAAATACACAGCATTCAAATGGGGGTATTTACAAAGAAGCATGATCAGAGGAAATTTTAAATATCACATAATTTGTTTCCCAAAGGCTCTTGCTCTCTCCAGCCTCCCCAGTTTTGGCTGATTCTCCCACACAAGGGATATGCAATATCCCTTACCTAAGAAAGGGTAAGTAAGCTAAAAACCAAAAGGAGGAAAAGAATCTTGGTCTTGCACATAGTAATAAACCCGACCCAACCACTGGAGAAAAACTGTAGGATTCAGAGAAATTGTTTTAACTGCTTTTCTTCTACTACTGTAGTTCCTTCTCATTTTTTTTTCAGATGGGGCCAGTGAGAGATTTGTAGCAGAATTCCACCAATTTTCTCAGGAGTACACATGCTATTTTGTTACGCAAAGAAAACCCAATGAAGGCAAGTACATACTAAGTTTGAATTACAGTTAAATATAGAATGACAAGGTCCTGTTCAAAACATCCTGTTGCTGTGGTTTATACAAGGAATCTTCAGTCCTGCCGGGCAAGTGCAACAACTGCTGTTGCTTCCTCCTACTCCAGAACTGAGCTTGGTGTTGGAGTTGTACTATGCTGTAAGACACCTCACCCTACAGAGAAGTATTAGTTCCAAGAAGTATTAGTTCTGACATTCCCAAAATCTTAATTCTTTCTGTCTTCTGTCCCCTTTAAGGCAAGCACTGAAAAGGGAGACAGAACACTTGGTAGATACCAGAACAGTAACACAAATTTAACTCCACAGAAGCTTAAATTTGGTAAATTCAGTGATTTATTCTGTCCTTCTCTGTGTGGCACTGCCATTAACAAGGCATTTATATACATGATCTGATTGATCTTCAAACCCTTACAAATACATAGTAATGTCAGACTCCCAAAATGGACTCACTGCTGTAGTACTATGTCTTTCATCAGAGCAGGATGGTATGTTTTGGGAGACTGATTAGAGCTCTAGTGGGCAGGTTTTCCAGCTGACTGGGACTTAGTCCCATGTTAGTTGCATTCTTGGTTTTATTTGCAAGACCTGCTGGTTTTTTTTGCAATAAGGAAGCTCAGTAAGTCACTACATTTACTACTGTTAATCTTCCTGCCAAACAATAACAAAAACCAACCAAATAAACTCAAAAAAAAACCCCATTAGGGGCAGGGGAGATGGAACTGAATACTTAATTCTCTTGAAGCCTTCACTTGAAGTCTCAGTCAGACTGGAGAATAGCATATGTGAACATATTTCACTCACTTCTGAGGAATTATCTTGACTTACCTTCACCAAAACCATGATTTTGAGTTGAGTTTTCACACGTGTTCTATACCAGAGATCCAGCTTGGTTCTCTAATGGTTAGGACCGTCCTAGCATTGGAAAACTTCCTGCTGGAGATGAAACACCCACTATAGGCCAGGTTTTATTATTGTTGTCTTAATTGTGAAGGATATAATGATTACAAGCAGCCTGTGTTAGTAACAAAATAGAGGAAGCAAGAGAGACTTTGTTCCAGCCAAACAGGCCATTTAAGAAACAAATTCATAACTTAGTAGTTTTGCATGGGCTAGAGCTTGAGAAAGAAAATAAACAAATCCTCTTAAAATCCCCTTCATACAACCGCTGAGTCCAGGCTTTGTACAAACAGACCATCTTTAGGAGAGTTCAGAAGCAATGTACTCTGCCCAGTCCTGTATTTAGAGGTAGTGCTAAAGGTGACCTGTAAAAGATTTATAATAATCCTTTTTTGCTTCTTTATGCTGTTTGTGGCGTGAGAAACTCAGTGGTTAGGGCAAGAATTCAGTATAAAAATTGAGTGCTATTCCTGTTTCTGACACTAATTTTTATAGTGGAGGTAAGTCTCTGACCTGAATTTGCTTCAGATTTCTCAGGGGTAAGAAAGAGGGTGGTAGGTTTCCACCCTCTGGAGCATGCTTTGGAGTTGGTGGTGAAGGGGGTTCTAAGGAAGGCTGAGATGGGCATGGTCAGGGGAAGGAACGTTGCTTATCTAAATACAGTAAGTATTTGATACTCTCAAAATTTCTTGGAAAAAAAAATTAGGAAAACAGGAATGAAAAGATTTCTCAGTGTTCTTTTGAAAGAACAGATGTTGGTTCTGTTACCCACAGAATTTTTTCCTGGTTTGTCATGTACTTGAACTAAGCAAATACTGATTAAAAGGCTTGTTTGGTGTTCATAGGCTTGTACTGTCTTCACCGCTGCATAACTCTGTTTCTTGGATTTGTTCCGGAATCTGTCAATAAAAACAAAGGTGGTGATGGAGGGGTTGGGAGGAAGGCTGTATTGCTGCCTGAGGACAAAAGAAATCAACCTTCCAGAATAGAGAAGAAGAAGCTCTTAAAGCTTCTCTATACATTCTAAAGAAGCAAAAGAGGAAAGCAACATTTCTTCTTTACAGGTTGCCTTTAAGATCCCTGACTCTAGGGTGTACACTATATACTGGGCAGTTCTTGAATGTTGGTGTTCTCCGTCTACTCTGAGGGATGAAGACTCTTTCTGCACACCAGCTGCAGTGAGGTTTTTGGGGGACTGAGGACATTATGATAACAGGGAATGAATCTCAGCTCCTGGGGGATGGAATTAGGTGAGAACTGTGATGTTCAGCCCTGAGGCAAGGATTCTTGGATATGATGCATGTAAGCCACCTTAACTTTCCTGGCTGGGTCAATCAACCAGCTTGTGGCATAAGAAACTCAATTTGGTTATGTTTTTCTTTATTTTTTTTTTTATTTTTTATTATTTTTTTTTTAACTGGAATAGAAATGCTGGTGTCAACAGCCTGCCCAAAGCTGGGCACGGGAAAGGCCTACAATTAGGTTGCAGCTCCAATGGCTACTAACCCCCTCTCATTCTGTAGCACAGATGAATAGCATATGGTTCCAATGAGAAAGCAGGTTGGTTTAGCCAGTGAAAGCCAAATTTAAGAAATCAAACAGTACATAAAAAACAAAGGAGGCAGAGTTTGCTGGAAATGATATCTTGGAAATCAGTGCATCAGCACTGGTTAGATTGCCTCAGCACCTATGAACCAATGCAGGGAGATCACTGCACAGATATGTACAATCCTGCTCTCAAAAGAGCCAATTTCTTCTTAGAATTTCTATCTTTTCACAGCCTGCAGCTCATGCACCTTCCAGCCTGACAGTTCATAGAATCCCTGATTTCAGCAATGAGCTTTCACTTCTGTACAGCAAAGAAATAGGTCCCTAGTGCAACTGCTTCTACTTGTGTGCGTCTCAGAACCAGGAGGAAAGCAGTTTCAAAATCAACTTGCCACATTCCCCCTTTTTTCCCCCCCTCTGCTTAAAAGTATATTTTTCAGCTTCTACCAGTCTCTATGGCTCGTCTGCCATACGATGTGGTTAAGAAACTGCAGAAGGAGTAAACTGTCCACTGCACAGAAAGTTAAAAAACATAACGGAAAGGTGTAAAAAGAAATTAAAAAGGAAAGCAGCAACCTCCCATGCTGGCCCGATTCCTCTGGGGCTCCAGACATAAACTTGCGGCAGTAGAAAATCGGTTTGCTGTTCTCCGAGTCCTCCTCTCTCTGCTTTGTAGTCAGACCTGGAATGACGATGCAGGCTGCTCACCAGGAGTTGTCCCTACTGCTCGCTGATGCCATGCTCCCATGCTACCCTGGCCTGCTCTTCCTTTCCACCGCTCACTGGTTGGGACACTTTACGATGCAGTGGGCGGTGTTTGTCATCATCTTCAATGATCATCCCCTCCTCGTTCTCCATGTTTGGCAGCCGGGAGTGGTAAGGTTTGGGGGGTAGAGCAGGAGGGTCCATGGTGTCCTGAGGAATGACTCCAGTTGGAGCAGAGTGGCTTCGGCATGGCTGGGACTTGAGCGACTCTAGGACATCAGGCTCAGAGAGACTGTACCTGACAGGGAGGTAGGGTGTCTCTAGATCTTCATCAGTGTTCCAGGCCTGGCTGGGGACAGAATCCATGGTGTCTGTGCGAGGAGGTGGTTCAGAAGAATGTCCAAAATTGCTTTCACTCAAGGAAGAAACACCACTGCTGGCACTACCGGATAAAGTGGAGTTACTTCCATCTAGACCAGACTGCGGACTGGTGGGTGATGCAGGGATAGGATGAAGAGGGGACTGTTCAGAGAAAAACAAAACCAGGTTAAAATAGACAAAAGGAGGCAGTGCTGCACCTTGTTCCATATTGCAGCTTTTGACAGTGATGTTAAGAATGGTGCAGTTCTGTTTGTGTTCAGAATGTCGATGATTGACTGCATTACATGTGCCCTCCCCTGACTTGTATGAAATTACCTCCTGTGGGCAGACAAGTGCATTTACCACCACCAGAGCTGTTAAACAGTAGTTGAGGTGAGAACTGGGGTGCCTGCATCACGGTATATGATGCAAAGAAGGAAAGTGAAAGAGCCTAGAACATGTGTAAGTTACTTCTATAGAATTCAACTCTGGAATAGATTATGATGAGCTTCCAGTGGATTTTCTCATATGTAAATTACTAGCATGTTAAAAACAGTGTTACTGTATTCAAAAGCTGCTTGGAGGGGGCAGAATAGGGGGAATCCTTCAGGAGTTTGTTATTTTTCTTCTACACCCCTCTCTGCTTTCCTGCTTTTTACCTTGCGCAACGTTCGTGCAGGCAGTGCCGGAGGAGCATCACTGAGCTGGTGGTGGAAGGCATCAAAGTGCAGTGAGTAGTGTCCTGGAATGAGACAAGGATCAGAAATGCAGACTGGTGCTACCTCACTGTAGCCAAAGAGCTGGGGTTTATGCTCTGTAATGCCAGGTTACAGCTCCAAATGCTGGTAACTCCAACCTAGAATTTCCTTTCTGACAAGTATTGTAGAGTGCATCTGTCATACACAAAATGCTAACGGGAAGTGCAGTGATATTTCCACCCACCCCTGTTATCAAGGATCTCATGGCAAGGCAACAGGCTCATGAAACAATGAACTTTTGAAGTTTCATTTGATAGCTTTGTAACCGTAAATTACTACTAACTATGGTCACGAAGCCAGGCCAAGTTTCACACTTGCACACCTAATTCTACTTGAAAAGATACACTAGTCGATATTACTGTGAGGACTGCAACAAATTTGAAGATTTTGAGAAAAAGAACTGAAAACTTTGTCCAGTGCAAACAGAGCAGACCAGGAAGGACTTTGGGTTTTTGCTTCTGATTCGTTTTCATGTGGTGGTGGGGGAAAAAGACCACAGTCAGCTTTCAGATGGTGTAGATTTCTCTCCGCAGGATTTATGCAGCAGGCCTACTGGGCATTTCCTTACCATGGGGCAGGCTTCGGGGAGGCACTGGTAGGGCCAAGATGCTCCCAGCGTGGGCAGACAGGAATGGCAGGGTCTCTCTGGTTCCGCTGTCTAGGCTCCAGCTACTGGGCGCTGCTGGCACAGCTGAAGGATTGAAACAGATTTAACTTGGGAAATATAACAGGGGGTTGTGAGGCTGCCCAGAAGGACTGGCTTTCCAGTGGGCTCTTCAGCAGTAGAGAGACAGATTGTAGGGACTTGAACAGGAGGATTGAAAGCATACAAAGACATTGTCTAGTCTACAGTGTGTTAAGTAAGTTTATAGGTTGCTTAGTTAAGGAAGCAAGAGTTAGATGATTGTAGTGTTAGTCTGCCCATCTCCCCGCCATGACCCCTTGGCTCATTTCTCTCAGGTCTGAAGAGCAGTAGAACTCTGCTAGGGTTTTTTCTTGCAAACCACTGACAAAGTAGAAATGAAATCTCACCGATGGAACAGCAGCTAGATCTCTGCTTGGTGGTAAGTGATGGCAGAGCAAGAAAGGAACACGTGGCAGAACCCACATGAAACACAGGAAGACCTGTTGCTACACTACAGTTTCTAAGTGAGCACTGAATAAAGGACATGAGGGAAGTCACACCTCAGTCTGTTATAAAAGAAATCATGACTTTAAAGCCCTGATTTACTAAGCTACAGAGTTGGTCAAGAATTTTGATCAGAGTTCAAGAGAGACAGCAGTTCAGACTCCTTGTATTAGTCACCTGAAGAGATCATGTCTTGTTAATCAGGAAGTATAGAGAGAGGAAGGCTTTGCTCATGACAGAGATACTGAGTATGATTTTTGTGAATCTGATTTTTTTTTTTCAGAAATAAAAGCTGCTTCTAACAATAACAGTTTTCAAGACCTTGAGAATTCTGTCAACTTTAAACATTAAAATGCACCTTCCTTTCTTCCAAACACACTGCAAGACCTAATTATTTCTGAGAAGATAGACAGGCAATAATTGTTATGTGTATTTAAAAACAGTAAGCAATTTCTTCAGATTAGCAAAGAAAAAAGGAAAACAAAATAACTCAGTGAGGCCTACCAAAGAAAACTGAGATAAGAACAGCTGTTTCCATCTTCCATTGGAAAATGGAAGCCTGGAGAAATAAACACGGAATTTGACAGTTGAAGAAGATTTCTCCTTAATTAAAATCCCTGCAGCCATGTTTTGGCATGTTTCTTTTCTAAAATGACTCTGAAAGGTTGCTTTGGTGTTATTTTTTCTCCTTAGTTCATGAGTTAACATGAACACAGGCTGCCTGAGACCTAAAACTCCCTAAAGCAAAAAAGGTTGCAAAGTGACAGCTTCATAAGACAGAAGAAACCCCATAAAGTAAATGTTTTTAAAGAAAGACCCTCAAACTGAGAAAGGCACACAAAGAAGACAGTAAGAAACTTGACAGAGAACAGATTCAAACCAAGGGCTACGTCTCAAGACAAGTAATGTGGCTTCAGGTGAATTTTCTGAGCACCCTGTACACATGCCAGAGTGCTCTCATCTGCACTACTGCCTTAGGTGTTAGCTAAAACAGAGGGACAAGATGCATAACAATTTCCTGCAGTTTATCAGCAGCAAGTGAAAAGGGCAGAACAAAACCTCAGTGGCTTGGCCTGTTAAGTGAGTGCTGTGCTTGGCTTTTGTTTTGGTTTGGTTTTTTGAACACTGAGACGCAGAATAAGAATGTGAAGAAGAGAACCTGGTACCCCAGTGCATAATCCATTTATACTTTCCCAGTATTCCCTTATTCATAGCCTTTTTACTCCTATTTAGGAGTGCTGGAAATCCTAAGGTTAGATGCTGCTGGAGAGTGATTGCTGCCTGTTAAAACCAGTGTTTTATCCAAAGTGCTTCATGGAGGAACCTAACCAGGGAGCTCCCAGTGCTCTGTCCTAGCCCATCTCTCTCTCAGTAACCGTGTTCAGTGGCCAAGTTTAATTAGTAGGGAAGCTTCATTTGAACCATTCTGCTCCAGGCGACTGATGTCACCCTGCTGTCAGTGAGAATTAGTGAGCTGAGCTTCTGACATGGCAAGGAAGGGGGTGGGTGAATTCACAGGGAATGACTGTTAACAAAACCCAAGACACATGGCATCCTGACTTGGAATGATGATGCCTGTAACTGCGTTGATGCTACCAACCTGGCTGAAGAGCTGGGATTCCCATCACACCATTCCCTAAGAACGTTTACTGGACATCACTGGTGTCTTTCATGGTTTCTTTGGGCTTCTGGAGGTGATTCTGCCTTTGATCCCCTTCTTTTTGCACTATATACTACACTCTTGCACAGGATTGCCCACAAATACAAATTTAAGTATTCTTCCCAGAGAGCTAATAAATACTTACTTCCTTTTCTAGATCTTTCTCCTGTCCCGTAAAAAGATCTCTGTTGTATGTTCAGTTCAAACTAACACTTCAGCTAAAAATGGAGCTCTTCACCCCTAACCCCCTACTCTGAACTCTGTTGTCATCATTTCTTATTGTCATCAAGCCATTGTTCTACCATTTCATCAGAGCTGTAGGTTGGCTCTTGGTTTCAAGCTGGACTGCTCCATAAGGCTGTGACACTGGTAACATTGTGGATGCTGAGTTTTTAGAAATTCTAAAATAAAATTTGGATTTTTGTTTTCTTAAGATACGAATCAGTTCAGGCACAGTCACTGAAACCAAACTACTGATAAAAGTCTCATGGAGTGCATTCTGTAGGTCAGACTAGAGCGTTGCGTTGGTTTTCCCTGGCCTTAGAAACCTTGTAAGGTACTGTTTTTCCCAGCAGTACACAAGACTGTTGCTTGCTGGGGCAGCCTTCTGGCCTCAGATTTTGACTCGGGAATTTTGCTCTTTTCTGCTATTTCAGAATGCTGCTTTTTAGGTAATTTTTTTTGAGCCTATCACTTTGTCCATGCCACTCCTTTCACAAGCTCCTCCTTTTCTCTGGCCCCAAACAAACCAACTCTTGCTCTTCTTTCACATTTCTTTCTCTGCAGAGGCTCTGCCTATTTTTTTCAAAGCAATGACATGAGAAAGTATACATTCCTAATAATAAACTTCAATAAACATAAAACTACCCCAGAAAGGCATTCCAGGAGATGTTAATATTTGGGAAAATAAATGCACATTAAAAAAAGCAGGATTTTAAAGTACAGTCCAAATCATGCACTCGTCTTTCAGACAGCTTCTCATGTGCTGCTTTGGAAGTTTTGCTGGAGAAAGGCTGCAGGATTTGTTTCAGTAACAAGCTTTCTGAAATAAAGAGGTTTGTGCAACTCCACCCTTGTGTGAATGATCTGAAATGACCAGAGGTTGGCAGAAGGCCCAGTTAATTAAACTGTTAATTAAAACAATGTGAAGGAACGCACTCTGCCAGGAGATGCAAAAGCCCATTCATTACTTGCTGTAGCGTGAACAGAGGAATAGTATTTTAGAAAGCATGCATGCCAACTAGGACAAAGAGTACCTTTCTCAGCCACAGACAGGTTGGGATCACTGCAGGGTTTGCATGGTCCAATCATCTGTTGGATCAAGGCGCGCTGGAAGTTTGGAGGCTAAGGGAGAACAGAGTTAGCTGTGCAGAACCCTCAGGCTTCTTTTAAACAAAGTTTCTTAACTAAAAAAATCACGGGAACCTGAGGCTGTGTCTACCTTAGCGAGTACTGCAGTGCAGCACTAGTGCATCTAGAGAGGGTAACAGTGCCAAGGACCCATGTGCCATGATGCTTGTTTTCTCTGGAGGAGTTACTTCAAACTAGGTTTGGCCTTGTCTCGTGCCCATTATCAGCTTGAATACATTATGTGCCCTTATGGAGCTCACCTTTTGCTTTGGTATCATGTGAACTGAGTGTGCATGCTCCAAGGTTTGCATGCTGTGAGGGAGTCCTCTGATGTGAACTGAAGTGATTCCCTTCAAAAGTGCACGCCAGGGCCAGATTAAAATGTTTACATGCAGGCACTCTTAATTCTTGAGCTTGTCCAGAGAAAGTAGTAGATACAGGCACAGGCTGTTTGGAAACCTTGTACCAGCATATTATTTCAGCCTCTGGAAACCACAATAAAGCTATTGAATCAACTTTGAGGCTAGACTGCAAAGGATGGCCATGGTTCTAGAAAAATTAATAAAATGGTGTGACTCCCTGCAGTAGATCAGGGCTCCCAGGATGAAGTTGGGAAGTCACAAGAGTCCATTTTCACAGGATGCTTTGCAATTTTTAGTCATTACAATTTGTAGCACTTGATTACAAAAGGGTGCGGCTCTAGGGGATGAAAAGTTGCATTGCTTCTGCAGAATGATCCTAAGCTAGGTGTTGTGCTTTCCGGAAATAAGGGAAGCTTTAAGGTGGTCAGAAAGAGTAGAAGTCCCAGTTTCAGGGGTTGAACTGACAGAAATGAGATCTGCTACCTGTCCGTTTTCCATAATAGCTGCGGGATACATGGCGCTGCTGGGTCGGTCCCGATGGGCTGGCAGCAACATCATCATCTCCCGAGAGTGGCGGTACTTATCTGGTAGAGAGGGAGAGCCTGTAAACAAGTGAGAGCAATCACGTACACGTGACAAACAACAGCCAGGTCTCCGCATGCCTGGGGATCTACTCCTCCTTGCACTTTGTTCAGACGGATGATCTTACAGGACTCAAGAAAACACGGTGCTGAGCCCACTAAGCAGCTAACTGTTGGTGGGGTGCATAGCACGAGGATGAGGTAACACTGGCTTGTCATAGACAGTTAAGGACATACCACATGAAGGGTATAAGATGATAAGATGCATGTGTCCCTAGCTGCCTGTTGGAAAGTGTTTCCTCTTAAATGACAAAAAAAGAAGCGGGCATCTGTGTGAAATCAGCTGCTGTACAATGCCTGATGCTCCCTTGCTCCATAAAGTGTTGCAGAGTTACAGAACTCCATAAAATTGTGCATTTTAGGACTCAATGTGGAAGAAAGGGATAAAAGCTGGAAGTTACAGGAAGCTACTTCATTCCTCAGTTCTCGTAGAGACAGTCTGAGGTTTTACCATTTAGCTGGTGATACTTTGGTCAGCTTCTTCTTTGTTACAGCAAAACAAAACCCAACAGGAAACAGAATTGTCTATAAATGTGGGTGGCGCTTTGCTTACAATGCTGCTGGGTAACATATGAGTACTGCTGAGCATGTTGGTATCTGAGCCATTTTATGACAGCAGAAATTTTACCAGTGCTTAGAGTTAGCTAGTAGGAATATACTTGACTTAACTCTTAGTTATCTGTATAGTTGCCATTTAAAATGTTGGGGTATTTAATGTAAGCTTCCTGGCATGTGGAATTACTTGGGACTTGCATTCTTCAAGGTGTCACGTAACAATATGCCTTCTGATATGCAACATTTGACAATGGATTTCCCAAGAGAATGATTCTCATTAGTGACTTCCTCTATTCTGATATTACTGATACATGCATCCCTTGGGATGCACAGTATTAGGCAGGAATTGATGTTCTGAAGCTGCTGGAGTGAGCTTTAATTTGCACTGCTAATTTCATTGCGTCACAGACACGCACTTAACAGATGGCAGCACACAGCGCATTCCAGAGCCATGCCGGCTGTTGGGAATACATGCCTGCTTTGCAAACTTTCCACAACCACACACATTACCTGAGCAGCACTCCAACATATGAGCAAAGGCATTGGTGCTGGTTAATGCAGCTTTTACCCCAGCAAAAGCAAACATGCAGTTTTGGGGACTGATACTCAGCACACAGTGGAAGGAACAATGCGTCCAGCAGAATGCAGGATAAGGTCCTACAATTGCAACAATTCCATCAGGGGTGGCAGATCCCAGATTAATCTACACCCCCACTCCGACATGAACAGCCGCAGAGTATCTGCATTCTAGTTCCGAACTCATTTTCTCCCCAGACATAAAACAGAAACATAATTAGACAACATTATTTGCTCTTATATACAACATCAGCTTGGAAAACACAGTGTTAACGCTTTATGCTGAGTCTCTTTTACTCACACATCACAGATAGTCCTGTTTCTGCATGACCAATGTAAGGATGCTGAACATTTAGGTGTGCCCAGAACTACATCACAGCACAACCTACACTGTAAACTTTTCCTTTTTATCTTGCTATCCTTGTTCTTTTATATCTAAAATGCAAACCACCTTTATGTGCCATCACTTTGTATGGGATTATAGTTTCCACAGACCTTGCTCTGCATAACCTGAAAAATCCCATATGTGCTAAGGAAGGTGGCAGTCTAGTTTACAGAACAGCTCTGCTGTTTGGTACCCTAAATTTGAAATAACTATAGCTATAGGATTGTAACAGATAATGCCAAGTATCCAGTCTGCAACCAAAATGAAGTACTGATACTTTTGAATTGTGGGCCATGAGAGGAGTGGCTGTAACTGAAGCTCTTATTAATAGTCAGGCCTGCTTCTTTGCACAGAGAGTGAGCACAACTATCATGGCTCCTCTCACAGACTGTTAGGCTTAAAAAACAAAGTCAAAAAAACTTTCAAAAGCTTCCAGAGCGGCCCGTGGCCATATAAAACACTGCAGCATGTATCAGGGCTTACTCCTTTTAGCTTGGTACACTGCATGTATGCTGCACTGAATGTACTATTAATGAGAGAGAAAAACCTATGCTGAGGCAGAGGTAGTTTTTCTTTTTTAATTATGAAAATGCTAATCTAATTGTGACAAGTAGCAGTTTTAAGGAATGGAACTGACAATGTAGTTAAACTCCAAAATCAATGAATCCCTTCTCCTGATGCCTCATTTTCATTACTGTTATGAAAACAGTTCTCTCCTGCATCAAATCGTAACTTTTTTTGCTTTATGAAGGAAGTTTTTAATGTGAGCACATGGGTTCTTGCAAAGTGCTGAGTAAGACACCAGGACTCTTCCTACACCTTGAAAAGGGGCCTGTGTTGAGGAAGGAGTAGGAATGCTTTAAGAGGCGAGTCATCTAGTGTCAAGTGGGAAGTGCTTTTAGAGCAACTGGAGGAGTCCCAGTCATATTTTAAATGAAGTTACTGAAAACCCCCATACCAATTCCTAGCTCTTGCCAGGCTGCTTTGCATTACAATTTCTGCTAAACAAACATGAGCTTATGCAATCTTTTAACTGCAGTAAGGTTAGAGCACTTCTGAGTCACCTCAAATGAAGCCAAACCAAACTTTGAATTTATTGATTCTCCATCCAAAACCTTTGTTGCTTTCTTAATAGGGAAGAAGCTTGTTCATCTGAAACAGTAACTAGTAAAGCCTTTATCATTAGCACAGTTAGAAAGTTCTTACTGTGTTCTGATCACAATTCTGTTTAAGAATTTTGCTCTAACTTGTTTGTATTACAACAAATGTAAGGATTGCTGCTTTAATCTGCTGTTCAGTGATATCAAGTAATTAATCTATTGTCTGGATAAGTATCCTTTAAAATTTTTGGATTAATGGCTTTATTATTTTCTTTGGGCTGGCCATATCATTTGCTATGTTGCTGTTTTAAACATCAGTGAAAGGGTTGTGTTTTGGAAATGAAGAATTGGAAGTATGATTTGAATTTCTGCTGGATTCTTATTACAAACAGCCATGGCTTCCTTCGGTCACTTATAGAACTAATCTGTATTATAGAGATACTCTCAGAACAGTGCTAGTAGCTGAGCTCCAGAAAGGACTCTGCAGTTAAACAGAGAAGGTGGTATCAATATCTGGATAAAAGGATAGTCGGGTTTCATCTCTCATGCTTGAACCAATGAGAGAAGCATTTAAGCACCTGACAAAAAACCTAGAAACCCTACTTAACTATGCTCAAGTTAAAGCCACAGGTGACAAAGATGCTAAGTCAGTAAATTTAGGTGGGCTGTACGAAATGAATTGTTGGGCCTTCGTATACTTCCCATGTGAAATGTGGTTTAGCTGCAGCATCGTGACTATCGTAGCTTTGTTGGCAGTCTCAGCAGAAAGGCCAAGGATTGGATGGGTCATGGTGACTGAACTATCCTCTCACCTCTAGAGGTGGTCCCTCCAGGACAGAGATGAGGCACATTGGTGGGGGCAGCGTGGGGAAACTTGCACGGCTGCCGCCCATGCTGTATCTGCTCTGTGGGTAAATAGAGGGCTTCAGCCTCCAGTGGTGTCAGTCCAGCACCTTTCACCAGCACTAAATTAAAAAGAATATAAATAAATACCAAAAAAAAAAAAAAAGGAAAAAAAAAAGAAAAAAGAAAGGATAGAGGTGCATTGACAGAGCTGCACATGTAAGGTTTCTGAAGTACCTTGCTCCAGCCTCATTTTCACAACCATTAAATTCACCCAATTAAAAAACAAAATAAAAGGAAAAATCACCAAGGAGAAAAAACAAAGCTCTATTACCACAGTGGACCTTAGGTGTAAGGGTTTTTTCTTGTTACAAACAACTCCATTCCAGACAGTGGTGTAGTAATAACCACAGTAGTAAACTTGCACAGTGTGAAACAGAGAACATCTGGGACTTTACTGGAAGTGAAATCCCATTGTCAGTGGGTAACATCTGAATGCTGTGCTCACCTAACTTTAAAGTGAACAAAACGAGCAGAGAAGAAATGTCATATCGTAGGCTAGCAAAACAAGTTAGTAAGAGTGAAGAATAAAATAGATAGATACATATATTGAACTAGTTTAAAAAAAATCATTCTCTTATTGCTTTCTCTTTTTGGTCATTTACAGTGTCTAGTTCTCATCTCTGGGAGGTGCTGTTGGCTCATTCATCAGCACTATACCCTTTGTAGCATTCAGCATTGTTTTCTAAGCAAGAACAAAGAATACAGTGAAGAGGGAAGCTGGTGATGCTGTGAGGTCATCAAGCTCAGAAAGGCTGTCACAGTCTGTCACTGTGAGCACCAAACCCCCAAAGATTCAGACCTCACATGCCAGCTGAGGCATATCCATTTAAGGACATCTTCCTGCCACGACAGCTCTGTACTCAGTCCCTTTTTCCCTGTCCTGTTTGTGCCAGTTTCATCTGGTTACTTCACTATATGAATTGTCATAATTTTCCTTCTAGCCCTTGGTAATTTGTGAAGCTATTTGCCTTTATCTGAGGATGTCCACTTCTCACCTTTGTACTCCATCTGAGCCATAAATTAAATCGCTTAGATGCATTTGTGTCATAACAACAGCCAGTCAATTAAAATTTCACTGTAAGATTGAGCTGGCCTGAGAGAAAGGGCCCTTCTCTGTATTCTCTGTCCATAAGGAGACATACAGTTCTCCTGTATGGAAAAAACAGGTTAGATTTAAATATCAGCCTGTATCTCTGTCTATATCCTGGACACCTTCCTCAGATGCCTGTGGAAAGTGGAGAGAAATTTGTGACTGCAGTTGAGAATCAAAAATGAGAGGAAACAAAACTTGAACAGAAGTTACCAAAGTCAGGCAATTGCACAGAACGGGTCTGCTTCAGCTCTGAGGCTTGGGAAGAAAATGATGAGCAATATCAAGCCCAGCTACTGTAACAGCAGAACCATTATGAATACCCCTGGAGTCTGTTTTTGCATTTTTCCTTTCTTCAAGAATTTCCCAGCAGGGAAGCCCTTCTTTAATGCCAGTGGTTAAAATTCCTATCTTTCAACATTCATTGTATACCTATGCTTTTGTATACACACAGTTCTGCTAAACTGCCTCAAGTTCTATTTTGTGCCATAATTTCATTAAATGCGGAAAATGATTTTTTTTTCCTTTGTGTTCATGATCTCTCTCTTAATTACTGTACCAAAGACTATTCTTATTTTCCTCCTGACTGCCTGCACAGTGCTGTGGCGGAACAATGGAAATCATTATGAAATTTGACTGCCTGAAACCAGCATGTATTAAAGATACATTCCAAAATACTGCTGAAAAAAAAATATAAATCATTAAATCCACTTCTGGAGAATGAAAAGCATTTTTTAAGAAACAGTTTTTGAAGAGGCATTTACAGCTCCGAAAGAGAAACAGCAGTGTATTTCAGTGTAGGTGGTCTCTGGCTGGCGTTGCCAAGTTCAGGGAGTGCCTGCAGAGACACTTAACCCTTCACTTGGATGCATCCGTTCTTACCTCGAGCACTGGAAGGGGCAGAGTTAATCATCTGGGACGGTGCCGAGTGAGTGGAGCTCAGGCTTGAGGTGGAAGGGCTAGCCTGGGATGGGGACAAAACAGAGTCATTGGTGACTGAGCTTTGGTACCTGCAGTTAGGGCAAAGAAGCTGCAGGAGGCAGAGGAATCATTGAGAGAGGACTGAGTGGATCAGTGCATGAGATATTTACCTGCCTCCGATCACCCAGTGCATCCTCTGTCTAGGAAATAGCTTTGGTGCAGGTCACTGATAAGCACTCAGGACTATGGGACTCATTTCACCCTCCCACAAACCAAGAACAATCCTAACTGCGTAAGAACAGGTCAGATAAATAACATGCCAACTAAAATCTCACTTTCTGAGAGCAATGGTGTGATCTTGGACCACCAGATCTGTACAAATACAGTGTCTCCCCCCAAAGCAAACCTGAGTTACTGTGTCACCTTTCTTGACTGATGTTAGACTCTACCTATTCAGCCCTTTGAGAAAAACATCACAGGGCAGATCCAATGTATGTGTGTGGGTGAAGTGTACTCCTCCTAACCATAACCCTCCAGAGCATGTTCTGTGTCGTCTCTGACAGCCGCTGTTGGCTGTGCTGGAGCTGTACCTGCATGTGGTACATGTCTTCAGCAGTCTCCCCCACAGAGCTGTCTGTTAGGATAACCAGGTTTCCTGTCTCACTGGAGGTGTGGGATGACAGAGAGGATGATGAGTGTCGGACTGAACCAAGCAAGTTCAGTGGGCTGGAACAAAACCAGAGACAGAACAAAGGCACATTTTTTGAACCTGTGTTTTACAAGGTGTGCCTAATCCTTTAGGTCACCTCTAGGTGTCAGATGCATTTAAAAATCAGGCCAAGTAAGCTTAAACAAATCCGTAAATGTGAAATAACTGACAATAAGGTCATATGTAAACCAACATAGGATGCAGAATTTTGGAATAAAAGCCATGTTAACATCACATCATGATGCTGGATGCGTATTTGTTTATAACAGAGCTTTCTGAAACCACTCTCATTTTTAATGCTGATGCATGATGAGTGGGAGCAGCTTCAAAAACACGTGCCAAAGGAAGCCAAACACAAGGCACACAGGTCAAAATAGAGTTTTCCTTCTTGCATCTGTTGGGCCTCAGCAAGTTGAAGGCAACTTTGTAGCTGACAGTAAATTAATACAGCCCAGCTGGTGTGCAGGCTGCACCCTCATCACTCAGGAAATCAAATTTTCTTTGTCAGCACACACACAAATACATATTGTGTACCCTAGGGAATCTCCCTTGTTTGCCCTGAGAACTGAAAAAGGCTTTACAGAGAGAGGAATTCTGGAGAAGAAAACTTTATTGGAGACGACAATTGTCAGCTGCTAAGTCACTAAAGTGTAAGAGCTACTCAATTTTAACAGTAAAAACACTGACACCATCCTGGATGGTGTACTCAAGACCAGGCTTCCACAGCTTTTCATGCCAGGCTTTAAAATGAGCTAAGCCATGTAGACCCACCAAGAGAAACCCAACTTGAAGTACAATTAAAGTTCTGTAGCTTCAGTGACATTCCCATCACTGTTTGTCATACTGGCATGGACATGAACATCAAATAATCAATTTTGGCTGGATACAGAACCACTGTTTTGCCCTGAAAATCCCAATTTTTATCCTCCATCGTGATCTCAGTTTTCATAGATGGTATTCAGTTTGAATAAGCATACACATTTTCACATGTTTCTGTGAAGGCTGAGCCATTCTGTGGCATTCTGCTCAAACCATCTCAGCAGCCTTTCTTATATTGGGTTCTGATTTGATCAGAATTATAAAAAACAATGATATGAACATTCTTTGATCCTTAAAAATGGGCACATATTGAGTTGGGTTCTAAATCAAGCAGTAAAATATTCTTTGTGTAAGGACCTATTTATTTGATGTTCACTTAAGAGAAGGTGGAACCTCCAAAGTCAGATTGTATCTAGAGGTCTGAGTAGCAGATGTCTGTTTCTGCTTCTATAGTAAGTGATGGAGTAACACTTGGAGGTGTTCAGCATTTCCTGCAAATTAGATTTCTCTTTTTATTCCATTCCTCAAACTTTAATAATTAGCACTGAATGAAGGCAAAAGGCACTTCTGCCAAAACTCATCCTCCTCCTCTTGCAGTACTGTTACAGCCAGTTCTCAGATCCTTGAATCTTAACAGTGTGCAGAGATCCTGGGTATTTCAGTCAAAGAAAACCAAGGTACCTGTGTCGATGCACCAGCTTTATGCTCTCTGGGCTCATAGGTCCATGTGAAACCAGAACATTGCTGCGTGGTGTACTGGTGCCAGAACAGGCCGGACTCAGCTTATCCAAACCTGGTAACTCCTGCAAAGGAAACATACTTTAGCTAAGTTGGTCATGGAAAATTACAGGTTTTCTTCTCGGAGAAGTCCTTACCTGTTTCCATGTCCTTATTTCCACAGGATAAAGAGCTGTAGTGCTTTAAAACCCCATTCTATTTATTTCCAATAACCCTTTCTAGCCACTGCTTCAGGAATTAAGGAGAAAAATAGAGGTATAATGTGGCCAAAATTACAGCCACCTGCATTTTCCAAAACAAAGGAATGTGCACTCAGCAATACAGATCATGCCCAAACTCTCAAGAAGGGTAGTGAACGAAAACTGTCATCTGTGACCTCTGCAGATCTCATCTGCTTTGAAAGAAAGGCCACACTGTAAAATTCTGGTGCTGTTATTTCTGGCCCTCCTTACATAGTGTTCACTTCTAGAAGTGGAGGAGAAAGCCTTCAAGTGAGAAGCTATCTTTGAAAACACACTGAAAGTAAAGTGCTAATAGATATATTTTAGATAATTCTTTCACATTATAGAAAGATACCCTTTAGTTTGATTGTGGTAATGGTCAAGATTGCATCTAGGTATTCCTAAAGATTCCACTGTACCAACAAGAGGAGAATGCACTGCAAATGTCTGAAACCCATCTGGGAAAGATGCCTTGAGTATAGTTGTCTCAGAATACTGAAGTACAGCAGAGCACACATGGAAGGAAAGGTACCATTCATGGAGGAATTCCAACAGGAGTTTCTGTTGCTGTCTACACAAAAACACTTCTGGAGGGCCTAATCCATGCCATGCTTCTCCAAACTGGAGCAGCTCTTTCAAAGAGCTCAACATCTAACACTTTCTTTTAATCTTTCTTCCTCTGCTTTACATCATTTTCTGCTGTGTAAGGCAGTAATTTAAAATGAAGCTTTACAACTGTTCTGTGGTACAATAAAGGTCACACAAACATTTTAAAATCTAGATTAAATGGAAGGCTAAATTAACATAAAGACTAGGTACAGACTTCCTTCTTGCATAGAAATCAAGAATTCTTTTGATAATCTGGCAATCCAGTAGATTCAGCAATGCTGACTCAAGCCTAGTTCTGTTCTGAACTTTACTGCAACTAACAGACATTAAATCATAACTCGGTTGGAGTATGTCAGCTTACATGGTACAGACTGGATCGCATCATCTGGAACTGGTCTATGAGTTTCTTATGCAAGGGCCGCATTTCTGGGTGTACAAATTTCTCATGGACTGCCAGACCCACTCCTAAGACATGTACCTGGTAAAAAAGAAAAACATCACATCACAAACCCAAATAACTTGTGTCTAAGAGCCTCTCCTGCAGCTCTGGCAATGTGCAAGGGAGTACTCTGAAATATGCCACAGTTCATTTACAAGGCTGCTGGTAATGAAGCAAGCCTAAGGAGGCCTGGCAAGTTCACAGTACTTCAGCAAGTACTTTGTGAGACAAGCACATTTATGTCATGTTGGATTATGTTAAGAGGTAACTGTAAGACATTACCAGCTTGATTCTCTCTCTGGAGTGAACTGCATTACATCCTCACACAGAGGAAATTCCTTCCACCCAGTGTCAGAGAAGGGGTCAAAGCTGCCAACAGAGACTTCTAAAAGGAGTTTCTGATACTCAAGCAGAACAGCAGCACTGACAATGCACAGTCACTCTTTCTGTTGCTTATTATCTATTTTCAAAGGTCACTTTTTCAGAGGTTAAACATACAATACTAGTGGTTGAATGAGATTATATAAGCTCTCAGATGAAAGAGAACAGTGATGATAGTAGGCTGAAGATGTATATAATTCCCTACATGATCCAAAATCTGTACAAACAATAACTAATTAATCTTCAAACATCCTCTTGAGGACTGAAGGGAGATAAGCATTATCTTTATTTTACAGATGGGAAATCTGAAATGCAGTTAAGTGATTTGTTGCAGGAACAGGCCAGGCAGCTCTATTCAGACTTGGACACACTTGTCTAATGGGGTATATCTTGCCACACTGTCAGTTATGAGGGATGTGATTTTCTGATTTCGCTCCCATCAAAGCATCCAGCTAGCTTTATCTATTAAGATAGTTCACAGAGACACTGAAGAAAAATAAAACTGCAGATAATATAAACGGGCATTAAGTCTCCCTAAGCAACTCTGCCAGTGTAAGCACAAGCCTGACCTGTTGTGCCTCTGTCTTTGATACTTATTGGGAAGACATAACTCAAAATGCCAAAAATGAACAGCGAGCTTGAAATGTAGCAAGATGCATACTGGATAATAAATGGAGACAACAGAATTAATGTACTTCAAGCTGAGCTTCACCTCACATCCCATAAGGTGAATGGCTTATTCATAAACTCCTTGGCCATCTTCCCCATTTTTTTAGATCTCCTGTATCAAAATGGTTTGCTTCTGAATGAATCAGTTGGCTCTGATATGTCTAGACTGACTGCTGACGAACCCACACTGCAGTAATGTTCTTTTGCATCTGAAAACCAGTACCTGTTCCTGCATGAGTTCCTTGAGTTGTGTGATCTTCTCTGCATCTCCTGGGTGCTTTGTGATATAATCTTTATCAAAAAAAGCCTGTAGGAAAAGGGAAAAAAGAAAAAAGCCTTCTGCTTACTGGAAGATAATTCATTGTAACTGGGTGTCAAAGGATGAGAGGAAAAGGTCCAAACATCTTAGGAAAACTAAATACATTAAGCTAACAGCAGCAGCTCATTTTTATTGCTTTTAGCACTCTGGGATCTGGGTAAAACTACAGGATGGTTTTAGCAACCGAGATGAAGATCTGACCAGGTTTCTCCATGTGACAGTGATAAGCAATACCCCTGAGCCTTGTATCAGCCAGTTATTTGAATTTTATATAGTTTCCTTCACAAAACTGTCTAAAGATATAGGAATTGAGTGAAGTGGTTACTAATGTAAGGCATGGAGAGTGTTCTCTTCATGGCTCTGTAGAGAAGATGTGTCCCACACCCCTGGACCACTGCTGCAGTTTTGCAGTATTTCACCTTGACTTACCTTTTGCAATGCAGAGTTTAAGTAACAGTTTGCCAAAGATGATACCCACTAACATACTGCATGTAAGATCATTTTAGGGTTACAGTGAGTCTTAAATTAGCCAAGCAAACATAATGGTTGAATAACACAAATTCATGGGTTTTCCTGATTACAGGCCCAATCAGTCTCAATTACCATGAGTCCCATTACATGCTTGTATTGCAAAATAAATGTATAATGTAAGCAGTACAAACAACCTGTTTCACTCTTTCCTGCCAAGTGAGGATTTTCAGCTAAGCCAAGTTTAATTCTTGAGAAACCCTACTGTCAACTGTGCCTACTGTAATGCAATATTCCAGCTCCATCTCTGGATCCTCCTGTTGACATGTGGCTATGCACTGATGCAGAATAATCAAGTAGGGGTTTTGACCTCATATTTAGATAATGTAGGTGAAAATTCCTTATCTTCTTAACTCATACTCTCTTTGAAACAGAAATGGAAATAAAATCGACAAAAGGTGATAGTAGATTTGGAAGCAGAGCCTGGCTTACCTCCTGGTACCGTGCAATTCCCCCATTAACTGCTGCATCAATCACTCCATTCAGACACATACTGAGAAGATTAATGTTACCATGCATTTGTTTATGCTGGTACTGGCTTATCAGTGTTCTCAGCTCCTGGTTTTTGTTCTCAACCACTTGAATGGCGTTTTCCAAAGGACTTACTTCAACCTCAAAGGCAATAAAATATAGTTTATTCCATGGACACTTCACTGAGATTTATTATTTTCCTTGTAATGAAATGATACTCTGGGATTGTTCAGTGACCTCCTTTAGTTTTTACTGCTTTGTACAAAATAAGCTACATAATAAACTTCATTGTTGGCAATGCTGTATTTCAGGTCACCGCATTATGATAGCTTCTTTCTACATTCTGAAGACATGGCATTGGTGCAATTATTGCATCTTTTTGGCACTGGTTACATTCAGCAACTGTTTAGACTTAATTGGTAGAAAAAGGACATACTTAATCATTGGTAAACTTCATCATTTTAAACTGCAAGATTTCAGCTAGGGAGTTTTAAGCTGCCTATCCCATGTTCTCAGTAACTCAACATTTCAAACCCCAATCACAGGAACTATGAATGTTACCAGCTCTCTTCTCTCCACTTCAAACCAACGAGAAATCCCAGGCAAGCTGTGAGTTAAGGTCAGAGTGGTTCGTTCAATCCACAAGCTCTGCAAAGAGTAATTGAGGGTGTGAGGTACCAGGTGAATCACAATCACATCATCTGTACTCTTACTAGAAGTGCTAAGTGGGTAAAGTTCAGACAAGAATACATCAACCTCCTGAGCAGTAACTCATTTTGCAGAATGTCACGTTGAAAGTCACTTGGAACAACAAACCCAGGATTCAGTATGCTCTAGGGAACACATTCAAGATCTCCACTCATTTTTAAAGGTCGGTCAAGAGAACCGAGATGACATTGTGGACATAGATATGGCAGTAAGAAAAAACAATCCAGCCAAACTAAAAAAGCCCCACCCTTGCTTGAAAATGCATTCCTCCTGGCACTACAACAACTCACCTTTAAACTAGACAATGCTTTTATCAGGTCAGGTGTGTAACCTTTAGATGCAACAGCTACTTGTTATTTGAGTTACTACAGCATCTCTGGCCATCAAATCAGGGTTACTTGAAAGGCTGTATCAGCATAAAATAACAAGACAGTATTTGCCTTGAAGAGATAAACACTTAAACACTGCTTATTCACTACTTCTACCTTAAATTCATTCTCCTTGTCCTTTGGGCCTTTGTGGAAGGGCCTGTCATAGCGGAATTTCCGGATGTTGTTGACTCGGTAAAAGCTCTTTATGCGATCAGGGACACGGTCCATTTGCAACACATCTATATTGTCTGGGATGGGAGTCACTGCATAGATCTGTAGATCTGTAAATTAGGTAGTCAAGGAAAGCCACAGGACATCAAACAGAAAAGCTATCCCTGCTGTGGGAACAAAAAGGATGGTGAATTCAGTAATTCATGCTCCTCTGCATTTTCAATACTCCTTTTGCAAGTGAAACAACAGAATGCTAGAGTCGAGTCCTTGGAGAGTCTACAGAGTTACAATACCTCACAGCCAGATTAGCCAAAGAGGACGATAACTGAGGATGCAGACAGTATGTAGTAAGACATCCAAAATACCTGAAGCAGGGAAAAATACCCAGTTCCTATCAGTTTTATTAGAGCTAGGTGCCTCATTTGTGCAGAAACTTCAGTCAATGCACTTAAGTATCTAAATAAAATTTGTTTGACAGATTTCACTTCAGCTTTGTCTACAAACCAAAGGTGTCCTCATTCCATCAATTTACAGTACAGTTTAATTAAACCACTTTAACCTCAGTGTTAGAGAAGCTCTCTGCAAGCATAAACAAACCAACTGAATTACAAACAACCCCTCTGTCTATGAAAGTACCAGTGTTACACAGCAAAGAGTGAAAAGCATGTGTTACAAAAGACAAGTGGGAAACAACAGCTTATTTCAGGAGAGTTCACTTGATGACAATTTCCTGATGGTTAAAGGCCTGTGCAATATCTTTGCTGCTGTCACACAAGCCAAACAGCAGTGCAGACACATTCAGTGTTATATGGTTCAGTCCTTAAATGTATATAGAATTGTACTGGTTGCATCAAATCACAGTACAGATTACCAGTGAGAGGAAATGAGATTCAAAGCCTTAGGTATGAAATGGTTCAGCAGTTTAAAGGAAAAGGGAGACTGCAAATATAATAATACTGATGTGAAAAATAAAACGCAGTGGAAAATAACACTTTGGAACTACTATCCATTCCCAACAAAACATTCTCCAAGAGAAGATACCAAGAATACTTTTAAGGACACAAAACACACATTATGGCAATGCTGATGGAAAGCTAACAAAAGGATGTGACTAAGCAGACATGAGCATTCTTTTCAAAAGTGTGTAACGTAATGAGCCAGTTAATGTCTGCTATAGACGGGCGTGGGTTTGTCTATAGGACACGGTTTTGTACCTAAGGCACCGAGGAACTGAGGTGTCCAGGTTGATGACCTTCTCAGTACCACCCTTCTCTGCGAAAACCACAGTTGCTCTACTCATATCATTGAAGGATACACTGGGCATCACATTGCAGTATCGAGTCATCCGGGTGGTTTGGGTGCTGCATTGCAATGGCTTGTGGGAACTCGCTTAGCATCCTCTGCTGGAAGGCTTCCAGCCTCTCATAGTCATGGCCCCGACAAACGTACTCCTTGTTCTGCAAGAAGGACAAGCATAAATTAGTCTCCTTAAAAGTAAATTAAATTCTGTTGGCTTTTATCTCACTTTACATTTTGCTGCTTCAAACCCAAAGACAAATGAGTGTCAGTATGCGAATGTGAGAGTAAAATGTGCATTTAACACAGCTGATATAGGAATAATTCCTTCCTTTTCCTTTATAATGCATTTCATCAAGAAGTGATGAACAAGTAGGCTGTTCCAGCGACCTCTCAGCAGGAAGATGCCTGTGATCCATACACAAACAGCATTCAGTCCTATTGTCTTTTCTTATTTGCTTTTCAGACAACTGAAAAGGGATTTTTTTTAAAGGGACTATACTGAAACATATCAATCAAAACTTAATACCAAGTCACCAGCTCACTGCTCTACACTGGGAAAGCTGCTGTCAAATACAATTTACACCAGATGGATAAAAGTCCTCTGCATTCCGTAGAACAGTGGGAGACAGATATGTTTACCAATTTATCAGTTATCCTTAGAGAGGAATCGTAACAAGCTGTTCACAAAAATCACTGCTTCATCACTGCTGTACTATCACAGCCATACAATCCCCCTCTGATCATGCTGAACAGTCCATCCTCAGGAACTCCCCTGCCTGTAGTGGAGTAATACAGAAAAGCTTTATCAAGAATTCTCACTGGCCACTTAGCAAATTCCCCTTCAGCCCTAAAAGCACTTCCCTCTTGATGAACAAAACTTTGTTTCTGCTAGTAATGGAAAGCTTGCACTTAGATATGCCTCGTGAGGCATTAAACCGCTTGTGGAGAGTTCCTGGATGCTTTCTGAGCCACCTCAAACTTTGAACAGCAACACATAGGATTTCTAAAGTCCTCAGTGTCATAATGTCTGTCCTGAAGTGTCTTAACCCTAGTTGTAACTCTCATACCTGTAGCAGTAACTAGAAGTACAGGAAGAATTTTCACCTTCATAAACCAAAGAAGAGTTCCTCCCCTTCCATTTCCTGCATGTGGAAGCTACAGTATATGCAATCCTATTTTGTTGATGGCTCTGGAAAGAGTTCTGGCTGAGCAGTTCTTGATCTTGTAGCAAAATCAAAGAGAAAGCAGCAAACCCCAATCATGAAACACAGCCAAGGAGTGTAGTTATCTCTGGCTTTGCATTTCAGCTTTATGGAGCAGATCTCATGTTCCAGCTGTGACACATGTCACTTTGTATGCATCACTCACAGCAACCAATGAACTGGGAGACAAATGGCATGATGAATCCTGACAGTTCAGCCTGTAATGCTCAACCATTGCAGCCATTATTAAATTTGGAGTGAGTCCATATTTGAAGGTGAATCTCTTCATGGCATTGCATTCTCTATTTTAGCTTTTGATTGCAGCAATCCAGAAAACTGTAAGCCTATAAATAATGTTACTGTGATTCTAAAAATAATGCCCTGAAAACACCTCAAAGCTAAATTTAATAGACTTGCCAACACAAGGTCTCAGAAAGTGGCTTGTCAGGTCTTACTTGAACTTCTGGTAGGTGGAAGACATGGACAGTTTTAATTTACTTATGTAGGAAGGCTAGAAATAGATGCAGAATCCATAGAAACATGAACAATGGCATTTCTAGACAAAGGGTCCTTAAAGATGTAGAAAGAAGTTATGTTCTGTCTTAGCTATACAGCAACAGACAAATAAATGAGAAAAGAGCATGGAGTTATTTGATCATTTTAAATCACTCCCATATCCATTTGAAAATTTTAAATCCATGTAAATCTTTTTCTTCTCCAGAATAGCTGCTTCCAATCTCTTTACAGTGTGATCCATGCTGATGTGATTGCTAATGGGCTTAGGCTGTGCTTTGCAATGTGTACGCTGTATGGATCATTAGAGAGAGAAAGGAGGAGGATGACTTTTAATGAGATTGCTACGTTAGTAATCTGCTATCAGAAGTACTGCTACCAAATATAATTGCAGAATTAACAAGGATTATAATTATGTACGCTCATGTTCACTGTTAATGTCTCCAGCCTGGTACCCATGTTGTTAGACCGTTCCACAAAGAGTAAGTGCTGCACCCTGGAAACTTGTGTGGTGTGGGGCACCTCGGCCATGCAAGGGTGCAAGGGAAAACTTCCACAACATCGTAAGAGACGACAGATTCACTGATATTACTTCAAATGTAGGACTGCTTATGTACCATAATGACTTTGTTGTCATTCATTTTATGAAACATCTGTTGTTAGATATGAAAAAGAAATTGTCAGTTTTCTTCCCTGTGAGAGTGGTGAGGCACTGGCTCAGATTTTCCAGAGAAGCTGTGGCTGCTCCATCCCTGGCAGTGTTCAAGGCCAGATCGGATGGGGCTTGGAGCAACTTGGTCTCGTGGGAGGTGTCCCTGCCCATGGCAGGGGTTGGAACTGGATGAGCTTTAAGGTCCCTTCCAATCCAAATCACTCTATGATTCTATGATTGTATGGAGGTCATCAAAGGGCTGCTACTGCTCAGTACTGTAACACCTGCCACTTCTTCAGGTTCCTCTGCAGGTATGTTACACAAACCCATTTAGGCTGCTACCTTGTGGCACTCTTCACCTTTGAATAACATGAAGCCACTTCTTTATCCATTGGTGTTTTCACCTTGGTTAATCCCAACTTGCCTTTATTTCCCCTGCCCATGCTTCCATTTAAGGACTGTAATCAAACACCAGTGTTTAAGTTCTAGTTAAAAAAAAATAATCCCAAAACCCCAAACCAACCAACCCCAAATCAGAAGGAAATTTAAAGAGTGCAGTTTTCAAAATGGTAGAGTTTGGCATTTTGTGACTTCTTACTGTATAACTCAAGTGGTGCCATCTCCTGACTAGCTACTTGTTTAGAGAGAACACAAAATATGCACCTCCAGTCCTTGAAAGCACGCTCTAAGTTAGCTTGGCCTGTCAAGCTAGATGGCATTTACCATCAATCTGTAGACGGCTCTTGCAGCAGTTGTCAGATGATATTCCTTCCTTGCTCTGAACTAACAACAAGACATGGGATGAACAACTGTCCATTTTGATTCCTCATTAGAAAAAGAAGATAACTGCACTTTTAAAATGGGCTGCGGACCCAGCTGATGTTGTTTGCACCAGCAGACAATAAGCTCAAAGTGAGAACGTGGCCAGAGAAGCTGCTGGGCTTTTGTTGAAAGAGGAAATTTTTGCTTGCAGATAGCTTAAGAGAGTCATCACTCTGGTATTAGAATCATTCTGTCGTGTGGGATTTTTTAAAGCCTGATAATTTGAGATGATGAAAATTAGTTGAGTAATGACCCAGCATTGCTGCAGTACAGCATTTTGCTTAATATAGAGGCAGCTTGTGCTGCATCTGCAGGTCGTCAAAAATACACACAGGCATGACTCAAACTTCTGCTCTCCATTCCCAAGAACATTTCCAATGGACCCCATCCTTCAGTTCAGCCAGAAAGCTGTTGCTACTTGTGCAGGCATGAAAAACCATAAGCTGGGTAGCAGACATCGTATCTCCACAGCAGAAGTACAAAGCCTTTAACTGCTGCTCTGAGCCTGGCCACTTTGTCATGTTTTGCATAAGCCTGGCTTACCCGCAGGAAAAATGGGAATTTCCGACCATAAAAGCCAACTCTGAAAAACTCAGGTTCTAAGCGCTGCTGCTCCATGATATTATCGTAATAGGTGGCTTCCATTTTCTGTGGAGGACAAAAATAGCTGCTATCAGACCCTTAAACATTAGAATCTCAGGACACATTCAGACATCACATTACCCTTTTGCTCCCACTATTTGTATGAAAAGACCAACATTCTGTTAAAAATTACTAATGAAACAGACTCTGTTCACGGTGGAAGAGACTATGGGATCCTCACACTCATTCTACACTTCTGGAGATGACATATGAAAATCTTGTTGTATCTCATTTTAAATTAAACAGGTCTTGCATGTAATCTTCTTAGCACTGCAGAATTAATGGCAGAGCTGAGATTAAGATCTATGTTGCCTAGCTCACAGTGTCCTATTCTTTCCTGCAGCTCAAAATCTATACCACTGCCTGGGAAATTACATCATGTCAATTGGGTTTGCCTTAATTGAGTTGAGGGACATGAAAAAAATTGAAACAAAATTAAATCTTCTACAGCTCTGTGCACCAGTAGGTTTAACATGGAGGAAAAAGGGGTTTTGAAAAAGTAAAAGGACTTTTCTCTAGTTCCAGTGATTAGCTTTGTGGCACTGTGCTAGCATTTATATCCAGAGTGGGATTTCAAGACCCCTTGCCAAACTGAATCTCAGTTGAAAGGCTCACAGGAATTTCATTATAGCAAAAAGATAGCTTTTTAAAGGGAAGCAGCAATTTGACATCATTGCTTCCACTGCAGGGAACCCTAACAGCAGCTCTGAGTTCCAACATTGTATCAAGGTTTTGTTCTTGGTTCCCATACCCATTAATGCCTTTTCTAAAAGGGAGAAAATCCCCAAATCACTGCAGGAAAAGTAAAGGGATGTGTTGAATGGTGTGAATGGCACAGAGAAGAACTCTTTAGAGTGGGGAGAAATTCAAGTTGGTTCAAGGCAACACAGATTTAGGAAACCTGAACAGAAAACCAATCCCACACAGGTGAGTGAAAGGATGAGGTAAACTGGTTCTACCAATGCTCCTCATCTGCCAGCTGATTAGATCCAAATAATAATGAAGCAGCAGCAAGAATAGCTGATTTACTGATGTTTTAGGAAAGCAAGTCTTTGATTCACAACTGGACTAAGCCTTTACCCTGCTCATCATTCATGATGACGGTATTTCCTGTACAACAAGATGTTCTACATGTCTACAATAAAGAAGTGCACATCCAAGGTGGTCACCTAAACTCTCTTTAGGGTCACTCTGAGGAAAACAGGTTCTTCAGAAGTGCAGTTCATGAGTCCTAATCAGACAGGTAAATTTGGAGAAGAATAAATTTGACTTGTAAAGAGAATTTAAACCACTGTGTATAAGAATACATCCACACAGCCTAAATCTTAAATTTGGATACATGTGTGCTACCCCAGGGGACAAAAGCAGAATGAAATATTTTCACATTCATAAAGCTTTTAAGTAACAACCTGAACTTTGACTTTCTGATTCAAGCACGATGCTGCAAATGTGCCCTGATTTCATCATGTGCTTGGTTTTACTGGTTCTTGTAAATTGTTAAGAACATCAGAAGTGGTTACCTTCATTCTGTCTCTCTTGTTCCTCTCATGTCAAGTGAGACACAAGCTGTCCTTCATATTTTTGGAATTAAAATGAAATATGTGTGTTTCCAGGCCATCTGAATTTACTGTTGTCCCTGCTTTGAGCAGGAGGTTGGGCTAGATGAGACAAACTGCTGCTACTTACTCGAATCCAGCTGAGGCTCTGATAATCATAGAGGCTTTCGTACTGGACGGCCAGTTCTCTGCACAGCGGGATTCCAAACTCCCAGCTCTGTGAAACCAAAGCAGATCACACTCACAGCAAACAGACTGTTATTGCCAGCGCAGCTGAGAGGAATATGGAAGCTCAATTTTGGGAATTCATTTGGTATGAAATGCCAGGGATTAGATGTGAAAATGCAGTGTGATGAAACGGTTTCCATTAAATAGCAGATTAATTCCTTCTTCAAGATGGCAACGGAGGCATATGTTCCATTGAAATTACACACACATACTGCTTTTTTTTGACAGTTCATTCATGAGACTGGGAACTTATGCAGAGAAAGATAATACAACTAACACTTGTTTCTTCTTGTTAGACACCCCTTTAACCCACCCCCAATATCCTTTGCTTTCTGCACTAAAACTCCCTGGAGCAGAGCTGGGGCTTAGCTCCCCAGCAAAATGCTCCCCTACACATAAGGCTGCTGCTTCCTACTGAAAGCACAAAACTGTCAAGCAATGGGAAACACTCCAATACAGGGACAGAACACCCTCAGGATTGACCTTTATCACTGCTCTGAGTGAATACCCATATTCAGAACTGAAAGCAAAAAAACTTCCAGTCTGCACACAATAAATCTTTCCTAGCATACCATACACATTACCCTCAGAGGTAAGGCAGAGAAAGACTGAGTTTGGGCACCTCACTCTGAAAGACTTCTGTTACATCACTTAGCTTTTTCAAGTGCTCATTTTACACCTTGATCTGGAATCTCCTTTCCATCATCTTTATCCTGCAGAGATACGAAGCCTCTAGGGGGGCTGTTTGTTACCACACTTACATAAAGGAACACCAAGGTCTCAGTTGAACCTTTACTGGATTAACTTTTATGCATTACTGGGCTAACTTGCCAGTTGTTTTAAGTGGGACTCTGTTGTGGTGAAAACAAAATTAATGTGTGAGTTAGACTGTCACCTAAGGTTTTAGGAATATTCGTAGCAATATTGTAAATTATTGGTAACAGCAATTAACAGTAATTATGTAAAATATTAGCACTCAATATGGAAATAGTTTTTCTGGTTACGTGCATCTGCATTTAGAAATGAATCTCTACACTGTTTGATTTAGTGTATTAAGTACTTTACAACACTTCACACACATTTGTAGTGTTTGGTCTCTCATGCTTAGTATCAGGAAAGCTTTTTATCTCTGCATAGCAAAACTACTATCTGTAGTATTGTAGCAAAATAGCAAATACTACTACATGTAGGCAAATAGCAAACAGCTACTTGCTGAACAGCAAAACTACTACATGTAGGAACTTTTTTATTAAAATAAGGTATTTAGTAAGAACTAAAAATGCGAAAATAATGATTGTACATCTATTTAGGTTCAGTTAATTACAAAAACTTACCTAAGAATTTGCTAAATAAAAGATTCTTCCAGAATCAGTTGGGATATTCTGCCAGTTATTTGAGATGATGGGAAGCCTGAGGTTTATTTAGCTAAATATAGTACACATAAGAAATTAACTAGAAGACCAGGTACTTGACTACTCAGAATATTACTCAGGTATCCGTGATCTCAAACAGGATTTTCGCTGTGGGTTGTCAAAATCCGTGGCATACAAACTGATACACTGAATTGGGATCAACAGCAGTAACCAGTTCCGTGTTTGTATTTGCAAACACAAGCACCACTGCATTGTTTAGTAGGTTTTAATATTCTTTAGAGAGACACTATACACAGATTTTCAGTCCTTTCCTCATCTACATTCACTTGAAATAATGGAAAAGTCTCTCTGAAACATCTGGCCAGGAATAAATGGCTTTGGTCACACAGAGTGAGAGCAGAGTCTCACTTCCAAATGGGATGCTACATAATTCTCTAATCTGCCTTGTGGACAGAAGCAGAAAGCTAGCTGGCTGTCTTCCCTCGAGGTGATCCTAAAGATGTGACCTTTTCAAGCTCCTTTTCACATCTTATTTCTCTTTAGACCAGCTCTTTTACATGTACCCTGATACTATTCCTGTCACCCTAACTCAGGCTTTCTCTCTTTGTTTCAGCTGGATTTCCACACAGATAAAATCCACTCTGCTACCTGAATACTCTGCAGCTACAACATGAGATAGAGAAGCAAAGAAACACAAGGTACAGGTAACTTCTTAAGAGAGAGAAAAGAGTTTGAAGATATCTGAAAGAAAAAAAGAATGAATGGGTATCTGAGTCACTGGGATCCTCACTTTTAAAATCTGTGATGTTCATGAGTACCATCCTCACAGTCTAGAAAGTTAATATGGAATTCCATGTGCTGTGCAAGCGTCACTTCCCTCCAAAGCATCGTTCTTCCCCCGTTCAAATAATCTCCTAATGTCTCCACTGTTAATTTCCTTCATCACTGCTTTCTGTTTTGCTGAAGTCTGATCTGGCTGCATGTTCTGTAATCATGTCCTTCACTTGAAAAACACATTCATATGACAATTATTGCAGCTTTCTCCTATGCCACTGGGAACTCGCAGTTGAGTGCTACTGACTGCACACCAGGAGGCACAGATAGAGACAACTGGCTTCTGTAAGTGGCAGCTTATATCTACTCACATGCCAGGGTGCAGATTTCTTTTGGAAATACAATTTATATGAGGGTGCATAAGAAAAATTTCAATGTTGGGTATGGAGCACATGATCTAAAAATAAATGACTTTGGAAATACAGCTTTGGGTCTCTCACAGCACTTCACTGCTCAAAGAAGAATACACACAGTGATGCTGCAACTGGAGCTGGTCAGGATTTTAGTTAGTAAAATCCAGCAGTGAACTGGACAGAAAAGGGTTGTGTAGTTTTTAAGCTACTGCTGTCCAGAAGCATGATCAGTTGGGAACTGTTCTATTCAGTCTTCTTCAACCAGAAAACCTTGAGTTTTAACAGACAAAATTGTGAGTTTAAAAAAAAAGAAGATAAAAATCTTCAATTACAGTTCTGCACCTGCACACTCTGCTGACTGAGCCAGAAACCATCCAAGGCATACCAGGAATCAATAGGAGGGAGCACACAACCAGAGTGAAGGCTAAAAGGGCTTTCAATACCTTTGTTCCTTCCCAGCACATAGCTGCTGCCAACAATATTGAGAAGAGGAGTGACTCAATTCTGCATCCCACTGCAGTGCTCCAGGCCTGCCATGGGCCATACCACCACTCCTTGCCCTCCACTGGCATGGCCTTTATGCCAAACTCACAAGGCAGTCTTGTGGCCATAGTTTTACCCCACTGCTGTGCTGAGAAAATTATCCCACCAACAAATGAAGATATTTTTTACTTCCTTTTCATGCTGCTTTGACCTCCTTTCTTAGTAGGAGATGCCAGGAGCAGCATGAGAAATTTAACTCTAGAAATGCAACAGGACACAGAACAACACATTCCACTCTTTGGGATGTGAGAAGGGACCATCTTAGGGTAGCACAGAAAGAAGCTATCAGATGTAAGGTGAGGAAAGCAAATCTCTTCCACTCCCTGAACTGTTTGTTCCCTGTTACACAGAAACAGAAAGAGTGCTGAAAAGCAGCAGGAGAATTTGGCTTCTCAGCGTCTTTGACTTCCACAGTTTGAGTGACATATACACTGCTTAAGTGGATTACTTAGTTATTTGGTTACCATTTATAATAAAAGAGTGTTAAAAGACGAAGTCAAGGAACTCCAAAAACATCCAGTGGGGAAAATCCCTCAAGAGGTTAACACTATAATCGGGTCAGAGTTTTATGGTGAAATTACATCCGTCAAGTTTTCAGTCCCCTTCAGTGCATCCATGGAGTGCCTGGTTTTGTTAAAAACACAGGCTTATTTCCTTTACATAGCCTCTAGATGATCTTTGTCTGCTCAGGCAGCACAGGACTGCAGTATTTGCACAAATCAGTAATCCAAGTGCAATCTGAAAAACCCTGAGAATTTCTGAAACTGCAGAGAACCATATGCACTGTCATTACAAAAGAACAATTCTGGTAAAAACAACTCCATAAATAATTATTCTTAATGAATCACTTCTTCATAAATAGGCCATTTCTTCCTACACACAGGGATCTGACTTCCTTTTGTAGGTTCTGCAGAGAATATCACTGCCAAACGCAACTTTCTATTGTCAGCGCTAGGAAAGGAGCTGGAATGGCAGCCCCATATGAGAACCGAATCACATTTGTATTTAATGCCACTGTCATTGTCATCACTGGCAAAACCCACCCCGGGGCGCACACACAGATGTTATCTTCCAGTAACAGAAGCTGCAGGAATTTTTCTAGAGAAAGGAAAAATCTGAAAACATTCTGACAGATGATATCACTTGTAAGGTTCATCTCTGAAATGTTCCCCAAGCACATGCCACAGGGGACTTAACACCCACCTCTGCAGCAAGTAAAACAATACTTACTGCAGGAAACCCAAACTGAATATGTGAAATGGGAATGTATTGATTTTCTCCTAGTGCAATGGATGGAACTGCACTTTGATTGAAAGCCACTTGAACAGTGACACTGGAAAAACTTTAGTCTTTTTTAATAAAGGGCACTGCCTGCCATTTACTTCTATAGCTTAGAAACAAAACAAATCCTGAAGTGAGTCATAACACAGCAATCTGCATAGACAACTACCGAATGCGGTCCTGACCGAAAAAGCTGTGGAACTGGTGTCATTCTGCTACATTAGGTGATCCAGAGTTTGGTTTAAAGGTTTTGGTGTTTTTTCTGTTGGCCTACCTAAACTAATTCCAAATGTTATGCATCATGCAATGCCCATATCCATTTTTTCATCTGTTTTTCTTTTGTCCAGAAAGCCAAGAAACAATGTGTCAAGTTAGAAAAGCTTTTGATATAAATTTACTTCCAGAACCGAGAGGACAGGCTCGCAAGCCCTAAGTAAGTCAGGAAAAGGGAAGGAAGCTGCTGGAAGAGAGAAGAAGTTGGCATACCTTCCCTTTGTTGAAGTAATGGATAATCTTACGGCACAGACCTTCCTTACGTTGCCACTCTGACTGAGATGGGTAATGCAGGAACTCTCTCAGAGGTCTGTCCTCCCACTGAAGCAACTCACAGTACAAAAGCAAAGTAAATGCAGCCTCTGTTGGAAATGCAATTATTGAACATTGAATCAATGACAACAAACAAATAGAGCCGGTAGTTGAATGGTCACGAGACCTGCTTCCTAAACAGCCTGTAACTTCTGATTTACAACCTGAGACAAAACTCTCAAGTCTTAGATGATCATTAATTACTCAACTACCTAAAATAGCAGCAAAAAGCTGTTTCCTGCAAACCTGATTTTTAGGTACAAATATGTCAAGTTTCTTTTTACCACTCCTTGATTTAAATGCGTGGTCAGACATTCAGATATGTAACTAGGTTTGGAATCTGCAGCTCTAAACAGAACTTGGACAAGACAAAATCAGAGTCTTTACACTTTCTGAGTGCTCTCTAAATACTACAGTGTAGGGAGATATGACAAATGATAACATAATGCTGGTTTTATGATTTTACTTCCTCTAAATTTGATCCACTCTCTTGATTTGTTGGATCGGTTTTTCTCTTAGAACACTTTAATGCAAAATTCAGAGTGCAACCAAATAGTTACATGGCTGTGTAGGCACAGACATACATTATTTGACTTGAGGGAATGAGCTGGACCTCAGGTTCTTCTTGAGGGTGGCAGAGCACTGGAACAGGCTGCCCAGGGGGGCTGCAGACTCTCTCTCTCTGGAGATGTTCCTGTGTAATGTGCTCTGGGTGGTCCTGCCTTGGCAGGGGTTGGACTGGAAGATCTCCAGAGGTCATTTCCAACCCAAATGATTCTGTGATCCTGTGATTCTTTCTTTCCCAATTGCCAGAACGGATTCCTACAATTCTTTCCCAAAGAATGAATCCGATGTTAGAGTGTAACACTGGGAAAGTCAAAACCTTCCACAGGATTTCAAGCAGACCACAGTACAATGCATTACTAACCTGTGTAGTTCTCAGCCTGTAAGTGCATGTCACACAGCTTGTGGATGTAGCGGATGTACATCTCTTCCTTGTTAATTTCAGATTTATAGAAATTCTATGAAAGAAAAGAGAGCTGTTATTGAGCCCCTGTGTGTGTATAAAGTTATTCAAAGGTGAATACGTTACTTGTATGAAAGAAGTAATAATTATTTTCACATTCACATTGATTTAACCCACTAATTTTACCTTGTCATTATTTTGTTTTAAGCAAAGGTTGTCAAAAGATGAAAGAAAAGGCAACAGAAGTTGTGGAACCTGTCACAGGGATACTCAGAACTCTGCTGGACAAGGCCCTGAGGAACCTGACCCGTTTGGCTCCAATTCAAGCACAATCCCTGTTGTTCTGTTCTGTCATCCCAGTGCTAGGATTCTGAAACTACTACACTTGCCTGAAACAGATTCCTATCCCAGCTTTTCCCAGCCCAGTTTTGACAGCGTTGCGCAGGAGTACAAAGAGAGAAAGGAAACATCTTTACCATAAGGTTAACAGTGCAGCCAATTTTCTTGTTTTCTGTTTCATCTCCTTTCATGCAGTCCCTAGGAAAGCAGACAGTGTTGAAACATACATCTGCGAAAAAAGTCCTTTGAAAATACATCTGAAGCTGTCTTATCCTCCAGTTTCCTTAGATCACAAGCAACAGTTCATCATATACTTTATTTTATGAAGTTCCTCTAAGAAAAAAACTCCATATTATGGCTTAAATGATATGGGAACTGAGTGTCCTCTTACATGTCTGCTTCAGAGAACAAGCACCTGTAATGACTGCTACTTCATTTCTCACAACCACCTGAACAAAAATCACATAATAATGGCCAAAAATCATCTGAATGCAAAATCTACTATAAAAGTAGATATATATTATTTAGGCAGATGTAAGTATTTAGTGGTTTCCTAGTCAAAGCATTAGCTTCATGAATTCACCTATCCAGTGTACTGTTGGCACGCTGAAAGATCCAACCTGAGCAATTTTGACTAGACTGCTCACTTTTCATAGGTAAATCACAAAATTTACCTTTAGTTTCTGGAATAATTTAGAAATCATTCCTATTCAAGCAGTATGAAAAGTTAAAGGCTTCACAAATTACTAATTATGACTTGAGATCAAGTCAAATTCAACTGTGAAAAAGATACAAGATGTTTAAAGCAGTGACACAGCAAATGGTCTTGAGGACTACAGCATCCACTAACTGGCAGCTGGACTCCCGGAGATGCCGGTGTGTTTCCAAGGTCCTGTTCTGGGATTGAAAAGATCTGATGTGTATTAAAAAATCAAAACCTGGTATGTGTTCCTCAGTTAAGCATGAAAGGGTGTATCTGTGTAGCAAAGTTGTGTTGGCAGCAGATGTCATCAAAGGAAAAAAAAAAGCTCCCCTGCATTCCCTTTAAAGGTCTCCCAATACCTGGTCTTGGCATAGCAGAGCTGTTGTGGGGAAACAAGCAGGAGATCTGATCAAACTGGTAAGGATAACAAGAGCAGCAAACCAGAAAGCACAGAAAATGATCTGGGATTGCAGAATACCCAGCCTAGTCACAGGTGTTCACCTATAATGAGCAGCAGAAGGAGCAGAAATAATTTGCACTCCTGTCAGTAGGCTAAAGATAGAAATATTTAGGGCAGTTCCATTTAGTTTCAAATCATCTGTCATTCCATAAAGACATCTCTGAATGTCTGTCTGTATATATATGAAACTAAAATACCCTTGTAAGTGAATGAAAGCTCAGCTGTATTGACACAATAGTCCTGCAAGCTTCAGTCTAAACCTTAACAAAGGACACCTAATTTAGAGTGGAGTCTTGTACACATGAGTCACCAGCTGACACATCAGTCTCCTTGGATGGAAAGTTTTCTAGCCCTGCATGAGGCATTCAGCACATCTTGGTCCAGCAAAGGCATTTCAGCTCGTTCTTGCATCTAGGATCTGTTTTGCTGAATTAGGCGAGTACATGGCAGTAATAGGAGTTATTTAGCAACCTGACTACACCTCAGTACAACAGCAGTGGGTTAGACTTGCTTACATGGTATTTGCCGTTGGAAAACCATGTGGCTTGATAAGCAAAAATACTCCCTGTAGCAAAGAAATTTGGTACTACCTCTTTACACACTTCTTACACTTAGAAGATATAACCAGGTACCTGTAGTCAAGCAGACGCTCCATGAGACGAGTAACTGATGTAACAAAAGAGATTCCAGTCTCCCGCCATGTTTCTTGCTCAATCTTCTCCAGCAAACTGTTTGGAGATGGAAATACAGCAGATGAAACTTGCCAGGAGGTGGTACAGTGCATGCAGACAGCCACAGGAAACTTGGTTTCTCCCTCATCAAACAAAGACATAGAATTACCGTCTTACCTGGGATAAGGCCCAAAGAGCTGGGTTCTACTCCAGGCGGCATGAAGCAAAGACAAGGAAATTACAGAACTGACAGGAGAGGGGAAAAGTATATTCACATTGTCATATAAAATCTATGAAAAAGAGCAGAGCTCACGGCAAGAGTTGACGCCCACAGTATTACCTGTAGCCTAGAAACTGCAAACAGCAGTCAGGAGGTGGAAAGGAGTCTAATCCTACTGCAAATACCTCTTCATTGCTCATCCCTACACGAAGTTTTGCCTAATTAGCCACCAACATACCTTAAATCACAATTTATTTAAACTGTAAATAAAGGCAATTTGTTCCTGCTCAGCAAACCAGACACCACAGCGAGCATCTCCCTGAGACAGCTGTGAAGGATGCGAGAAGGCTAGAGTGAGAGCACTGAAAATCAGATTTTAAATGTGAAAAAAGGAAGCAAATTTACATGCGAAATAAACTCCATCTCTGAACCTCCACCTCTGGTACAGAACTTGCCACTTCTGTACTGGCAAGAGGAAACAAATTCTGCTGGGTGCCACAGTTGTCCTCAGAAGAGGCAAACTTCTGTACTGGAATGATTTCCAGCTGAGGGAGCCAATTCACATTTCAGCAGTGTAGCTGAGACAGCAAAAATTCAGGGTCATTTTCATTATCACACAGCATTTATTAGCTTTGTGGAACTGTTTCCTCAAAGTTCACATTGTTCTCAGAAGTCAGTAGCAAATATAAACTAAAAGGTTGCTGCACTTCCAGGCTGTTTCTTGCTATTACATCCAGTTGCTATCATTTAACAACCTACAGTCCCTGAATTCTTAACATTCCAGGTGACAAACGTCTTCAACTGGAGCAAAAGAAATGCACAATATTCCCCTTGCCAGGTAAATGAAATTAAAAAAATGAGAGTGGATATTTTCTTTCCTTTACCCCTGAAATAGCCTGAGGTTATCTGCAAAGATAAGATGCCCAACTTCCCAAGGCTGAATATACACAAATCAAAAGCAAATACATTCACGAGCTTCCTAAGCATAAGCACACAGGCAGGGCAGGCTGATCTATCTTGAAACTGAATGTATGTGCCATTGTAAATGCAGAAATACACGTACTGGCTCCAGCAAAACAAAGGCTGAGCCTCAAACTTCTGCCATGCTATTGAGGGCCACATAAAATTGGCTGGGATATATGGCTAAAGTTCTGCTCTGTGGCTCACTGCAGCACCAAAAGATTCAGGGTTAATGGCTCTGGACTCTGAGTTCATTTCAAAATAAGTTCTTTTGAAATCAGCTAGGATCACTGGAAGTGAAATTTGGAGACAGATCAGTCATCAACCAAGAGGAAAGTCAGAGGTAAAGTCTGTACGTTTATCCTGTAAGTACACATTTTAGGTGGGAAAGGGAGTGGACCCACACTGTCATTACAGAGTCTGCAGGAAGCACCTTGCAACTGCTGAGCCAACCAGAGCACGACCTGCAAATACTGGAAGAAGCAAAGGACAATGGTGAGGAAAATCTCTTGTGCTCTAACGAGGCCTGACTTAGCTTGACAGTACAGGCTTCTTCTAAACAATTTCACTTACTGCTATGTAAAAAGAAAGGCACTGGCTTCTCTAGCAAATCAAGTTTTGATAGGAGGATGGTACCTACACATACCTGTGCAGCATACCACGTGTCACAGAAACAAGACAGAATTTAGAGTTTATATTCTGTTCAGAATTAGAGTGATGTATTTCTATTTCACTAACCCACATCATGAAAACCTGCCAGAAAGCCCCTTACTGCTTTCTGTGAGGATCAGCCCTGGAGCTCTGCCTGCACAGGTTCCTGCCTTTGACCCTTTCAATGACCCTGCCCCACACAGAGTGAGCGGACACTGGCATAGCTTACAGCAGGCTGAAGAGTTCCCTGTAGTTCTCATCACCTTTTCCTTCGGACACCAGGCTGTCCAGCTTATCAATCAGCTCGGCTTCCACCTGGAGGAAGAAGCAATTGGTCACAGATGAGCTGCTCATGTAAAAGATGAGCTGCAAACACTAGGAAGAATGGAAGAATATTTTATTTCTCAGCCTTGGGGCTGCCCACTTCTATGTGCAAGTGATTTATTTCTCCTTGGCTCAGTTAAATGGGCACACTCTTATTTTTCAGTGAAACAGGACTAATACTAAATTATCCTTTCACTTATCGGGATCTAAATAAACATTTTTGGGAGGAAACACTTCTTCCTCAAAGACCTTCTGAAGTTTATCTTTTAACCAAATAAATCACTCAGACACACTTCTGTGAACCAGTGTATCAGATAAACTACATCCTGTACTGTCACAGAATACCCATGCAGAGAATCTAATTCATGGCGTGCTTGCCTCTGGTCTGTTGTGACGGTTCTGCTGCTAGGTGATTTCCAGTCATCCAGATATCATTACACTGGAAGATTATTTGTTCCTTAAATCCAGATTTGTTGAGCCTGTCTATGATTATATGATGCATTTTCTTTTCACACAACAGTATCATTATGTTTCTCTCCCCTTTAAAAGGTTTTGAACATGTATTCATTTCCCCCCCAGTCTAATACCACCTATTATCAAGTTTGATATCAGACATTGCCATTAAATTGATTCAAGTGCAAAAATCAATGTGTCCAACATTAAACAGAACCATTTCATGTAGTTTGGGAAATCTTGTAGAAAACACACTTTCAGCCCTATTGAAGACAGAGGTTCCTAAAGGTTGAGAGCATTTGTAGAAATACAGCTTGTTTTTATTTACAGACAAGTATAATTTGAGTTTCTCTGTTTTCAGCTGCCAAATTGCAAAGAAAATAAAGATGAGAAGGAAAAGCAAATCACCCAGTGGCACACAAATGGGGCTCGTGCTCTTGCCGCTGGAAATCATTAAAGGGTGACCTGATTTAGCCCGTGAATCAGACTGCACCATTATTCTGTATTGCTGAAAAAATAACCTTAAAATGTGAGAGAATAAAATAAGGGCTCAAAAAGGAACTTCCAGGATTTTAGTGTTTGCCGAGAACCAGTTCAGTATTCCAGAAGTAAAGAGAAGCTCAACATTAAAAAAATCACCCTCTCCTTCTTGTGATCTACAATGACTTGACAGAAATCCATAATGCATCTATCTGTCAGCTCTCTGGCACTGCACTGGACAACAATTTCCTGGTTCCAGCAGCTGATGTTATTAAGGTTTAATACATCTTGTGCTATTTAACTATTTCATTCTCACTAATATACATGATTATTCTGTCTTTAATCTTAAAAAGTTCTCATATATGCTTCATAAAACACTGTGGAAAACTGCTCCACAGGTAATTTAAGAAATATCTTGGAGCTCTAGTTTAGAATACATTACTGAGAATAAGAATTAAATGAAGATTATGAAGAGTTTCTCTTAATACATAAAATAGGTCCTGAAACTTGACTGTGAGTATCTGTACTTTATAACTGTACATGCCACAGCAGGGACTGTTCTATTCTTAAGCTATAACAAACAAAAAGAGGACCATGATCAAATGCTACTGTAATAATAATAGTAGTAAATAATAACAATAGTAATAACTAGGGGAGTTGAAGAGGAATAAAAACAATGCTTTTCCACACAGCCTTTAATAGGTCAGGTTATGGAAAAGGTCTGTTATTCTCGAATGACAGTTTAGATCTGCCATTTTAGTGAGTGTGTGGATGATAAATAACCACATGAATTAATGACAATTTGAAGAAAAGAATTTACTACTTCAGAGCATTTATCCAGACACTTGCCCCCAGTATTTCCCCGAACACAGTAACAAGGAAAAGAATGCTACAAATGCTTGGGAAGCCACTTCACCTGTTTGAAGTTGCCATTCTTTCTCTGCTCCCAGTCCATCATGTCATGGAAGATGGGGATCATGATATTCCGGACTTCTGGTTGTGGAACAAGCGTAACACCAAGAAAGGGGCCAATCATTCCCGGAATAAAGTGAATCTTATGTTCACCTGTACAACACAAAGCAATTGTAATTAAAGAAAGGCCTCTGTCACTGAGAAAATAGGGAACCCCTGCAATACAAAGTCTCAGCATGAGCATTAGGAAAGCAAACACATTCTTTTCCTGAAAGGACTGGAAAACAGTATTTGCTTTATGCCATTCCTTGCAAAGGCTCTGCGAGCATTCTGAATTTCACTGTGAAAGCCCTCAGCAAAGACTGTCAGTGCATTTTACTTGCAAAGGAATTGAAATGTCAAAATTAACCACTAAAATGGGGAAAAGAGCCTACAGATACTTCTAACTTATGAAGAAAATGATTTTGAAAGGGTTGGTGGGAACAGTGGTATTTAATAGAGCATATTTAGATTTCAGAGAACTACAGAGCTCTTCATCCTCAGTGCTATGGAAGCCTCAATTTCATAACTGACCTTGACTTAGGACCAAATTGCTTTTGCTTCTCAGCAACAGAAACTCAAGGCATTTTGCCAACAATCTCTTCTGTGGCATGCTTACTGTGCAGTCACAGAGAATAAATCAGAATAGTCATGTTTGGAACAGCATTCAGTGATAAATATCTGTATCTAAAAGATCTAAAATGGGCTTCTTGCTTCTCATTTGAGTTTGTCTAGCATTGTCTTCTGGTTATTCGATCTCTGTTTTATTGGAGAGCCTTCTAGTCTCCACACAGATGCTTAGAAACTGTGATCAAGTCTGGCTGTTACCATCTCAGCTGTGCCAGATGAGGCAGGCTTATTCTGTATTTTATAATAAGGCATTTTCTTGCTTCCATAGTCATCTTCCTGACTGTTCTCTGAGCTCTGCCCAACTTGACTTTGCTTGTTTGGTTTTGGGCTTTTTTTGAGCAGGAAAGCAGGACCAGACAAACTACTCCAGAATCAGGTGCACTTATGCAAAACTTGGGGCAGTAGTATCATCCCTCTTCTCTTACAAAAGAGTCTTACACATCTTCTCCAAGATTATGGTGTCTTTTTTACTCATGCCATTTTACAGGTAGCTCCCATTCACTCATTATCAGCATGATGCATTTATAGTCCCTGTTTCTCGAACAGCACTCCTACCTACATTCCTCTAAGTAAAATGTTCATATTTGGCTTTTTTAATATATTGTTTGCAGCCACGTTATCAAGTTATCCAATTTTATTTGTATCATTCTTTTACCCTCTTAATGATTTCCCTGTTTTCAAAACCTTCTATTATTTGTGATCCCTATCAGCAAGCATTTTTAATTTCCATCTAGAATAACTACATGCTTTGATTGTCCTCAAAACATTTCCACAGGTATCATTTTTGGTCCCTGAGGGAGGCAGGACACTGGCCTAGCTGGACTTGCTCCGATGCCATACAGATGTTATGTGGCTCTCCTATTAATAAAATCCTGACTACCTGAATTACCTAAACCCAAGACTACTGCAGCACACTTCTAAAAGTGCAAGTCCTAGATGAAAAAAATCAACATTTACCTTTTCAGACCTGTGGCAAGTTATATTTCCCTCATTCTTAATCAAAATATATAGGAAAAGGAAGGTGAAATTTTAAAACACAAACACTGTGTTACTGTGGACAGGGCTTTTGGTTTGGATTCTCTGTTTGGTGTTCTTAAAGTAGTACTGCAGAATTTGCTGTACATACCAGATATGTACACCAAGAAAAAAGCTTCAGTGTATGCCACTTCTGGGCTTTATTAATCAACACATGTAGCCATGGTTTAGTGATGGACTTGGCATCATTAGGTTTACAGTTGGACTCGATCTTAAGGGCCTTCTCCAACCTGACTGACTCTCTGATTCTGTAATTCTGAATGAGGACAACTTTGGCTTTTGAATCATCTGCAAACTTTTAAAGTTGCTTTTAGCTGTGGCAAATTAAATTTGTGCTTTACAGCCAAAAAAATAAACGTTCCAACGGGAAAGCAGGCTTTGGTTGTTAGGACAGAGAAGAAAGAGACATACCCAGGTTCTGCCACATGCTGAAGAGCTCGTATGCCATCATCACTCTCATATCGCCGTATCTGAAAGAGAGGAGATGGACAACTGCCTAACGGAACAAGAACTGGCAAGGCAGTGATGTTAAAAAAATGTAATCAAATTCACATTTAAGTCAACACAAGAATATCAAACAACTTGACTCATCACTGAACACAGTATTAGGAGAGGTACTTATTTTTTTCCCATGCATTTCCACATCCCAAGTTCCATATTAAAACACAGGGACTTGTGGTGGAAAAAGAAGTCTCCTTTTTGAAGTGGCAGAAGAGGCTGGGAACCCAGCAAAACATGTTCTTACTTATCCAGGATCTTCTTCCGCTTAGCTGGTGTGGCACTTTCTAGTTGGAGACTTGGCTGGTTTATAAAGAGCACTGCCAGGCTGAAGTAAGAGTTCCACACCTGTGACACAGGAAGGAAGTTTTACAACATGACACTTCAAGGATTAAGTTCTAAACAAGTGTAGCAAGACACACACACATTCCTTTATATGCAGAATCAGACTGCTTCTTTTTGTAATCAAGACATAACTTAGTATGCATTAACTATTGAGATACTAAACTTTATAGGATACCAGGGGATTAGTTAAAACCTGGTAGGAACTACAGTTAAAAACCCCAAGAAGGTAATGCCATTGGGCTTCCCTCTTCGCACCAGAGTTCAGAAATGAGTAAACTTGGTGACTTCAGCAAAGTTTTAAATCCTTTTTTTCTGTAGGTTAAACAGATTTGATCCCTCAGAAATCCCCAGAGAGTATATTAGATCAGGAAGGAGAGCTCCATAATTTGGTCTTTTTTCCCAAACGAGGCTTTTGCCATCATGCTCTGTTGTGTGTATGCCTAGGTACATGTCTGTTAGCTTTTCCTTAGTAACACTGAACTTGTTGCCCATTTTCAACTACATCAGATACAGGGAAACATTCTTCAAGATACTGTGTTCCTCCAAGTTTAAAGTCAACACCCAGAAAGAGACACCTCTGGGAGGGGAAGATCACAGGTGCCCCAGCTTCAGGAAAAGCATTGACTGAGTTTACATTTCATTAGCCATGAATCTCTAACACACTTTGTTAGTTCCACTGCTTATGAAAATACTTGCTCCCTTTAGGAGGGTGCTCAATCTTTCTGATTTGATCTCACTTTGTACTACCTGTTTTGCTACCGCTTAATTCCACAGCAGATTCAAAGTCCAAGTCTTTTATCATTAGGTCATCTTCCTCACAGATACTCACATAAATGTTGCAAGTATAATCAGCTAATGTAGAGAACAGCTCTTGTGGCCCTGTTACTGCTAACTTGGCAAGATGTCATAACATTTGTTGAGTATTAATTCTTACTTTAAAATCAAAGTCCGTTTCAGTGAAATTCTTATGCAGTGCAGAAGACAGGTACTGAACTGTTGTAACTATGATACTGCAGTCAGAGACAGAGAAAGAAAACAGAAAACCAACATTTCAATCTGGTGTAGAACATATTACAGTGATGTTACTGTATGTACAGAGACAGGCATTTCCCACAGAATCACTGCTAAGTTCACATAGAAGTTGTGTGTCTTTCTCTGGTTTAATGAATGATTTGCATTAAGTAACAGAGACTGAGAATTTACGTGGGAGCGTTTAAAATCCTATTTTGCATGGCTGGGCCATGTCACCTCTGCTGAAATGAAAGCAAACACCCATCTTCCTCCCATTTTAAACATGAAGATTTTTTTTTTGTTGCCCCAGAGAGGAGCATTTCCTAAAGTTTGAGCTACTTGTAACACACTTGGTGCCATCACTAGGGTCTGCTCCTCCTCTTCAACACTCACTGAACCCTCCTGCTAGGTGGGTTAACTCTTTAATGAGTGATGTTAACGGGAAGAGCCAGATGTTTAATTCTGTAGTTTACTGGGAAAGGGAGTTGAGAGGTGTGCCTGTTGCTACCACTCCGTGTGGGCAGCTGTTCCTTGCCATGCATTATTATAGTTGCTGTGTTACTCTTACCCTTAATGCAGCTACTTCAGCTTTGGGTTTAAACTTTTAACTCTTGATACCTGTGCATATTGGGAGAGTTTAAGAAACAGAAGGAGTACAGAAGTCCCAGTTTGGTGCTGAGTGTTTAACTGCAAATGAGGATAAACAGAGTTCCTGTCCCGATCACCACATCTCAGTCTGATGAGACACACTGCTTCACGGGTCTCATCTGCCCAGCTAAGCAGAAAAAATTCCAGCACAGCACACCAACAGTTTATACGTGCTTCTCTACTTACTTGCTGGTGAGCAACCTCATCACCATCCAGTCTCGAGGAAAGACACTCATCTTCATCAGGTTCCGGAACACACAGAAAATCTTCAGGAGGAACTCCTGTCACATAGGCAAACAAAATTAATAAACCCACCAGCAGCTCAGATTAATCTGTTTTCTTGATTATAACACAGACAATTAAGCTGTGTGCTCCCCTGGAGCTTTGTGTTACTAGGCCATTCACCTGAAACCATGGACACAACACACATGGGGATATGGCTCTATTCATTTCCTACGCACCTAAGATGTACTAAACAAGTTGCATCTTAACATCTACACTGGGATGAAAACCTTTATGTGTGTAATTGTGTTTGTCTTCCCATAGCTCCAGTGTCAATTTGCAGCTATTTTCAAATATACTGGAATCATAATAATCTTTTTATGCATTCATTTCATTTATGTATCTTTCCAAATGTCTTTGCACTTCTGTTACAAGTTCTGTTACACCCAAGCCCAATAAAACTTCTCATGCACTTTCTAAAAGAGTAACAGAACCCCCCATTTCTGGCGATAGGCAGCAGAAAAGATCCCTGAAACACATTCAGCTGAGTATTTGCTTTCCAAAAAATTCCCCAAACCTGAAGACATTTCTGGGTTTGGTGACCTACGTCCCTATGTCTACAAGGAACAACAGAGGGGATGAAACATAGGAAGCTGCTGGCCTTGCAGACTATGATTTTATTGGCTTTTCTTCTACAGAAAATCAAGACAGCACTGAAGTGGCAGAGCAAGGCTTCTTCAGAACCATTACTCCTTTATTGGGGTGGGGGTAGGTCAGTATCTTGGTGCAGCTGAGCTAAAACACCAGAAGCTCCCTGACTTCTGGCCTCATTTTCGCTAACAGCAGTAAGTGAGCACAATGCCTTTCCAAGCAAGAAAAAAGTATTGGAAATGTTACATCAGTATGTGAAAGGGAAAAATTGAAATATATATATATATATATATATATAAAAAGGTGGGTATAAACTCTTGAGGCTCTGTGATACTCCTGGAACATATCCTTGAGATGATCAGAGGTGCAACAGTGTTTGGTCTTCACGTGTAACAACCAGTTTCAGTTCAATGACAAACCTTTTCACTGGTCTGACATAAGAACTATAATTTAGCTTTAAAAAAAATGTATTAAAATTAATGTGAATTAATTTAGCAAATCATTTTCCTATGAGCAATTAGAAAGTTACCTGAAAGGTAGTAATCTCAGGTAACGATCAACCTGAGATACCCTGAACCCTGCAACCTAAAGGCAAAAAAAATCATCATGCCAAATTTATCTCCCTGATTTATTCAGCCTCTCTATATGCACATGCAATGTTTAGAAGCTGAAAGCCTACTCAGAGAGGACTTCTCACTGCTTCCCCTTTTCATGTGTTAATGGCCTGCCACATTAGGTTTTTTTTCTTACTGTCCATACTTTATTGAGTGCCATGCTAATCAAAACCATTTTATATAAAATCTTATCTTTATTAAATTATCCTGCCTTTAAATACTCATCGTGTTGGCAATTCTCCTCCTTCCTGTGCAAGCTGAGTTATTTTCTGCTGCTGGGAGATGTGCTATTTCAGAGTGTCAGTGGCAGAAAGGCCACCAGAGGTCTGTACCCCTCATCAACTCCTCCTGCTCCTCAAAGGCCATGATTCAAGTGAATGCTCACAGACTTGGGAAGCATGCAGGAGGTGGAGTAGTACAGCTACTGCTTTGCCAAGAAAGAGTTCATCTGCTAGAGACATTTGTATCTCCCAAAAGGCCTGAAACTCTCTTTTGGCATAAAATCAACACCCTTAGTATGTAAGCTCCAATGCATACTGAACATCTAGTAACACGCTGTAGAACTACTGACCTTACATTCACAGGATTAAGAACCCCTGTTCCTTTGACTATCTTGTGTGGTACAATAAAATTATCCCTTTGTGTCAAATAACATCTACCTGGGGACTTTATTTGCTGTTATGACGATCATTCAGTGCCCCGTGGTCTTAAATGTTTTTTTAATACAACACCTGTTATTATAAAAGTGAAAGGAAGGTCCATGAATAGAGTGCCAGTGAATGGGAATGATTAGCAGAGCAAGTAATGATGCAGGGATTCCCCTTGGCTCTCCCTATTCTGAGTGAATCAGCCTACAAACATGATGTTCTGTTGTACCTTTAGTTCATCCTTGCTTTGGAAGTTGTCCAGTAAGTGCTGGAAATGAGTGTCTGACATCTGACGAAGCAAAGATAAAAGGCAGGAGACGTACTCTCCCTGTTGACCAAAATGAGAAACCATTTCATTCAGAGAACCTGGAATTTCACGAATAACAAAATTCAACCTGGGGAAGGGTACAAAGGGAGGGGTCTGAAATGGCCCCAATGCCTATGAGAGGAAAGCTGACATGCACAGAGACTGAAAAATACTGCGTGTTAACAGTTCTTGAATTACTGTTGTACATAGGAATACACCTCTTAGAGGCTCCTCCATAGATGTCAGTTTTAAAGGTCTTTTAAGCAATGTTGTAGTCTAACCAAAACCAATTTAAAATGATTAATATGGACATTAATGAATTGCCCTCCAAGCATGCAGGTTTTGACAGTCACCTCTTTCAGTTTCTTAATATATGATGTCTATCAAAGGTGTGACTGCAGCTCATGCAGACATACCAGGAATTATTTAAACTAACTGGTTAGGTACTGATACCACGATGACAGCATGGCATCAGTATGGGCTACAAAAGGTGTCTGGAATCTTGTAAATACTTGGCTTATTATTGTGCGCCAAGCTATGTGCTGTTGTAGCTACAGGACTTGCAGTACGCCAGCAAGATGTTCTGAATATAGCTTGGTAAGCCTACATGAGCTACAATTACATTTCTGGCCTGCAAAACAGATGCACCCTAACCAGTTACCACAGTATCCCAAAGTGTTTTCCAAAGATGAGCTCCCCCATTTTATATATCTGAAAGCAAAGCACAGAGAAGTTAAGCAATCTGTCCAAGATAACAAGCAAGGCAGTGCCAAGAACATCAGGACTATGTCTTTTGATTGCCAGCTGCTTGTACAACACTGATTTTTAATGCGACAATGAGCACTCCACTTGGAACATACGCAAACTACTTTCTAAGCAGTATCTAGTGAGATTCCACGTATCACTGTGCTGTGAAATATAAATTCAGGAACAAATACAAGGGGATTTTGTACTTGGGTCTGTCCGTCCCATTTTGATTTTATTTTCTAATTGGCTCAAGCATCTACCCGGAAGCTTTGATGTAGGCTGCTCCAATACACTTTACAGGGATGAACTTTGTTAGGAAAAGGTGTGCTCCATGTGTGAGGTGGCATCTGATAAATAACAGTAAGTCAGATGGTGGCAGTAAAAGGAAACTGAGATGTTACTGGATGTTGGCAAGGTAGCACCTTTCTTGTTTTGTATCAAAGAGCATGTCTGAAAACTACTAAATGCCTTGTTCTTTATTAGGATTCCACCATTTGTTACTTTATCTGAGTTAACATGGAAAGATACAACCTTGTCTCTTTTGTGAGAGGTGTACCTTAGTGCACCTCTGCCCCCAACACCACCTCTGAGGTTTCAGCCTGATAGAAAAGCAAGTCTAAAAAAAAGGGATGTTCTGACCACCACCACCACTGTGCAAAAGCTGCATCAGAAACTCTTGACATGCAAAAAACCCCTCCAGTAAGCTCGAATAGAAAAGGCCAACAAATCCAGAAAAGAAGAAAGTTGAACAGCAGAATACTATTCTTTTCCTCCTCTTCCACTGCATGCCAATGAAAAACTTCTTTCCTGTGGCTTATGCTGACAGTCTGGACAAAACAGTGGCTTTTCCCCCTTCTCCCACCAAGCTCAACAGCTCACTTGATTTGGGATCCATTAATTTTATGTTCTGTTTCATTTGCATGAAATAACCAGTGAGCCTGGACAGAAGCTCTCCAGGGTGTTAAGAACAGGGACCCGCCTCACTGAACATCAGGAATCAGAGCCTGATACTCATACAGCCCTTGGTGACATCTATTTGGGGGTAAAGACCTAGGCAGATACCCAGCTACCATATGCCTCAAGTTCTCTCAATTACAGCTGCAAAGTCAAGTAAGAAAATAACCTGGGAAATCCACAAAAACTTCCTGATCTCCACTGCTTCCTGCAGACCTCACTCCTGTGCAGATGAAGGAATGGATATGTGGCTTATTAAGGGAAGGAGACAAAGCCCCAGGCATTCATGCAGCAGAGATGATAATGAGGTGCCAGTGATGGTGAGGGGCTGAACCAAAGGTTAGAGAAGCAGGAAATAGAAACTGATTGTTAGTTACTAACAGTGATTTCTGCTGTGCACTGCGGGCAACGCTGCCCTCTTACCGCCTCCTGAGACTGCGATTTACTCATGATTGTAAGCAGAGTTTGTAAAAGCACATCCAGGAGGCTCTCCACCATCATCTCAACCTCCTCCACGACATCTCCCTCCTACGGTAAGCGGTGAGCAAACAAGACAGTTAGAAACTGGAGAGAATGGAATTAACAAAGACAATTCTGCAGAGCCATCCATACCACAAACTTGTTTTGATCGAGTGCTTCGCAATAGAGGTTCAAAGAAGTACAATCAAATTCCACATTGGTACCAGACACTGTTGTGATGCCAGTGTGTGTGTTACCTCGTCAGTCTCTGATGGAAACATTCAGGGTCACAGCATAAAGGTAAATCTATAATCAAAGGTCTGCATACACTCTAGAACACAACGGGATCAAGTTATGTTCAGGAACCTTCATGCCATGGCAGTGTTATTTTAGCTTATTACCATGATACCTTTCATCTTATTCCTTTCACACAAAACTGTAACTTGTAATTGGAAGTACACATTGGCATGAATTATATTTAGCACCGTGAGCTTTCTCCTTTAGAGTGAGGTGGGGAAGCTTCCCCACTCTCTGTGTGAGCATTGCTTTAAACGATCAAGTTACCATTTGAGATCAGCTTATTGTGATCATCAACGCCGGGTGTTTAAACGCAGCAGCGATTTCCAGAAGTAAGTGTGATTTCATTGATTGGATAATTTTAGAGTATTCTCTTAACATGAATCACAAAGTGCTAGTTACTGTCTCTTGCAGGACTACAAGACCTAGAGCTGTGTAAAGCTTTTAGACTCCACTGACATCTAAGTTCTGGGCTTGGATGAAGAAAATTAAACAGTGTCAAACCTAGGAAATGCGTATGTTTTTTCCCATCCTAACTGCAAGAACACTGTGTAATCAGAATGCTCGGAGTCACACACACAAAAGCAGACCCTCACTTCTCCTGCTGACAGAAGTTAGCAGAATTGCATTAAAAAACCCACCTGTATAAATCCTATAAAAACCCCTCACTCTTTATTTTATAAATAAGTGGTGCAATTAAAAAAAATAAATAATCAAGCCGCAGATTACCAAAGAGCTGGTCTTGATTATGGAGAAGATACTGCTGAGGATCCCAGAGCAGATAAGTAACTCCTTCTGCTGTCGTAGGTGAAGGTGAATGTGGTGAAGAACTACAGGTAGCAGGATGCGCCGGGACTCTGAAAGAAGGAAAATCAGACTGCAGGTTCTTCCAGAAGAAAATTCAATTTCAACCATCCCAATGAGCAGCCTTTTGGTATCCAAACTAACCTACTGACACACAGCAAGTCTGATTAATTGGTGCAACCTCTGTTGTGCAGACTGCATTACACTTCTCTAAGGATTGTATCTAATGAACGAGTAGTGCACCTAGTTTCTGAAGTTCGTAAGTGCAGTGTACATGATGCTCTCAACAGTGATTCAGCCTGGAACAACAGTTGTGAACCGAGACTTTCTAATCTTGATTTATCTAGTGCTAACTCATCCTAACTTCGTGTTGCTTTCCAGTTCTATTGTCAATAGCTAATAGAGCTTCTCCAACGTATACCTCCTGGAAGCTGGCTACTTCTTCTCTTTTAGCTGGCTTACAAACCTTAATCTTATTAAAGAAGGGAGAGCAGGTAGCAGCTGCAGAAAGCAGTAGCCAAAACTGGAAAAAAAGAAAAAAAGAGGGAAAAGTGGCAACATGTCAGTAATCAGACTGGTAGGAGACAGAGAAGGAAAACAGGTCATCACCATACGGGAGGCAAGAAAGAGAGAATGTATGTGCCTTTAAATTGCAAGACCTGAAAAGATGGTAGGGTGGGAACGCAAAGGGGAACTTGGGAACTAAATTCACTTTCTCAGGGACAGACAGGACATGGGAGAGACTCCTGATCCAGGAGTATCAGGTCATGCCTCCATGGGAAGGAACAGGATAGGGGTCTAACACCATGTTGGGTGGAAAATGTGGCATCTTTAGAGTCAGGGCTGCCTTGCACAGCAGAAGCTTTCTTTCTGGCTGTTGATGCTGTAGTGAGATGTCACGGTGCTCTGCAGCAGGTAAAAGCATTGTTAGTTGTGCCAGTGGCATTGTAAAGGAGAAATAAAGGTTAATGGCAATGACTAGGCCCTGGACCCTGGGGGAAAGTTACACCTGGCTTTCTTGAAAAGGCAGAAGAGGAGGTTTTTGCCCACGAAATGGCACCCACAAAGACAAATATTGTTATCAATAGGTTCCCAACACTATAATTACATAATTTTCACTGCCTGTTTCAAAGCCACCTTTGGACCATTGAGATGATTTTCAAATAAAAAAACCCAACAATTAAAGGTTTATAAACAATTGCAATGGATGGTTTAAACATCATTCTGTGGTGTTCCCATTCTCACCTTGCACCTAGTAGAATAATCTGAGTGAACTAACTTGAGATCCTCACTACAGGGAAGACAAGGCCAAATGGTGCTTTTTATCTTGCATTATTACCTTCGTATCTTCTTTCTTTATGTATGAAATAATTCACAATCTTCAATCCTTCTTTGTTCAATTAATTCCTAAAGGATTACTAGTATGTTGAGTTAAAGAAATATTAATGGAGGTTAAACAGACTTTAAGAGAATGTGGTGAGTTTCTCACATAAATTTACCTTCCTGTTTCTCAGACAATAAGCTTGCTGGGAAGGAGATTATCCTCCTATCCATGCAACCATAGATGAATAATAGAAAGTATCAAGAGAGATTTGGCAGTGTTAATAAGTGAATTGATTTGTTAACGTACATATTTTTATTAACCTTTAGTAGATACAATTTATCCATAATAGATTTATAAACATTTTCTACCCCAGGGAAACTTAAAGAGTAGCCACAGTGAATATATGTAACAGTGATGCCACCAAGATAATTATCAAGATCATCTGCATTCAGTAATGACTTGTTTGCAACAGTAATGAGTAAATGTAACGTGTTCCTACACGTTACAAGTAACGAGTAAATATAATGTGTTCTTAGTTAGCAGCAAGACTTAACCTCAGATACCCCTGTCTTACCTGGGAAAGAGAACAGGCGGCTGTCAACAGTGCGTGCAATAGACTGTAGCTTAACCACATCCATGGACTGCCCAATGTGCACTGTGCTGGGCATGCTGCCCAGAGTCCCCCGCACGAACTCGGCCACTTCCTGCACAGTGAACATCTGCAACAGCTCATCAAAGATAGCGGGGAAGGAGTTCAGCAGAGCAGCCTGGAAAAAGGCAAGGTAGAAACTGAATATTGAAAATACCAATTTCCATAACTGCACCTAAATACAGTGAAACAGAAACAACAGCAAAACTGAATTAAGGGTCTGCAGAAAGCTACTGAACAGGGCGCTATGGCTGGTGTTAATGTTCTGCAATACCTAAAGTTCATAGTGAACAAACCACGCACAGTATTTTACAATCAAGCGCTGCTGAAATACTAAGTCTTATGATAAGTGCAACACATACCTACTGCAAAGATTCAGAAGGCTGTATTTTAGGACACAGCTTCTAAAACAGAAAAAATCTGGCATAACAGAAAATAGTCCATTTCTGTTTATTCATTTGTTTCAACAAATACGAAGTTTGCTTCTGATGAGAGCTCCACACCAAATTTTGTACCAAGCAAGCACCTGAGACAGTTGAAACTCTTCAGAAGTATTTTGAAGTCCATGTCGACAGACCCTTAACCCTAGCAGCACTGTCATGTGGCATTACAGCATTCCTGCAGTGGGGTGGGTGTGATTTCATGTGAAAGAGGCAGCCCATCATGCAAGTGAGTGTTCATGTGATTCTTGCAGTAACAGGTATGCCCAAGAAGCTGGAGCTATCCTTGTAGGTGTTTCTTGAAGTGCAGAAACAACAGTACAACCACAAACCCAACCCTTTCCATCTCATATATCAATTAATCACTTTTTCAATTAAGTTCCTCATAACAGCAGAAAACTCCCTGCATCACCCTCTCCTCAAGTTCCACAGACTTGGTGTCATACCTAACAGCGGACACACACCTCTGGTTTTAAAACTCTTTCTTCCTCTCCATCCTACACAAGGTCCATGCCTGTTTCCTCATTAAAACTACTAAGATTCCTGGCTGGTTGCTTTATTTAGCTGCTGCACAGCCTGGTTTTGGGTCAGGTGCCTTTACCCCTCCTCACCCCAGCCACAGCACCCCTGCACAACTCCCTCCTAGCTGTCACCACCCTGTTTGCCTGCAGCTCTCCACATGAACCCCACTGACTTCCTGCACAAGTTCAGATTTACCAAACCTCTCTGTTCAGCTCTGCCCTTCCAGAGTCTCTCCACCTATCAGCATTTTCTTCCATTCTGCAAGTTCTCCTTTTGCTCACAGATTTCTTTTCTCATTGCCTACACTTCTGTACCTCTCCGATGCTGGCTCTAACACTGGCATGCCTCTCCTAATCCCATGTAATACACAGCTTCCTTCTTCGTCAAGTCTTTCCTCAAAGTATCTTTTCTTTCAAACAACAGTGACATCTATTTAGTAGTCTTGGAGTAAAGTCTAAGTTAGTTTTATAACTAACACTGTACATCTCATTAAATCATTCTGAATATGAATTTACCTCTTTGTTCTTCACACTTGTTCTCTTTTGTTACAACCAATTCAGATTACACAAAGCCACAGGTAGCCTTCTGGGTGTTGTCACCTATTTGTCACTATGTACATACAAACAATGTACCAACAAAATCAACAAATATGAATCATTTAAATTCTGCTCATGGTACTCTTAGTAACATCTGCAAACCCAGTCATCATCTTTATCTCTGGGATAATTATTTGGGATAATAAAAGTGAAATTGCAGTACTGGCCCAACAAATCCTTACGGGAGTTTCCCTAAACTTATTTCTAACTATTCAGATAAAGCAGAAGGATTTCTGCAGTGATTTAGGGTATCAGTAGCAATCTAAGGATATGCATGGGATCATTTCAGGAAGCTCTGGAGCTGTCTTGAGGAAGAGCTACGATGTTTCATCAGTTCCTTGAAGGGCCCTTTTTTTTTTTTGTACACCACCCTAAAATATGCTGAAACATTACTCACGTCAAATTCCTTGCCTGGAAGGACACGATCAGTTTTAACCTCTTTGCTTTAAAGAGCTATACTGAGATCTCTCAAGTAAGAGGGTAAATGTGAAGAAAATTACATCTGCTAGGGCCTCGAGCGTTTCTGTAGATATTTAACTGTTGTCCAGGTTTCCAGAACAAGTACATAAACTCCTTGGCTCTCCTGACCAATTTGACATACAAACTCTTGTATATATCCTCAGTACTGTCTTTGTGTGTGGATGCCACAAGCTGTTCCATTCGTTACTGAAATATTCCACATTACCTAGTTTTAATGTATGAGCCACTTAAACATTAAATTCCACTTTATATGCAGGAAAAGAGGGTTTGGGGTCAGGAAAAGGGATTAATTGGGAACATCCACAATGAAATACTTGTGCAGTTCTGGGGATCATTACTTACAGAATTAAATGACGGCCTTGAAGTACCACCACTTTTTTGTGGGGCACAAGTCCCAGCTCCGCTCGCCTGCCCTCCAGGCTGAGAGGCCTACGGGGGCAATTGGGATCAAGGGGCAACATAGTGGCAAGGGGGAAACAAAAAGCAAACTTTTCAAAGATTAAACAAGGACAGACTTTACAAATTACAAAAGTCCAAGGTAAGAAATACCATAGTGAGAGAAAGGAGAAAAAAAAGAGACAAGAAGGGAAAACGACCTCATCCTCAAATCTATTACCGCATTTGTGATCAACACAACTGAAAAACAAAGAAGATCCCTGGCAAGCCTGAATTCATAGGATGATGTTTCTGCTGTCAGTTTGCCAGCAAAATTCTGATTTCTCCTGCTCCTGGCTTATTTTATTATACCCACTAATGGGTGATTAAATAGAAGATTAGAGTAGCTGTTCTCGCTATTTTTCAGAGCAGCTTCTTAAGAAGGAGATCACACTGCTGGCAGCTTCCTTAACCACTGGAGTCACCCTGTTTTGTAGCAATGTTCACAGCAACTGCTTCTTTGGCAAACTACACTGGTGTTCAGAACATCTGTAAACAGTAAGTCAGTGATTACAACTCACTTTCTTCTAGGTGGTCCATTTTGCCATTCTCTGAGCTAGGGCACACACATAACGTGTGGCATTGCTATTTAAAACTTTTAAACACAGATATGTAATTTAGTACAGTGGTCTTTAAAATATGAAACATAACTTAGCATCTCCCTTACTTCGAGCAGTATCTTAAGCCCATACGAAATCTTTGCGAAGTCACCTGGGCCATATTCAATATAATGTATTCAACGTTAGTGTGGGTATCACAGTCTGCTTGTGGTCAGGCTGCGTGGGATTCTGACTCTAATTTTAGAGTGTGCTGGCATTAAGTTTATCTGACTGTGAGTACATCAATTGAACTTCTCTACTGTGATCTTGCTATGACCCTAAGTATTGACTTGAGCTGCTACAATAAAGGATTTAAAATTTCTTGAAGCCAACCATAAGACATGAGATTTGAAAATACAGTTTAGTGAAGAGCAAAAATTATATTCCCATGTGACAAGTCACTTTCCTCTTGAAAGTTCACAGTTGAGCTCACCGGTACCTGTGAAGAGTTGCGGTGTCTGTCTAATAACATTAATTGGCTATGTTATTTCCAGTATCATCAGCTTGTTAGAGGGGGAAAATTCTACTAACCTGCATTTCACTGTTGTGTACCTGCATATACTACCTGTGCAGAAAATAGCTGCCTTTTCATTTGCCAGCTTAAGTGCAGAAAATAGCAAACCTGTGTGAAGATGAGGGTCTCAGAGCTCCTGCTGTCCAAGCTCAGCACAAATCTGATGGACTGGAAAAGCTCCTGGATGCTGGAGCGGAACTGTTCTTCTTCCATTCCACAAGTAGCTCTGGAGTAAAGGATCCGAGATTGGACAATGAACTTGAAAAGATATTCCAAGGCCTTAAGGAGTAAGAGAGGGAGGAGATTAAGACAGGGAAAAAGAAAGAAAGAAAAATAAAGGAGCTTTAAAGAGAACCAGGAAAGATTCTAAGTGCGTAATAACTAAATTCTTCAGTTTTAGAAAGGAGAAAGAAAAATAGATTTTGCAAGTTACACAATTCAGTTAGGGAAGAGCCACTCACACGCAAGCACCCATTCTCAACCCACAATCTTTTTTATCAGTATGTCCCAATAGCAAAACTAGCATACATTTAAGTCAAAGAAATTTGAATTAGGTCATTTGAGGAAAATCTTGGTGAAGATAACAGACTTCCAGTTTTCTCATGACTTGGCACAATGACTAGATTCCTGAAGAAGCTATTCTCCTGCTTCCATTCAAATATTACCTTCAATTACTTGAGTTAGCTACTTTAGATTAAGTGGACTGTCAGTGGAACAGGGGAAGGATTACCTAGAAAAAGGAGAATCTACTTTTTATGATGAACACAACAGCAAGGCTCACTTTTATTTCTGGCAGCTACATGTACAAACAGAAATAAATGCAGATGCAGAAATAGAAGATGACAAGAGCAGCATGTGATGCCCTCTGGCAGATCAAAATAGTAGCAGGCAGCAGTACTGTAGTGAGCAGCTTTTAACTTCGAGCTGTGGTAAGTTAAAGCATCTTTCTGTTACCATCACACAGGAAACTGGGAGAGCACCCAGCAGAGGGAGAGTAACCTGCAGAGAAGATGGCATTTAGCACTGTTGTACAATGTGCAAGAAATGATGCAGTCCCAAAGGGCTGGCAATTGTTATCTTTCTGTAGAGGAATAACTTGCTCAATGACATGCCTGCATTGAGTGTGAATTTGCAAACTAAACATCTTTAACATTTTGTAAATGGCATTATTCAGAACTCCACTCATTTGGCAGCAGTGTCAATGCAGAAAAAGACATTGTTCTGTGCAGCCCTTCTGATCAAAGGTTCTCACAGGGGCTAACACAGCAACGTAACACACACAGCAACAAGGCCTTTTTCATCATTTGGTGTACACAACTGTCAACACTGAACTGCACTACGTACCAGTGACATTTCGACTTCACTCTTTCCCTTACTGCTTAACACGATACGCTATAAAAGCAGGATTAAGAGAAGACATCATGAGGCATAGATTGATGATATCCTCAAAATTCAACATGGGGAACAAACAGGCTGGAGCTTCAGTCATCACAGTCTATAGAGAAATATTAGTAATATTACACTGTATTTGCTGGAAAGTATTCTTGTCTTCCTTCAGAGCTTGAAAACTAAAGTTAATTTGAAGACAAATTTTGCCCTCATCAGATGTTTCTGCATCCCTAAGGCACCTCTCATTGAACCACCACACTATATGCACAAAGATGCAATGTTATGTTGCAAGGTTTAGAATGCTGCAGCTTTAAGGATAAAGAAGGGGAATGTGAAATTCCTCATAAAGCCATCACAGATTTCAAAATGCAACTGATACTTACAGCCATTTTCTTTCAGGAATGATGGCAACGTGGGTCATTTGGCAGTACACTGTTTATAATTCTGTACTAAAACTTATCCCAGTGAAGCTTCCTCACAACAAGGAACATCAACAGGAAACACCATTGTGTATTTATGGACAGTTTCCAGACAAAGGTCAATCGGTTCACAAGAGTCAGTTCTTTAAGGTTAGCATCACTGTTGCTAACACCAAATACAGCAAAATAAGGGATTACAGAAGCTGTTTTATAGGTTTGGTATAGACAACCGTAATTCTAACCTGAAAGCTTGTAACTTTAATGTGAAGATTATGTTTTGCAATGAATCAGATGATTTATCTATGGAGTTCTATAATCTTCTGTAGAAAGTGAAACTCCAGGCTCAGAGATACTCCACACCCTTAGCACAAACAACCGTAAACTGCTGCCTAGAATGAAGCCACAAAGGGTTCAGACACATGGCCAAGATGGTAAAAACACAAACCAAGCCCTGTTAGTAAAAAGCAGCACTTGGACTTACTCTTATTACTTAAAATATCACAGATATGAAGCACATTTGTGCCTAAAGACACAGAAGTGCACTCAAGAAACGCGAAGATTACTTTAGGAAAGAATCTGGTGTACATAGAAAGGGTAACATCAGAAGTACAGTGTATGTAAGGTAGATTAGCTCTGAAGGTCTGAATCTCTTTCACTTTCCTAACAAGTGAATAAAAGCCATTTTCAGTAGTCTCTGAGTATCCACTTCACCATTCAAGAGCAGGTGTAAAACTTCTTCCAGTTAATGTCAGTGTGTTCTTCCAGAGAACAGCATACTTGCATCAAGTACAATAAGCATTTCTGATGCACTTTGAAGGAACAAAAGTACAAAGGTTCAAGTGAAGGTACCAATGTGAGTCTTGTGAAGGCAGATAAAGGAGCTAGGGCAAAGTTCAAGGAATCAGCAAGAAAAGAAGGAGCAAGTCCCAGAGACAGGCTGACCAGGGTGGAACAATTACAATTACATCAGCAATTTTCTGGTATTCTTAGAAGAGGTGAGACTGCATAAAATATAAGTCACCAGATCAGGTAATTAGTTCTGAATGAAGTAATTAATAACTCCAGAAACAGACTGATCTCAAATGCAACTGACTGGCATTTCTTTTTTAAATCCAGGGTAAAGAAAACCATTTTGAGGAGTGTCAGTCTCAAAACACAGGCTGAGGATGCAATTCCTAATCTCTCATCCACTAGCTCCCTGGCTGACATGGTTCAGAAAGTATGATCAGCAGTTTGAAGAAATCAGCTCAGAAGACTGACCCTTTCCCTATCACTGACTCATGTAAAGCCCCATAGCAATGGTATGCAGTACCTCAAAGTCCCTTAAGTTAAGTTTGATGCCTGTTCCGTGCAGTTCAGATCCAGAATACTGATATGAAGATGTGACTTCCTAAGGAAGAAGAAGTCTTGCTTTTTCAGTGTGTAGGCAAAAATCACCTGTGATTCTACCACTGGAAGATAACTGAGGCTGAAAGCATCACCTAGAGTCACTACCTAAGTCTTGCCATGACTACTGTGGAAAGTAAAACTGCCTGTGGAGTCACAGGCAGCAGTACCTGGATGCAGTTTATGTGTTCACATAGGCACAGTACCACATATCTCTATTTGCTGCATTGCATACAGCACTAATGAGTGGCTTGAGAGGGAAGAAATCCAGGTACAGATGTCCTTCCAGTTATAAACTCCTTCAGGTTTCATACAAGTTTTCTGAGAATTAAGAGCAGTCTTGAGGCAGGTAAATAATTTTAGATTTAGCCTAGGGCACTGCTTGCTAATGCCAAGGTTGAAAATCAGAATCCAGTGAGGCATCTGCATACCCCTCATGAATGTACATGGGCAGTCAAGAGCCAAAAAGGAGTGCAGAGAGATTTCAACACCTGCTTCAGGGTACTACATTTAACAGCTAATCCAGGGCAGAAGGCATAGAGAGCCATTCTGTTTTTTCAGTTGAAGAACTACTAATCCAAGGAATATACTGAAGATATCCAAGACCACAGAAACTGCCAACAGTAGAATACAGTACTACTAATGACACATTGGCAGTGATAACAGTTTTGGTGCAAACCTGCAGCAAGTGCCTGAAATAAAGTCTGGAAATAAAATCAATCACTTTCCTGTAATGGAAGAAGGTAAAGACCTTAGTCTGGGTGTCCAAGATACACCTGCAAAAGCAACTGTCCAAACCAGATGTGACAGCAGTGTCTGTGGTAGAGGATGCACTGTTGGGTCTGCAGAAATTCTGGTGGTAATTGTAATACCTGTGCCTGGAGAGGCCTGGGCTGTCCTGTCTTCCAGTTGACCTCGCTCATGGAGGCAACAGCTATTTTCTAAGCAAGCACTCGAGGTTCCCAGTAAGCAAAGAGCTGCCTTGGAATCCCTGAAAGAATGCCTTTCTCACAAACTGTGTTGAGTAACCAGCTCCTGAAAGCCATTCCAGCATTCATAGTTTTAATATAGAATCATAGAATAGTTAGGGTTAGAAAGGACCTTAAGATCATCCAGTTCCAAACCCCCTGCCACGGACAGGGACACCTCACACTAAACCATCTCACCCAAGGCTCCGTCCAACCTGGCCTTGAACACTGCCAGGGATGGAGCATTCACAACCTCCCTGGAGAACCCATTCCAGTGCCTCACCACCCTCACAGGAAAGAATTTCTTCTTTATAATTTCTGAAGAAGTTTACTATGAGGTTCAAAAAATGCAGATCACATAGAGACAGTATCACATATCTCTACTTGCTGCACTGCACAGAGCACTAATGAGTGGTTTGAGAGGGAAGAAAACCCTCTAGAAGTCACTCCAGCTAGAGATCTTCCTCTCATCTAATAATTTTAGTAAGTTTCTTTGTAATTCAAAAAAAGAAGGAAGGAAACAAAAAGAATGGGGAAGTTGTTAATTTCTTGAAAAGCTATCTTTGCCCCATTTTTAACATTTCCTATGAATCTGTGGTTGAAAAGTACTGCAAAGAAGTTGTTTCTAAGTATGTAAATAGCTACAAAAGACAAAGTAAACACCGGTCTAATGCCCTTGTAAGTAAGAGGATATGATCTTAACAGGAGAGCTTGGAAGCTAGTTGATGGCAGTGATGCCATACCATTCAAATGGAACCAGGATTCTCAAAAAATAATTACTTCCTCTAAAATGCTGACTAAATCAGACTAAAGGAGGCAAAACAAAGAATAAAATTAACACAAGAGAGAGCCACAAGAAAGTCTGAAACATACACCAAGACACAAGCGTAAATACATTTACAAGGAACAAACTCTGAAATTCCCAAATGGTTGCCACAAATTAAAGGAATAGTGTATGTACATGTGTGTGCTTCACCTGTGAGATGCTTCACCTATTTGTACTGACAGGAGAAAGTGAGACAAAGGAAGTGCTCATCTCTGGCAGTGCTACCAGCTCTCAGAGTGCCCAGGCTCAAATGTTTGGACACAAGCCTACTCAGGATAAGAAGGTACAGATGGACATCCACACAGAGAAAAGTATCTTGCCACATATTCTGGAATCTGGTATTTATGTACAGATGTACATGGCACATTATCTTTTAGTTTTAAATTATATATTTAAAACTAACGCTCTATTTATTCTATGATTTCTCTGCAATAGCACCAAAACGATTCCCTTTGTTTCCACACCATTAGGAAGCTGTGCCTTGCTGTGAGATTATGCCCTCATCACAGAAGTGTGATTCAGTCCTGTGCAATGACACTTGGAATTTCCGTCTACTTAAAAGCTCGTTTTTCTCCTCCTTAAAGTACTCCAGAAATTCAACTCCTAATACAAAACAAACCTTTCTCACAGCCAGAAATGAAAAGAGTATCTCTGAGCCGCAGCACCTCTGCCAAACACTTTTAAAATAACTGCTTCTTGAAGTGCATGGTGCATTCATGTCCCATGTAAGTCACACTTAAGTTCTCCATAGGGCTTCAAAAGGACTTAAGGAGACACAGTTCTTCTAGTTTTTAAAGCACAAGAGTGAATCACCTCCAAAATAATTTTTTTGGCTATATATATATATATATATATACACACACACACACACATATATAAAATCTGGTTAAACAAATAAGAACTCAGTGCCAGACTACCCTGGTTTTATTTACAGCTTCCCTGGGGTTTTTGGAGCCACAGATGGAACAGACACAGAAATACTCCACTGAATACGCACTCGCATTGCTTCCTGGATGTGGTCCTGGCGCACAAGCTCAGCTGAGCGGTCCATGTACCACTTCAAACACCGGATCAGTTCTCTGAATATAACAAACAGTGGGAAGAAGAGGAAACTTCAGCACTGGTTTAAGATTAGACAGGCAACAAATGTTTTGGGTTCAGTGAGAAATCTATAAAATAGTCTCATGTCACTCCCTTGCAGTGGTCACCTACTGCTGTCCCAGCCACAGAATTTACAAAACATGTATGTTTATTCAGGTTTCCAAACCAGAAATAATTTCTTCTCTGTCACTGACTCACACCATGAGGCAGACTAGGGAGAACATCAAAGAGATGTTATTAAAGAGACAGCTTTGATAAAGGCATGTAATACGGTTTTAAGACCAAAGCATCCTCTTTTTTCTTTTTTGATAAGAAATTCCAAATCTCCTCTAAGTTTTTAGAAACAAAGATCACTAAGAAAATACAAGTATCCATTTCCTAAGTAAACAATACCATCTGGGCTAACCTAAAGGGTTGTATTAAAAGCATGTTTTATTTCAGACATCAGACTATCAAAAAAATCTACAGTATCTACAGTTTTACCTACCATTGATTGAATTTTTATATTTGTTTTAATTACACTAAAATGTGAATGGCTTAAACCAGTCAATTATAAGCCATTTTTAATAGTTTATAATAGACAGAATATGCTCAAATGGTATAATAAATAAATAAATGGTCTAAGAGAAAGGAAAAACAACACCCTGAATGGTAACTGTTACTGCTTTCAAAAATCTGCCTATTCTCCGATGCCAAACTCAAATACTAGAAAGCAAGGCAGAATCTTCAAAGTGACAGTGTAAGTAAGTTTCTGATCTCCTGAAATTGTACATTCACTGTAATCAAATAGAACATCTCATGTGAATACCTGTCTACCTTGGAAGAGGAAATTACTGTTAGTTCGCTAAGCTGTCATACAAGTCTGTTATCCAAACACCTTTAAGACAAGAAATGTATACGCTCTTGGTAGCTCATTAGTACAGACTGATAATGAGCTGTTGCTGAGTGACAGTGTCTCTTCAACTAAAAAAAAGAAGGTAGGTTTTGCCAGTTCAGCCAAATTCCAAAGTCTTTCTTAGCCACTGGTGACATTCAGCTGCTTTTCTCTGCAACTGTGCTGCAAAACTTTTATCTCAGTAGCTCTGCTTTTGAAAACCACGACTAACATGAAGGTTAAGATTCTGATGGTGACATTGCTCTAAAGTGTGCTAATACCATCTCTTGAAGTGATGGATAAACAAGACCTACTTGTAAGCAAGTGCTCCTGCAAAGTGCTTCTGAATATAAGTGTCCATCACAGGTCGAAAATGAAAATACTTGCTGTCACGCAGCAGATTTATGATGAATACCTGTGGGAGATGAAAAAGTGAACCCATACTAAAGGAAATTGCACATTGTTGCTAGGTTTCTATAAGCAAGTCACACAGGCTAAGGAACAAAGAAATACATGAGTTTCTTTAAACAGTCAGTAGTTGTGTTATTAGATGTTACTGTTTGCTTCTCCCAGGTGACAGCAAATATTGCTGCCCTCAGATCTGTTTGGACTATCTGCTCTCCTCACCCAAGATGACTACAGAAAATGTAAGGCCGGATCCAGCTAAGTATTTCATATTTTATGGAAGTAAAATACCAGTAACACGATAATAAGAAACTTAAAACTCACTGACCATGAAATAAAGTAACAACCCAGGAACTTACCAAAGACTGAAAGACCAACAGACCATACTTTTCTGTGTTGTCATCCAAAACTACAAACAATGTGTCGAGAATATCTTGTAGGAACTAAAATGACACGAATAAACAAAGAATTTCATATTGAAATTGTATTCAAAAGAAGGTTATTCTCCCCCTGCTTTAATTATTTCATACGTGTTGGTATTTTTGTGAAATGCTTGCCAAAAACGAACCACTTCAGGTTCATCCATGTGACGTGATAGATTTTCATTTGTTTTGATGAAGAATTTTTCCCTTTAAATGAGTATTTCTAAACAAAAATGACAGAAAAACTAAAAACCCACAAATATGTACTGCATGACTGATTTGTAAATATAACTATGTGTTCCTTTCACTGTAAGCTGACTAAAAGTGCTGCCTAACAACAGTGGCAAAACAACTTACTTTGATGTCATTACAGTGTATCACATACTGCTTATCATCAAATTTAAGGCTCGGAAGCACATTAACTGGTGCTCCAAATCATGTTTAATACTGAAAACTTCTGTTGTATGACAAAGTAAAGCTTTAATAACAGGCATTAACTGGGACAAGTTACATACTGCCAATTGTTTGTTTTCCCCCTAACACTGAGGTTTACTGAATGCAAACAACTCGGTGATTTTCTTTCCTGAAACTGCAGTTCTTGGAAAGGATGACTGTGAAGAAGAATGATGAAGATCAAGTCAACTGCATATTCTCCCATGATTTTGTAATCTATTCTAATTAAATTTCTGATATGGAAAGCAAGAAATAAAATATAACAATTTATGAAGTTCCCAAAAGGATAACATTTCTTTTTTTTCTGAATTATTGCATATCCTAGTGCCAAATGGCAGGTGATTTAGGGAGTGAATCAATTACTTCTCCCCTTGGAATAATTTAACCCACATCTTCTTATGCTTTTTGCTGTAAAAAACCCAGATACTTGCACTACCCTGCAAAGTGAACAAAACGTGACATTCTTGAAGAATCCCAACATAAACAGGGTACTGTCCTATTCGGTTACCATTGCAAAGTTCTCAGGAACATTAATATTCAAGATATGTCAACATTCTAATGAGTTACAGCAAAGAATTTAATCAGAAACTACTAATTAAATGATTGGATGTTGCTTTGGTTTCTTCTCTTTGGTTGTTTACCATTACAAATTATCTCCTCCTTTTACTTATACGATTTATAGAAATAAATTCTAGGGAGAGTTCTCAGCACCTAAAATTATCAGAAGGATACCTGGAATGCACTTCACACCCCCCCACCTTCCCCCAAAACCACAAGTATGCAGATGCCTGCAGAAGTTCATCTGACCTAAGAAAGTCCAGGTCACACAAAGGACGGGCATGTAGTGTAGCAGTGGAGACAACACTAGAGTAACTGGTGCTCTAGGCAACAGCTCCACTTCACAGTGCTGGGATCAGGAAAACGGGTTTTCAGGATGGTTCCCTGGTTATTGAGCAAAACTTGACTTTCTATGTGTCATGTTTCTCCTCTATACACTTGTTTGGAACACAGGAAAGGTCAGGGTTTCTGAGTCAACTCTGTTTTCTTCACTCTGGAAATGACCAACCACATTAGGCCATTTTGGAGAAGGTTCTCTAGAAAAGACTGTGTTTTCTAGAAAAGTGGCTGTGTTTCCATCAGCAAGCAGCATGGCTCAACAAGAGTGGCCATCCAGTTGGTGCCGATACTTGCAGCACATGTGAGTGAATGAATTACTAAAGATTAGCTCTGTTTTGATCCCAAGGACTAATTACCCATCAATTTTTGGGGTGTACCTCCCCGCTCAGTTTCATGTCAAAATAAAATCCCAATTCTTACACTCAAAATTCGCAGCATGAACCAAAAAGCACAGTAAGAGGGAACATTCTGAAGTGCCCTGCAGGTCTGAGTTCCCCTGCTATCACAGATACATCCAAAACCTGTTATTTCATGTAATACCTTAACAATTTCCTCGCCACTGACATGTCTCAGTCTTCCCAAAATATCCATCACACGATCTGGGTAAGCTTTCCATTTCAGTAGGGCAAGCAAATCCACTGCAGAGGAGTGAGAGAAAGAGCTAGAATCCATACACAGAGGGAAGAACGGCAACCCCGGCCCCACCAGAGATTCAGTACATGTTACACTTCTGCTCTTGTTGCAGTTCACACTTCTCAGGGCAAAAAACACAGTAAGAGAGAAACAGGGAGTAAGTCCAATACTACTAACAACAACAACAACAAAAGAATGGAGGAATGGCAAAGTACTTTAAAAAGAACAAAGATTGCATTTTTCCCTGTGTGAGTTGACACTGCACCGTGGGCAATCCAATTCTGTCTTCCCATGCTTCAGGGATGTTGCCATAACAAATTTCTATTTGCTTAGCAACTGTGTAAAAAAGATGCAAAAAACCTTTGGCTTGTGCAGAAGAGCCAACATTGAGTTTTTTTGTTCTTCAATCATTTAATGAAAACTAACTTTGCTTTAACATACTCTGTCATGACCCTTCTCTTGCACTTACAGTAATGTCTGTAATTTCTCTGCCATCTCTCAATATCCTTGTTTCCTCAAAAAAGCTTTCTGCTTGTTTCAATCATGTTAGTAAAAAAAAAGCATATATATAATTAAATTATAACAGAGGAATATTTTAGTAAAATAAGCAAAGCACAAGCATACCCATGTTATTTCTCTTTTTCGTAATCCCTGTTGCTCTGGGCAGTTTTGAAGGATGCTCTACTTACCATTCTGGGTCAGTTTGGTAGAAGAAAGCTGTGTGGAGACTGAAAAGGTCTCTTTGGTGCTGCGCTGGAAAATGAGGCTCGAGGGGATGTTGGGGCAGCCATTGTAGTCCTCTTTGCAGCAAGGCAGCCCCAGGTACAGTGCATGATTGTTAAATGTGCTGTTCTCATCACACTGTGGGTACAGGACAAGAAACGGAATTGCACCCAGTCTATCTCATTCCACACACTCACACCCTGAAAGCAACTGCCTAACTACTTATATTAATTTCTGGGTGCACAAAAACACTTCTAAGAAAAAGCTGTGCTTGCTGCCTTCAGAACATGAACACACACAAACCAACCCAGCTCTAGAAAGTGTGGTCTCCTTCCCAATGATGCCTTAGAACTTATCACAGTCTTCCAACTGCAGAACTTAGTGCTGCTGCCTGAAAATCATACTGAAGAAATAAACCGAGGTAAATCAGCAGGAGGAAAAAACCCTAACCACCCACCCCAAATCCCTTGCTACAGGGTTGCCGAGCTATAGCATTGTAACAGGCTGCATTTGAAGTGCAGCATGACTTCATACTACAAAGGCATAGAGTAATGCCACAGGCAGGCAAAACCACTGCATGCTCATAAACACTACTACGTTTGAATTCAAAATGGATCGGATTAACAGAAGCTAGATCACCGTTATCTGTCCTTAGAACAGAAGGCTTTGTCCATATCTGGTCATCTGTGTTTGAGTTTATAAAATCTTGAAACTAATACTAATCTGTTCCTCACATAATTCCAACTGGTGGGGGGGGAAGAGAATGTAATGACTGTTACATATTTAAACTCAAGAAGAGATGAGTAGGAATGAGGAGGAAGTCTGCAGAAAGGAACTAGTACCTTATAAACATAAAGCTCATGGATATCATCAGACAAGGTAGTGCCATCATCTCTCATCAACGGAGTGAATGCAAAACCAAAGAGCTTCTTTTCTCCCTTGTCTTTTGCTGTAGCAAGAGAGAGAAGCAAGGAATCATATTTGTACATATTCTGTCTGTCTATATACACCCCAAGGTTATTCACCAACTTCTCTGCATGCCTAACAAAAAGCATGCAGCTTACCTAAGAAACAACATACAATACACTGTATCTAATTCCATGCAAATGATCAGCAAGCCTCAAAACAAACATGCCCAACACAGTGAAATATAAAATATACATGCTTGTAATAAAAACGTTCTACAAGAAAATACAGCAAAAGCACAACAGGGGAGAACATTTACACAATGTTTTGCCCTGCACTGATTGATCATGGTGGTTTAAATGTGATAATAAACGTAGCAGCTGGGTAATTAGCAGTGCCCTTTGCTGTATTTTAGGTTGGTGCCCTTTTCCTGCTTTCCATCCAGTTACAGACTCATCCAACTATAAACTGACACTGGAAAGACCTCAGCTTTGTTGGATTTCTCTTGGTTACATTTGGCACTCACTGGAGCAATGCCTGAACTCAAACCGGAGGTGAGACCCACGGAATCTGTCTATAGGGATGGGCAACTTAATGATCTCCCCCCATCGAGGGCTGTTATTGTGGTAAAGCACAAAAGAGTGGTATGCACTCCTGCTCGGCTCTCCTGAGCCCAGGCTGATGCAGTCCTGGAAGAAAAGAAAACAATTCAAGATTAAAAGACAGCACATCACTATGGATGAGTCATACTGTTGCACAGGGATAACCTTTATATAATTCATACCCTTCTGTAGACACAAAGGAAGAGTCAGAAGCAGAAAGACACAATGAAATTGTAAATTTTTTAAGAGCTCTTTAAACTGTGTTTCGGGTTAAAGGATAAGATAGGAGACCCATGATACTGCATCTTAAGTTACTATTTAAGCTAAGTGTTCTATCAAGGATAGAATAGATACAATAAACACGCAAGTCCAAATGCATAAAGACTAATATAATGTAGGAAATACATAAATCCTTAGTCCAAACATGAGCAAAGGAGAAATCCTGAAATACTGTCAGTAAAAGGTCCTTTTTAATGAAGACCTGGAGCAGGAAGCACATTTATTTATATAAGCACAACCCCACGTTCTAGACCTGGCACTTACAAAGTGATCCAAAAGATACAACATCTTACAAAACCATGCAGAAAAAAGAGCTAGGAGATTCTTCACTTTTAGCATCTGTAAGGATAAGAACCCACACAGAAACAGAAGCGAAGCAGACCCAGAACAACACATGCAGTATAAAACACCTCACAAGGAACAGTACCCATGACAAGAAAAAACACTGGTCATTCCTTCAAGGCATCTCTAAATTCTATCCCAAGAAAACACCAACAATGTTGACTTGGTTTATTCACTTGTAATCAGAAGACTACCAAATCAGGTACATCCCACCAACCAGACTCAGTTAGTTTGGCCTGTGGGAATATTCTTCACTCTTCAAGAAAGTTACAAATTTGTGAAGGAGCCCAATAGGAAATAAAAGCTATCTGGAGGCTTAGGATTCAAAGCAAGAACAGCCTCCCTGGACAGAGATTCATTGCAAAGGCTCTAATTCAACCCGAGTGACTAGCATTCACTCCCAAAACTTAGTCCTTTCAGTAAGCCATAACCATCATATGGTACGTGCCACGATCCCAGCACACGGGTGATTTTTTTTCTGTACAGCAACCAGAATTAACTGTTGCAGATATTAACAGGTTGGAGCGAGCCTAGTGGTGGCAGCAGTAAGAACAGAATGCCTGCAACATTCCAGTTATATTTTGTATTCAGAGTAACTTGCTGGGCTCCAACGCAACAATTGAAAACTCATTCTGTGCGAGGTTCTTAGGAGATGATAAAACAGTGTTTGTGTTTCTTCTGTAAGGTACAGGAGGAATTCTGATTTTAATGTGAGCTTTTTTATGTTGCCTCAAAAAATTACCTGCCCAGCAGACAAACTGTTGTCAGTCGTTGAGTGATGAACTTTAAATGAACAAATACCAGATGAGTCTTTCCTTCTGGCTGTTAATATAGTTGATAAGCATTTATACTACAATCTATAGTCTGAGGAGGGAGGCTTGTTTCATCTTTAATTCCAAGTTGTGACTGGCAAAAATATCATTATGAAAATAGGTTTTGTACACCTAGTTACCATGAGAACCAAATATGTAGGTGAACTAGAGGGCAGAGGCAAGTAAGGGAAGCTAAAGTAGAAGCAGTATTAGGTCAGAATTTTACCATTTAAGGTATGCCTTGCAGTTAATAAGATATTCCTGATACTGGAACAGAAAGAAGAATAAGTGAGAAATGTGCCAAGGGTTTTTATTTTTCAGACTGTACTGAAAGAAGCTAACAATTGAGTAAGACCATTTTGAAAAGAAAATACTCGTTTTCATTTTGGACAGCACTATATTCTGGGAATCATTTCACTGCTTTCAATAGGACTATTTTTGGATCAAGATATATTCAACAGCAACAAAGATTTGAGGCAGACAGAATATTCTCTTTAACACTGTGTGTGGTTCTGCTAAGTCTTCACAAAGACTTTCATGCACAAAGGCATCATTGTGGATTGTGCTGCTGGTCAGGCAAAGTTTATAGAGATTTTATTCTAGTAGCAGGTGAATATTTCGTGGCAATTTCACAGCTGTATGGTATAACTCAGCATGCTCTATCCCATTTGGCAGGCTCTACTTTGGAAAGGCATACATCAGGAACAGTAAAAGATATTTCAACCAAGAGCAGCGCTGCTTTGGGTCAGTGACTGGAACTTCCAGTGTTCTGCCCATACTATTGGAAGATTGGAGTTTTTTATTAACTTCTCCACTATATCACCTACTGGAAGTTACCAAATTAATGTCATCATTACACAAAGAAAACAGAAGAAATAAAATAGATACTCTTGACTGTGAAAACAACCTCGGATCACGCAAGTGATCACCTGGGGGTCAGGGAACCCAAAGAAAGGAGTTCCCTTCATCAGTTCTGCACCAAGCCCTACCCAACACAAACCTTATTCTTAACATTTAAATTAAAAAGCTATTAGACTCATCTTGTTGCACTCTTCAGTATTTTCTTTTAAATTATGCTGAATGACTGAGATGAAAGCCCAGATCTATCAATCTCTTCACAGCTGCTTCATCTAGGAATGGCTACATTCTGCCTTTGGGTAAACCAGCCCCTTCCTCACAGAACACTTCTCTAGGTGTACATACTGAAGAGTACATAAACTAGATGGCTGCAGTGAAAAACAAGCCATCTAGGATGTAAAACTAAATTCTTAACATAAAAGATAAAACAGTATCCATTTGGGATACTAAAATAAGCCTGACTAACAGAGCTGGGCAAAGTTTTAGACAAATGGATACCCATACTTCCCAAAGCCCACTGCACAGGTGGGATGGTTAGAATTGAGTGGGCTTTAAACCTGAAACATGGCAAGATCCTAAGCATAAATTTTGCCTATATTTTACAATCAAAATTTCTATTCCGAAAGTTGAGACAAACTGGAAATCTGTAGTTTAAGGAAATGAACCCTTACAATTTTCAGAGCATTTCTATAGACTTAATAGCAACCATATACATACACTTAACAGGGTCAACTGTCTTCTACGGAGTGTTACCAGTGAATGGCAAGATAACCCACTAAGTTAGAAGCAATTCCAGATAGCTGTCTCATGTGCTTTAACTTTTCTAGATGAATTTGCAGAATTTTTAAATCATGTGGAAACTATGGCAGCAATGACAAAAGAAGACACATGGTAAGTTTTCAAACTCAGGTCTAGGTGGCTGACTCCCTCTCTTATGTGCATGTGAGTATTCCTTCAAATTGTCATGCAGCACTTTTGAACTCTGCCTCTACAGTCAGTTCAACTGACAGTATTACATCTTGTTTTCCTAGTTCCAATCTGCAGTTAAGAAAGAACAAAAATGTACCTAAGCAGTGAAGAGTGCTAATTAAAGGGAAGGAGAGTTCAGCTTCTAGTGTCCTTGATGCCCCTTTTACTTATTTTTGAGTAGATATAATAGCTTACACTATCATATAAGCATTTCCTACGTAGAAAACTCCTAATGCCTGCATGTTTGAAACACAATGTATCTTTGGCATCATTGGATGTCATGAACCAAAGACCTCCCTGACATAAATGAAGCATCTTTATTACTTTAACTACAACTGTACAGAGGAGCAGTAACATAAAAACTGGTACAGATTTTCTTCTAACTATGTGGTCTGTGCTTAAAAAAAAAACAAAACCAAAAACAACCCATCCCAAAAATCCTTTCTATGTAAAGTCTCTCCTTTATGAAAAACATTCACTGTTCTTTTTTTCTGCTTGGATTAACTGCCTTTCACTAGTCTTTCTCTGTACCACGTTTGTTGCACTATCCCCTGGTAAAGCCCTGAAGTACTGTTACAGGAAAAAGTAAGAAAAGGATAACTTAGTAACTGTGTATGACCATTCCAACCAAAACCACAGAAGACTGATAATGTCTAGAAATTATATGGCTTTTATACTTAATCATTAGTCACAATTCCAGTAAAATTCTCTACCTTTATGTACATTAGCATTTGAAGATGATGATATTGCAGTTTCATAGAATCATAGAATAGTTTGGAGGGAAAAGACCTATAGTGGTCTTTGGCAGACTGCTGTGAAATAAAGCCATGATTAAAAATCTGTCACTCAATTTGAAAGGCATGCCTAATGCAATTGAACAGACAAGCATTGTGATCTTCCTGCAACAGCTATGAGCACAAACCATTTCCTTACAAGAGATATACTTTACTTTCAATGGAATCACAAATAATTATAGTAATAAAGGAAAATATATTCTTTCAACTAAAAAACCCAACACAACAAAACCCCAAACCAACAAACCAGACTGGCAGTGAGTTTGGTACAGAAGCATTGTGGTGTTTAGGCTATTCTAAGGTAGTGGCTATGAAGGCCATAAAATGGCAGTGGAGGTAAAAAAAAGGGGGGGGGGGGTGGAGTTATTTCTGACAGATGTTTATATTGCCTACCTTCTACTCTTTAGGATTACTAAAAGAATGGAGGAAGAAAGAGAAACATTAACCATCACCATCCACAGCTGGAATGGAGCCATCCCAGGGTGAAAGTCAAGACCTTGGCAATACAGCTACTCAAATTTATTTCCCAAAACTAACTCCAACAACTCAGGTTTAAAAGTCTCACTTGTAACCGCATTCCATCATGTTGTACAACACACATAAGATAATTTTAGATATGTGTCAGATACTCTTCAGTTATTTCTGATCAGTTACCCTGATTTTTCATTTTCTATAGCCACCAACATCACTTTTGAAATTACATAAGCTTTTCAGTTTATGAATATTTTCTCCAAGTCCTCTATTGCCATAAAGGGGAACTGCTCCAGATGCTTTCAAATTTCTAACTGACCACTTCATCGTAATACATGGTTCAAAAAATAAGATCTAGTTTTATTTTAGTGCTTCCCTTGCAGCAGAGACAAGAAAACAAGAACATGTCCATGGAGCAAGCAGATGGCACCTGAAGCTCAAAGAGGGAATAACAAGCGCTTACCTTCAAGATTTCCCCATCAGCATAGAGCACATACATGGTCACTTCAATGTTCTTCTGCACGCTTTTCCCACCTCTTTCAAAGTCTCCCTTCTCTAACGTCAGGTATAAGTCATTGCGTATATCACCTACAGTAAAAGAGTGGAGTCACACATGTTAATCCAACACAGAACACTGTGCCTGTGTGCAATATATTTGGATTGTGCAAATCGTTTTCTGTGTTCTGCAAGACTATGGCTGATGCTCAAATCATTCCAAGCAGCAAGTTAATTGTTAATAGAGATGAACATTTTAATATCAATGCATAAAATCAGACCATTGTTAGTAATGCCTTTATTACATGTGAACTCGGAATCAATGCTTGCTTTTGTTGTGTAAGTGGGAAGGGAAGAAACCTTCTACTACTTTGCCTAGTTAGCTGATTTGGAAGCATCAGGCTAAGCCTGACAAAACATCAGTAACATCAGACTTCCTATTTCCAATATATTTTAAGAAAAATAAAGTGTTCTTGTGATGATCAGCAGAAAATTATGTTCAGTTAGCCCTTCAAGGATTTTCTGTATTTTCATAATAACTTTTTACCATAACACCAAAATAAAAGCAGCCTTTTTGGGAACTTGGTTGTAATTCAGTTCAGAAAGGTTTAGAAGGAATCATAAAATATTTTTTTGCTAGATTCCTGGCTAGCCTCTGGTATCCATATGCATGGATATAAGAAAGCGGGCAGTATGGATACTTGCCAATTTCTCATTTTCAAGAGCTTTCAGAGCAAATGACTATATTCAGAAATAGAAATGCTATCATCCCTCTCAGCATCTCGTTATCCTGAATTTCACAGTTCTAGCTCAACTGGTTTGGGTTGTTTTTTTTCAGAATCTGGTTTGTGAAACCCTGCTTTTAAAACTAATGCAGCCAGTCCTAAATCATGCACTAAAAGGACAGCAGGTAGCTACCTATTCTTCTGTAAGATTTAGTTGCTGTCACCATTTCATGACGGTTCGCACTTACCACTTGTTCTTATTTACTTGTCAGAAAGGCAAAGAGACTAAAGGACAATATAGAAAACTACAAAAGAAAATGAAATAAAAAAAAACTAAACCCTTTCAGGGCACGTATTTTGTTAAGCAGTTTCAAGAGACTAAATAATGAAGTAATGGAATGGTTATCCGGCAAAGCAGAGACTCCTTGAATGTCTGATTTCTTCCACTTGGAGAAGCTGATGCAGTTAAACCTGTTTATTAATCAGAAGCACAATGAAATAGGCAGCATTTGCTTTTAGGCAGTGTGGGATATCCTTTTGTGTCTGTCAAAGCAGCACTTTAAATTCTTCCTGAAGTCTATAACCCCACAGAATTTGCTCCTTAAGCTACTGTAGGGACAAACAATAGAAGCTTTCAGTCCTGTCTTTATTTTCATTTTTATATCTGGAGGAAAGTACAACTTTTTAAGCATGGAAAATACAGCTCTGTAGCTGACAGTCCTTTTTTGCTAGGAACTCTCTATGAATGGGCATTTGTATGCAAAATGTCCTCCTTTTTCCATCAACCTCTCTCTCACTGTGGATTCACACAGAGCTGACTGCTTGAAACACCTCACAGTTAGAGGTCTGAAAATGCTGTGGTTCATTAACAGGAAAAAGATGACAGCAAGAGGCTGGTGAAAGACCTCAAATACTTGATCTGTTTCTTCTCATCAAAGAATAGTCATCAAAAGCAATACTCTGCGGTCTACAACAACAGAGAAACTGATCTTGCTTCTCACAATCAACCTAAGCTATCTGTACATTGACTATGGAAATATCAAGGAAATACAAATTTCATCCCCAAAGATAGGTTACATAGGGACTTTCATTTTGAAAATCCTGCTTAACAGACTCCATCCTTTTTCCTTAGCAGTTTGCATACGGAAAAAAGTTTCCATTTGTATGCTCCGAATCTTAGTAGAAATTAATTGTACTCATTATAATTAGCATTTTGGAGCTTCCTATTTATGACCTCTTTTCTGAAAGATAGTCTGGCTACACAAAGTCCAATGTCAGATAGCAAATAATTTTCCAGCCTAAATTAAAGGCAGCATCTGGTTATAAATAGCATCTTATCTTCCATTAAGTTTAACAGGAGGGATATTACTGCACTAATTAAAAATATGCCTTTGGGGTGGGGGGTAAAGGACCTAAAAACCAGTGGATTTACATCAAAATGAAGAAAAAAAGAAGGGAAAAAGTATTTTAGTGAACTATAATGGTGCATCTTCTCTTGTAAAACTACTGTCTTGCAAGTCTTAAAAAAAACAGTAAAGTACCTGGCCAAGACAAAAAGCATTTGGCTATCAGTTATGGAGCCCATCAGTTTCTTTGGAGTTCAAGCTACAAACTCAAACACTTCTGTTTAGTTAGCAAAAATAACCTTACTACAAAGATGTATCTTTCTGCCATCATTAATGACATCCCTTGCTGAGTCTGCTCAAGCCATCTTTTTTCGCCAGTTGCTACTGGTTTTGAGGGGTTTGAGCTCAGCTGCACAGAAACTAGAGCACATGCTTCATCAGAGAGAGCAGTTTAGTAACAGATTTATTTTGAGGATGCAAATTGCAGCCTGCACGCCACCACACGAGCGCACAGACAGCGCAGTGCTGCCTGGATGCGACTGAACAAAAAGCGTGGTCAGTAGGATCAAGAAGTGATCCCTGGCAGCTCTAACATGGAATGACAGCTACATCTCAAGTCAAAAATCTTGGCAGACAGAGCTTTCCCCATGTTTAATTCCATCGTGAAAAGATGATAAATAAAGAACTTGTTTAACAAAGCAGACAATTCATGTCCTCTCTCTGGCAAACTATCACAAACAGTACTGGCTCTGTGTGGCAAAACTGCATTCTGAGAGCAAACCAGCATGGTTCATCAACCTGCATCCCACGGGCCTCACAAAGAGCAGTGCTGACTACAAAAACTGGGTTAGCTGTAGCCTCCTAGCACTAGCATAGGAATACAAAAGGCTATAAGGCCACTGTCCAAAAGTGTTTATAGACTAAGACCTGCGGATGGTAGCTTAAGCTGAGGGCTCTTTGTGTTAGATGGCTAACAAGGATGAGCTGAAAACCTAAGAGAGCTTTTAGAATGGTATTTGTTTTAAAGCCCATCTCTCTACAATTGTTTTCAATTTAAAAACAAACAAACTGCTTTTTAGAATAAACTATGTGCAGTTTTACATACGCCGTTGCTGAGAGTCATTCTTTATGAAATATCCTGGACACCACTATTTTTCACAATCATATAAAATATTTATTTTCTGATGTGTTATGTGGCTCTCCCTTTACTCTCCCTTCACCTTCATGGAGTTTTTGGTCTGCTTCTTTGGTTTAACTTATTTACAAAGCTTTATGTCAAATGCACAATGGTTTAAATTATGAAGAATAAATTATAGCTTTGAGGGTTCACTTATACTGAAATGAAATCCTCTCCCAAATCACTTGAAACTATTTTAACAGCAAAAAGGAAAAAAGGAGCAGTGGAAAAGGCCACAGGAGCCAAATATCGATTCTGTGTTTACAAAATAAAGAAATGTACTGGAAGACTTCCAAATGGTTATTGATTACCTTCAAGACTTAATAACATTAGGTAGTCCAACAGCCAATAATTGTCTAGTATCTATTAGAATAAGCAGGAGATTTATCCTGATAAGATTTGTAGGTTTTCCACTAGAAGACTAACCCATAACTTGAGCTGCAAAGCAGCAGCAATTTATAGAAACCATCTGCATTTAATCTAACACTTTTTACTCAGGGATCCTATAAGATTCTGTATACTGAGGACAGAAATTGTCCCCGTTTTATACAGATGGATACTGTGTCAAAAACGAGTTACATAATTCATAGACTCTCCAACAGGAGAAAGACAAAACAGATCCTTGACTTCCTGATTCTAGCAAATTTATTTTCTAAGAAGTCAATGTTCTGTGACTTTGTGAACCTGTAAAGGACACATATACCTGTAAGCTGGGGAAAAGTGGCAGCTCACAACACTGAGGATACGCAGGTCTAGCTTCAAGTAACTTGATAACTATACTTATCCAGGAAATTTTAATTGTTCTTTCTTTAATACTGAGACTTTAGTCTCAGCAGCCAAGGATATTAAAAACTTATCTATAAAAATGAGTATTTATGTCTATATTTGTTGAATTGTTGAGATGATCCTAATCAATTATGGCCCAACACTATGACATACTATCTACTTGCCTCTCTAACATGGCTGGGTTTAACACATTCTTCAAAATACTGGCATTTTACAGAATAATAACCAATAGCCTCCAAAGCATCAATGGGCAAGAAGGACACTCGGAGTATATTCCACAATGGCTGATGAAGATAAAACAAGCTCATATATTTTATGCTCTGTACATAAATGAACATCCCCCCAACTAACCAGCATCACCCCACTGACTTAAATCAAGTTACAGCAGTTGAAACAACCAGGGGTTTGACTCTAGGAGACTCAGTCCAGCAAGTAAGATCTTAGAAACAAACTATAAAGTGTAGAATTACTGGTATTCATGTATAGTGTTACAATGTGCTTTGGCTGTATGTGTTCTAGTTCTTTACAATGGTAACTGCTCTTCTTCCTGGCCAGAAGTATATCAAACTAGTTTCTCTTCTGATGGACAGCCCTTCCCTGTGGTAGCTCTGGAGGCTGTTGCACAGGAGCAGGGTGCCAGCATCTGGATTCTGATCTCAAACAGCACACTACACCCTGCTCTTAGTTGCAACTTTCTCCAAATAAAACCCACACAACTACTCCTGAGATGCAGTAATTTCAACACAGACAAGGTTAACAGAGGGACGTCCACAATCACACTGTGATCACCACATGATTTTTACAAACCAGACGAAGGGAAGAAATTGACCAAGTGTGACACATGGGATGGATCTCAAACGCTCTTGGCCTTCTTGCTGGCTGACCATTATGGACTTCTTCCCAGTCGTTTCTCAAATGAAGAAGAGTGCCAGCCTCACGCTGCATGATTCTCCCTAACAGTGAAGTTGCCTTTGACACTAGTGTAAATTCTCTGTACTGACCACCATATTACTACTTGCCTGTTAAAATTAAGAAGCCTGGTGTGATCTGACAGTCTTTGGGAATCACATTAGATTCACTTCAGCACCTTATTTTGCTGACCCTTCACCAGCCACTAATTATTTTTAGGCCTATATTCTGGAAATAGTTGTAGTATGCAACTATTAACATGTAAGCAATATTACAACAGCAAGGGGAAACAGAGTTTTTACCTACTGCCCCTATGGCAAATAACTCCCTCTCCCCCTTCTCCCCCCCCAGTATTATTTAAGCTTAACTCTAGCTTTCAGTGAACAGAACACTCAATTGTTTCTAGGAAAAGGAACAAACGACACTTGGATCACTTGCTACCTGTTGTTTGACATCTGTGTATAGAGAAGTCACACAATGCTCTTTTAAATTCAATTGTTTCCCTGAAACTGCTTCCTTTCAGTAGTATAAAGTTGATTTTTACTATATTTTTTCTTATCTCCTTCAGCTCTGCAAGTTTATTTATGATAAAAATATTTTTTAACTCTTGTAAGTGCTTTTGGGTAATAATTATTACATGATTATGTCTTAGTCTCATTGACTCTCTTGCCATAAATATTCTGAGAACAGCTGATGGATTCTGCCATATCCATTTCTTAACATATTTTTTTGCCATGACTTTGTGCTCACAGATGCTGAGATGTTTCTCACCTTTGCATTTGTCTGCATTTACAAAGAATCCTCTGTCACAGCTACTAAATTTGTCTGGAACACTGTGGTATGGAGAGAGACCGGTAAGACAAATCTACGCCTGTTACCAAAGCTGTCCTATGATGTCATGATTTGCTATCTTTACCAGTCCCCAACATTACATGAGAGATGTGAAAATGGGAAAAAGCAAGCAATAAGCAGACATTACACGAAAAAGCAGACACTTACACCCAACTATCTTCATCTCTGCATCAGAAAGAAAGAGGAGGGGAATAAAGGGAAAGGAAAGGGAGAGAAGCCAGGAAATTAAGACAAGGGGAGAGAAAAAAAAGAGAAACAAACATCACTCACAAGTAGAAGATGAAGCATGCACTTTTCATCAGAGGATCAAAGTAAAAGACAGAATACTTATCAGCACATGGGGAAGGGAAGGGATGTCCTTTGGGGAACTGACAAACGCCATGCCTATGCAATAGATTTCTGATCAGCAAGTTCTGTATACAAATAAAGTTGCAATCCAAAAGGCAAGCAGCACATGCCTCATTGCTTTTATCTCTGGGGAAAGGTAAAATTGTCAGGGTCAGATGGACGGTCTTAAACCCAGTAGCAATTTAGTAAAAAAAACAAAACCCAAACCCACAAATGAACAAAACCCCTCCACACCTCCTCAGGAGGCTGGTGTGACTGAATCCCTCCGCTTTGGACAAAAAAGATAATTCAGTGCTTTATGATGACCTTATCAGATCACAACACAGTAGGAAACAAAGAACATTTTATCTGTTGAACTGAAGACAGGCATGGTGATTTTGTAGAACATTAATCTTGTTCTGCACAACCACGCAAAATATAAGCGCATAAAGACCAGTTTCACCTTCTTTCTTAATAACGACCAGCTACCACTTCTGTTGCTCATACCTGAGTGAGGGCAAAAGAGGGCTCAATACAGGAACTGATGCTACAGTTTAGAAAACAAAACGTATAGGAAAACTGTGTGATAAGACAGCTATGCAATTTTAATGGCTCTGCACATTTGAAAATATTTCCTATTAAAAAAGAAAATGAACATGTTAAAACCTATGACCAAGGAGATTAATTTGAAATGTTGAAGCTATGTATTTTAAAAAATAGATTTCCTGGTTCAGGAGCAAGGTCACTGCATATTTTAACAATAGGAGGTGACGTAGCCTTGATTAACTTATTCAAAAAACGTTTTAAAAATCACACTGCCTTGAAAAATCTGCATCTGCTTGCAAAATACAAGTCATGAACTTTCTGTGCTCCTTCTGGAAGAGGAAACCCTGTCTTTAAGGAGAAAGAAGCAGTTCTGAAGCAAAGCAAGGAAAAGGTAGTTTGACAAAGACATTTAAAGCAGCAGACGTGATTGAGAACTGCTAACGTGCATGACAGAGCTGTTTTTTCATTTGTTTGGTGGTTTTTTTGCTCTCCCTTCCCCCACGAAATATTTTCTAGCTTCAGACAATACCAGTAAATCTAAGAAAGAATGACTGATTCTGGCTGCCAACAACAAGCAGAAAGTAAAGCGACAGGCATTCCTTGTTCATATAGCCTGGCTCATCAACCTGCAAGATAACTTACCCTACACCCAAATGTTCCATCCTGGACATCAGGTAAACTCAAACCTCGGTCTCATCTGTTGTTTTAAAAGCAAACAACAGGCAAATATCTGCTGTCGTTTGAATAACGGCAAATGTATTTTTAAGAAATTTGACAAAAATTTGTTCACTGCATCATCACATTTTATTTTCATCTAATTTTTCCAGAGATTTCATTATCCCGGAGAATACCCAGGATAATGAAAATTCTTGTTTAGAGCACCACCCATGGCTACCTGTCTTCACATAGTATCTCCACCCTTTCAGTGTTGCAATTTATCTTTACAGTGAAAGCCTATTCACACTTCCATGGCTGCCTTTCTTTTCTTACCTATGTTTAAAGACATTCACAAACTACCTTGACCCACAAACGTGAGCCTTTTATTTTCTGCCCCAAATACAAACACCTAAAGCTTTGCATCTACACATGCAGACCTTGTGTAGCTCCCTCTGAATTGAGAAGTTCTGGGTGTCCAGCACCTCTAGAGAGACAATGAGCTTTTAAGAGCGAGTGGTTGTCCTTTCACATGTTTATTTGTATCAATCAGTATTTTAAGCAGATCTATATGTATATGAGCCCAATTCCAAATAGATTATAATCTTCAAATCTCTATGGTTTCTCCAAAAAGAACTGTGGTTCTCACAAACATGACATTAGCAAGCAGCTGTGGTCCTTTGAAGAATACCACCGGAAAAACAGAGGGGATGGCCAGAGCTAGGAAGATCACTGCTGTACCTATATAGTGAGCCTTACAACAGGAGTGCTGTACACACATGCAGGAATCTGGTTTTAATTTACTTAAATGTCTAATGCTGACTATCACAAAGATCATAATAATATACTTAAGATTTGGTGGACATTTTGCACTGAGGCAGCACTTCTGCTAGAGTTCTTAAATAGAGAAACAAACTTTGGAAATTTCAATTAGGTGCAATGAGTATTTCAAGCTTAGGGTGGGAACATTTGCACATGAAAGCTGTTGACCTGCTTGTTCAAGCCCAGGACCAAAGTATTGTGTAAACCAGCAGAACTGCAGGGAAGACAGCCCACCATGCCAGCTTGCAAAAAGAAGCTAGGGCCCAGAAAAAACCCCAAACAATTAGGAGGAATGCTGAGCCCATAAAGCTGCTCCTTAAGCTTGCTAAAATTCAGTGGTCTGAAGCATCTGAGGAACATCTCTATACAAGTGGAGGATAAGGAAATTCTTGCAGGCAAATCAATTCATAGGTAAGTAAATGTTATTTTTGAAGTTGACTTTTCTAGCTGCAATCTCAGTTACAGCAGATCAACCTGCAGCAGTTGTGCCTGCATATCAACAGACAATATTTAAACTTTTCTTTGTTTGATTGCTTAGGGTTAAGACTTGAGCTGGTGTAAGGTCACTGGAAAGTAAAACTTGTAATTGGCTCTAAAGCCAACATCGTGTTGTTCTATTACTATTATTGTCAAGTTTGTTAGTAAATAAAACACATACTGTTCTAAATGCTTTTACTTTAGTTTCTAGAACTTCTTCACACCTACTCCCTATTCTTACTGTGCTTTTTGAAGAGCTTCCCTAATGAGGTTGCAACAACTACTTTTGACATTGATGTGTTATTGCAGTCCTCCGAGTAATAAAATCAGGTACTTTTCCCATTATGCTTTCATAACATTTCCCATGTCTGCAAAGTCATCCTTGGTCTTAGTTTATAATGCGTAGCAATAACATACTATTTCAAACGCTATACATGCAATAAAATTAGTAAGCCTATTTCTTACTGCACTGTGAAAATCAAGACAGTATAATGCCAGGTTTTATATTGACTGATTGCATGACTGGCTAGGTTCTGGTTTCCTCCCTAAGTGAACTCTTGGCTATGCTGGGGCTGGCTCAACTTGTGCCAAAACAAGAAGCATCTCAAGCTGCTGCTCCAGAAGTAAGGAGCAAACAAAGTACAGAAATGCTTCAGCCAAGACAGCTGTTGCACAGACTAGGTGCTCTGTTAGGCCAGCTGGAAAAATCACACCAGATTTGCAGCCTCACGTATTGTCAGCCATTACAAAAGCATCATACTAACTCCAAAAATCAAGGTGGCAAAGCGGAAACTCTTTTTCCAGGCTTTGGATTATTGGGAAGAAGAAATTTCATGCATTTTAAAAGATAAAAATCTAATTTAAAATCTAATTTCATTTTAGATTATAGTCTAATTTAAAAAATACAAAATCATTTTTATAGATAAAAATCTATATGCTCAGCATACATGACAGACATCTCACTGGTGAGGGAGGGAGGAGGAATATCAAACCAATCTTTCCAGATCACCCTCTATACATGTGAACTTAAAACCTTCTATTACTCTAAAACTTGTTGATTAAAATGTTTTAGCATGCCTCCCTGAACCTGGAATTGGCATTTATCAATAAATGAGGCCACTCTCCTATTACTAACCTTCTTCAAGTAAAGCACTCATCCCAGTGGAGCTTGTCTAGGAGAGTATGAGAAAAAAAATGACCAACAGCTTAAGATTAGAATTGTTGAGTTTACCTGGCATGATAACATCAGGAAATCCAAGCTTCCTGGTAACAGAAACACCTCTGTTAAAAATCATGGGGTTTTCCCTTCGAATCTGCTCCATGTCACCACGAAGAAGCTGAAGAGATATTATAAGTCCTGGGAAAAAAAGCCAAAGATGTTCATTTTTTCAGACCTAAAGGTGACATGTCTGTATATACAAGGCATTCAGGTAAAATAATGCTTTGCTCCACAGTTAATCTGATACAAATACATAAAACCAGAGTTCTTTTCTCTCTTGGAGTAATTCAAAACTGAAATGAAAGAAACAAAACTGCTTTAAGGCACCAGTTAAGAGCATAACATTATATGAAAACCAGAATACTTACTTTTGCAGGTATGTCAGAAGTTACAGTGAATTAATTAGCATTATTTCTGTTCTTCACATACAGCAGGTTACAACACAGGTATGAACAATGCTATCTCTTTCTGAACTACCACATCACACAACACTAGAGTATCTCTAAGGGGCCTTTAATCCTTCTTCATACTGCAGAACAGTATAATACCTGTTTCACTTATTTCTTTAACTACTTCATACAGGAATGTTGATTTTAATGGAATTCCCTTCGTTACCTCAACGTCTTTCAAGCGGATCAACTGGTCACACTGAGTTTATCAACCAGCTCTTTCAATGCAACCTTTTAGTGTATCAACTATATATAGCTTGACTGGGACTAATTACATGGTAAATCTCAGTCCAATTGCCTTCTCTAGTTGCTTTTAATTTATAGCACACTACACCCTTAAAAGGAGTATAATATATTGGTAAAGTTACAAAATCAAGAATTATGATACCAGAAAATGCCAGAATGAAACTTAACAAGCTTAGCCTCATCTGCTGAGCATACATTACCAGCTTCACATACCAATGAGAATTTTGCTCACATAGTAATTTTCCACAATCTTTATCTCCTTCAGTGAATGATAGTTAGTCAATAGTTCTTTCTGCCCTCTCTGTTCACCGACTGGAACAACACATACTGAAACAAACAGTGCCTTGTATACATAATCTTGCAAGAGCCGCCTAAAGTTCTGCATTTTCCTAAACTTAATATATTGGCTTTGCAAATATACTTAATCACCATTTTGTTCGGAAAGTTACATGGCAAAATGGAACCAGTAACCTCATGAACCTCCCATCCAATTTCTGCTCTCTTCCCTTGGAATAATATTCAGGCCTGTTGTTTAGCTTCAGCCAAATTTGGCAAGTAAATAGATACCTAGATAACATGGAGATTGTATAAGTTTTATGAATACTGGGAGTTGGAATGAAAAAAAGAACATAAAGCTTTAAAGCAAAGGAAAAGAGAGGCCAACCAGCCAGCTGGACAATCAGCATGTATATACTCAAAGGCTGCCAAAACACAGACTTGCAACTGTCCAGCGAAGTAGGCAGAAGAGCACTGCAAAGCACTGCAGGGAAAACAGAGGCTTTGTAACCATGGAAAAAATTCAACTCACTGAGTATCACCCAGGAGTGTACATCTGTGTGTGAATGTGTATAGAAGATTTAACAGAACATGAGACAAATTCTTTAGAAATCAGTCTTTTGCCACTTACGGGAGAAACCTGGTCATTTTAGAGCCTCTTTTTGTTATCAAAACCAAACAAATGAAAATAAATTTAAAAAATTCCAGCAGAAAGGAGTGGAGCAAATTTGGAAGTTCAGACCTCCCTCCCCACTCCCAGCACCCACAGTGCTTAACAGCACCAGAATCAATCTATTACTTATAAAAATCAGTCCCGAGAGGAAATATGCAATGTGATTTTCCAACACAGTATTACATACGTTACTTACATCATATCCTCTCACATATTCCACCCCAAATAACTTCCCTAAGAGGTTTTGTAAATCTACTCTCCAGTCCTCCTTCCTATCCAGCCTATCCTTTTGGGTTTTTCTACTTCTTGTAGCAGGTCTGAGAGCTGACTTTTTTACAAGACCTGGGAAGTGGGGAGAGAAACAACCCATGAGCTTTTCTTCAGGGGAAAATCACACCTGTGAACTGAGCAGTTCCTCCATGTAAGAGCAGGTTCTCAGAGGCCCAAACTGTACTACTTAGGCTTAAATCATGTCAGCCTGCAATACTGCTCCTCCCACAGGACCTCTGTCAAGTTCCAACCCCCTGCCCCAGAGATGTACTAGATCTTAATGAAATGGTTGAAGTAATTATTCTTAAAAGCCAAAGGCAAGAGTAAAAAGCTATCTATTTGCCTTTCTTTCTGCTCTTCAATAAAGTTCATGCTTGGGGAAAAAAATAATGAAAGTTTTAGGCAGACACCTGGCCTGGAAATAAATGCAAACAGCCCAAGTTTCAAAGTTATACATAATTCAGGAAAATGTTTTAATGATAAGCAGCGGATGACCTTAGCTGGAACAGGAAGAACAGCAGGGAAGGAGACCTGCTTTGCATATAATAAAGTTCCAAACCTAAGGACTGTTTTATTTGTTTGTTGTTGTACTTAATACCTTCTGCAGGAACTGCATATTCCACTACGATACCTCAATATACTCCATATGCTAACAAATGAAATTAAGACAATATTCGGGCATCAGTACGCTGATAGAAAGTATTTGGACATCAGTACGCTGATAAATCAGGCATGTGGTAATGAATGCAAAGGGAGCTGTAATGAAGCAGAACTGTATCCTATGGGCTGGGTCATTTGGGATGGAACTGTAATGATCTCTCTGAATTAGCAAACTGCAGAAATCATTAAATAAGGTAACAAGATAAGACAAAATTCACTTCCACAGTTACCTGTCATTAACTAGGAAAATAAAAAGGGATTTGAAAGGTGGCAAAACTCCTGCCAAGACAGTTATTCTCATGAACTATGACTTGAAACATTTAGCACTGCAACTGTCACAGAGAGTCTTCCTGATAATTAATTTGTTGGCACAAAACCACTGCTTGTTTTCTGGAGAGCCAGAATATTCTGAGCAGTCAGACAAATGTTAAGACAAATTGAACCCCTGGTTTTGCTTCTTCTGACAAGAATGAATGGTATCCTTGAGAGCAAGCTCTGGATATGTGTTATACCTGGAATTTTCAAGGGAATACAGGATGAAAAGGAAGACAGTTTTACTCAAGGGAACTCTGATGAATAAAATCTAAATTCTTCATTTCCTGTAGACTCAAGCCTGGTCACAGTGACTTAGTCCAGTGTCACAAAAAACACCTTTTAAAGGAACTCTGCCAATACCGATTGCTGCTTATGCTGTGTCCTCCCATGGGCTAGCAATTTTCAGACGCATGGTTACACTCAGTAATTGTAACAGCCAATAAATGAATACTCAAAGTAAGCTAATACTGTAACAGGCCACTTTCTCTCTTCATTGCTGACCTCTCTCAAGATAAAAATAACACTAAGGATATAACCATGAAGGAAATCTAGCATGCTGAATTAATGCCATTGTCAGCTGTATACAAAAGTATCATGCGTTGGTGTTTTCTTATTTCCTGGTTAAACTGACAGACATGATACAGCTTTTCACCTGTAAACTAAATGTGAATTAACTTCAGCTGGACTTTTAAATCACCACAAGTAAAGAAAAATTCAGCTATATATAATCCTGCAACTCACTGAGTTTCTTTGCCGTAAATAATTAACAATTTCCTAAAGCACATCTTCAGCTGATATTATGACAAAAACGTACAAGTCAATATTTACCATAGTTTGAGCTGGGTGCTGTGTATTTGGTGCTGGACTTGCGAATAATGTTTTCATGGATCTGGCACCATTCGTTTTCGTTGTTACACCTGAAATAAAAGAACACTAATTCAAGTTAAAAGCTTTATGCTGAATCATCTCAGGTCAGGGAAGTCAACTTTGCTGTAGAGATAGCATGAAAGGTTTTGGAAAGGCTGTGGGGTTTTTATGAATGAGAGAAATCCCATGTAACCCTTGGTTTTAAAAGTGGAAGACATTCCACAAACAAAACATTCCCAAATGGTTATTCTCCTTTTTATGGACACTTTAGAACCTGTAGTGATTTTTCTGTTATCAAAGTCATTGTTTCACTCTTCATACTATGACAGAATGAAGAAAAGTCGGGACATCCTATTTGAATTCTCTGCATGAATTAATGTTAAGCTGAAATTAACTCTTGTCATTTTTTACCTATTTTTAGTAAGATAAAAAAAAGTTAAAATCAAGAAATAAGTGAAATATGAAAGAATAAATAAAACCCTGTTTTTAGTATCTAAGTCATTTACAAGACTTTTGCTTACCCACGTATTTTACAGAGTTCCTTGAAACATGATGCATCCCCCCCCCCAAGCTGTAGAATGAAGATACATAACACCACAAAGTATACTTCTGTACATACATCATCTTCTGAGCATTTTTACAACTCTCTGTCATGTAGATGTAATTTTAAAAAGCATCTTTAAATACTGTTATATTTCATTTCTTATGTTACCATCTGTAAATCCTCAACCCATTCCTAGGATAGAAATTACAGTGTAATTATTTGACTGTAGATTTCTCATTTTTCTCAGCAGGAAAAATTCAGTCATTAGTATCAGTTCCATGAGGACGTAACAATTTGGTGTGTGGAATGTAACACAAGCAACATTCAGGCAGGACAGCTGGCTGCCCTTGATCAGTCAGATTCAAACCTGCTGGATGCGCATCCTACCAAGATGACCACCTAATGGCAGCATCTATAAACAAAATTGTTCTAATATTTCCTACTAACTCTTATCTTTCCTATTAGGATATACAATCAAAGGCTCATCTTGAACACAAAGGAGAAGAAGAACAATGGCAAGTGGGGAACAACATCTGCTGCAGGAGGATGTTCAGCACATTGTCCAGATAAAAATCCAGCAAGATCAGTCAGCTTGGATCCCTTTAAAGACTGAAATGGGCTCCTGCCTTTGGTGATACATGACTCATTACAGGATGCTGGGGAAGAGCATTTGGAGTTGTTCAAGACTTTATACAAGCTATAGGGAAACAGAAGGATAATGGTATAAAATAGCCCATGCATAGCTTGCTGTCAGCATGCTTGTCTGGCCATGCCCTGTGATGGAACCGAGTGTTTAAAACAACAGACTGGAGGAGTCTGCAGTGTGCATATGTACGTATATTTTCCACTAACAAGTTCTTACCCTACTAAGCTAGAAAGGAAAATAGGATGAGGCCTTTGGAGGTGTATGTGTTAGTATTAGCGTGTACTTTCTGCCTGTGTTGATCTGTGTGGCAGGCTCTAAGTGTATGTATGGTGTGTATGCACACACAGAATACAGGCTCAGCCTTGTACCTGGCTGGACCTGGGGGCATGGAGCTGTGGCAGCCTTACCTCTATCAGGCTACTGGATCCAGCAGCTCTTAACATCTCCCATCACCATTCCAATGCCTTTAGGAATTCTGGAGACTTCAGACTAACCGCATGACATTGTGTGCACTTACATGAGAGTTTCTCTCTGTATTTTTTTTATGGCTAACTTCCAATTTCCTCCTCTATTCTTAAGTTTTCTCAGGACTGTTTCCTCAAATTGAAATGTATTATCTTCAAAAAACAAGTTAATAAGAATTATGATGACAACAACGAGATACAACAAAGAGCGGGCAACGCCCTCTACTGCAACCTGATGCTACTCCATCACCATAAAATCAGACGGTGTAACTATGCAGTGGAAAGTCAAACCCATTATCTCTTACTGCTCCAGTCCATGCCTTATGTAGAAATATTCTGAAGTGGAGCAACATCATAAAAAAAACCAAAAAGTCTTCTGTAAATGACTTTATCTATAGCTCTATGGATATTCTCATTACTCTGATGGCAAGATTCTGGAGAGAAAAATTAGGGACACTGCAGCATTTTGGAAATTACATTCAACAGAGATGCCTGAGAGCACCAGAGCAGATGTTTCAGCTTCCTTTCCAGTCACGGAGAAATACAGATTCCTTTTAACAATACCCCCCCCCAAAGAGGAATAAAAAACACATGAGCAGAAAGCCAGCAAAGCAGGACACGGCAAAAGTTCACCTGGATGCTTTATTTTTTCTGGATCTTGGACACTTGAGTCAGAAGTGTCACACTTCTGTTTAGGATCCAAAGCCAAAACTTAGGGATGTTAGAGTGTACATCCTTGTCTGCTCATATTCCCTCTGTCTATGGACTTGTTCAAAAACTCGCCTAATGCCCCCTGGACTTCCTATTGCTGACTGTCTTCACATCGTCCTGTGGCTGTGCAACCCAGAAGATCATTACCTGCTTTCTAAAGCATACTTTCTTCCACCTTTTTTAATTTCATCTCCTACCAATTTCATTAAGCATCCCTAATTCCTGTGCAGCTGTATTCCATGAACAACAATTTACCTTCCACCATGACTTTTTAAGTTTTGGTTGGTTGTATCTGTTGCCATTACCACTTTTCTCCAAGTTGAAGCTCCACACATGCTTAATCTCTCTCATAAACAACACTATGACATTAAACGTTTTAACTGCTCTGCTCCATACCTTCTGTAACTACTATATCCTTTCTGGGAGGACAGAAACAGATACCCACACAGTAACTCAAGACAGGTCAGCACTGAAGTAAACTTCCAGAACTTAACAGTATGGCAAATTGACTACATTTGTACTTGCTCAAACAATCTCTCAAAGCCAAAACACAAGAGAGCTAAGACATTAATGGACAGCACAAACCCCTTTCAGTAATTGTGGTGTTCTGTGCCAACTCAGAACTTCAACCAATGTACAACTTACTTGTTGAAAACATAACAATTATCTTCACACTGCCAAGACATTAAAAGTAATTTTTCCTACTGCAAACAGTATTCTCCTTAACGCAGACAGATAACCTCTAGGACAAATTCTGTACCATCCTTACAGATGAGACTACAGAAAGTTTCTAACTTCTGGTTATTTTTTAGTTGCTCAGCCTCTGGAGAGCAAGTTAAAATAGATTTCAGCCTCCAGTGACTTACGCCTGCAAATTAACCTGGAACAAAGTTAACCCAAAATCAATGGACTGTGAAGATAGCTTAAAGCTAGTTTTGTACCAACTACCAACATAAGCTGCACTTTACATTTCCTGAACACAAAGAAGAATAATATTCTCCCAAGTTTGAAATGCTGGCCCAAAACCACTTGCATGTAATGCATTTTATTGTGTTAACATTCTACTTGTCTAAATACCAAATACATTACAAAATCTATTTCTCGTTCAAACACGAATTTTCTCCTGAGCCATCCATCACCTTTTCAGGTTGGCTGGTTCTACAGTGAATTTACCATTTGGAATGTTTGCCATACTACATCAGACCCTGATGTCAGACAGATGGGGACAGAAATGCGATGTACATTCTCGTCCAGCTGGGCAAATAGCAACAACTGAATTAACAAAAGGGAAAGGCATTCAGGCAATACACCACATTAAGAGGTGGGAATTTTAAGAGCTAGTGCTGGAGATGGAGGAAATAAAAGGACTGTGAGAAAATAGGACAAAATAAATAAAGACAAGATAATATGAAACAGAAACAGGGAAAGCTTTTAGGGGAATGGTAAGACTGACACAAAGAGTTCAATGATGAAAAGTTTCCATTAAAGATTAAAAAAAATCATAAAAACATAAAAATGGACTGACAATTTAGTTTCCATCTCACTTGTAAAATATTTTACATGTATATTATTAAAAAGAATTATAAAAGTAAACCTTCATGCTTTTACATAATGAGCTTATAACTAGAGCTGTGGTACTATATCCTCTTAGTAAGATTATAACATGACTGTGGGATTAGCAAACAGGAAAATCTGGATTGTGAGAAAGAAGTATTTTTCAGCCATAAATCTTTAACAATAATAAGGCAAGCTGAGAAATACTGGTGAAGTAAATTGATTTTTTTTCCTCACATAAGTATTCCCTCTTGTGGATCCAGCAAAAGTCTCCACTGAAACACCATGTTATTTGTCTCAGCCTTTGTCAGGTTTTCAGTCTCTCAAATTTTTTCCAGCTTCTCCCCATGAAAAGGCTTTTCTGGCTGTATGCTGACTGCCTCATTTGTGGCAGCTGGAAGCTTTAGCTTTAGCTAGATAGCGTACAAAAAGAGTGTCTTTTACTGCTTCTTTAAAAAAACAAATACACCTCCTTCCTTATTTCATCTTTATGATGTTTTTGGGTTGGCTTGAGGCGTTTTAACAATAATCAAAATGAGAACAGCAGGTAAAAAAATCAGTTCAGCATTTAAGCGTTCACGTATAACTTTAAACTTACAAAGGACAAAAATCTGTCATTTCAATTTTAGCCTATAAAAGCAGGAAAAGGTAGGTTAGCTAAAAGAATGCGCAAAGAGAAGATGCAAGTGGGTAAACCTGTGAAAACTTTCTGTCATGGAAGACCAACAGCTATGAAAGCCGCAAAATGGATAAGCTGGTGCCCTTCAGATACATCTGTTTTCCCTTCTGAACGTTTTTGTTAGATGCTTACAAAGAAAGTGCAGTAACATAAAACAATGATGTACAAGACTTATTACAAACCAAAGAAATGACAACAATGATAAAAAATTACAAGCATCTGATTACAGAGCTGAATTGTGTTATGGGTTCTACTTCCTGTCTGGGAAGGCAGTAATGGCTGTGTGTGGATGTTGAAAACAAAGTGTGGGGAAGCAGACATGAAGAACAACAGCTGGTATAAACCAACTTAACCACTTCAGTTCGTACTTTTGGTGTTGTGAAGGTAATCCATATTAACAAAGCACTTCAGATTAAGAGGAAGAAAAGGGGGAAGCTCTCTATCCTGTGATTTTGTTGACCATAGTACTAGGACTTTGGATTGCTCTAACTGGCTGCAGTACTTTTATTTGTCACTGACAGATGGGGAAATCCAGTAGTTTAGATTTTTCTCTCTGATTTTTCTGTGGGTAAGAAGCTAAAAATGCATTAAAAGGGCATCAAAAAAGAAATCTGATATTCAGAATGTTCCATTACTGTAAATATTCAAAATGCTGCAGTTCCAGTATATTAACACCATAGCTACAAGGCCAATATTAACATAAACTATATAACCAAAAACCACTGGTTTGAGACAAGCTGAAACTGAACGTTGACAAAACGCCAAGACTATGCAGATTCTATTGACAAAGAGAAGAAAGATGACAATTTTCTTCCCTGTAACTTTTTTGCTGCAGTTTTCATAACTGCTGGCAAAAAAAGAATGGAAGAACTGACTGAGAGACTTTTCTTTGGACTTGCAGATTTCTAATGCATGAAGAAATATCCAAGATCTTTCAGTGAACAGCAAAAGCCATTTTTCATTTACAGGCTCCCTTGAATGTCAAATTTTCTGCTGCTGAACGCACTTCTGAAAGAATAACCCCCCCAAGTTATCTTAGGACTCAGAATAGTGGCTACAGACCGCTAAATAATGTCAGTTGTATCTTGGGCAATCTGCAAAGCAGATCATGCCAGTATTTATCCTCACTGACAGGAGACTTAACTATTCCCTGCAGTCTCCAGACAGTTTGTCTGTTGCCTCTTTATTACAAGTGTGAGACCACATTTCATAATAAGAATTTGTTAGTTCAAAGTTCAAAATCACAAATAACCGTAGACAGATTCTTGCTCAAAAAATGTTGGCTTGTTTTGAGATTCTGGTCACACACTGTTGACTTCAGCTGTTATCTACTTCTTTTGTTGGATACCATGACTGATAACGAATAGGAGACGGGGCATGAGTACCTGCTCCCTTCACCAGGAGAAATACTGCATCATTATTTCATTTGCAGTTTAGCAGATTTTAAATAAATCACATTAATAAAAGTGCAGCTTTGCATATCACACAGATTTGGGAAATACTCAGTAATTTCTGAAGCATTTCACATACCTGAAACATCTTTGATAATATTCATTAATTTCTATGAGCTTCTGGAACAATAAAGGAGCAAAAACCAGTGCCAGCAGCACTAGTTCACCTTGTGGGGAGGATAAAGCAGCAAATGCAGTTAATAGCACCTTGATATTCGCTATGTCTTTAGTATCTGATCACTCAACATAGACAAAGTATTTTTCCTAACCTTCTTCCTTTAGGAGTTACTCACGTGTAAACTTTGAGAACAAAATCCTTTTCTTCTTTTATTTCAGAGATTGACTGAAGTACATCCATGATGCTCAGCACTGCACAGCCATAGGGGCGGCGATAGTGTAAATGAGGGGGCCCTTTTTTTGAATCATTCAGCAACATGCGACCTAAAATTAACAGAAATGTAAAACATTAGAGATCCACATGCAGCCATTTTGTCTGTTCCTTTATCCCTCTGAGCATGCATACCTATAGCAACTTTCAACTACAGCCTGCAGCCTTTCCTATCCTTCTGTATTGGGTCTGGCTTGAGACAGACTTAATTTTCCCCACAGCAGCCCATATAGTGCTGTGCTTTGTATGGGCAGCTAGAAAAGGTGTTGGTAACACACCAGCGTTTTGGCTGCTGCTGAACAGTGCTCATACAGCATCAAGGCTGTATCTCCAACATTCCCCCCACCTGACCCAGTAGGCTGGAGGTGGGTGAGATCTTGAGATGGGACACAGCCATGGCAGCTGATCCAAACTGACCCAAGAGATATCCTTGGGTCATATGATGTCTGCCCAGCAATAAAAGCTAAGAGAAAGGAGGAGAGAGCGCATTTGTTATTATGACATTTGTCTTCTGGAGCAACCACTACATGTACTACAGTCCTGCTTCCCAGGAAGTGGCTGGATATCGCCAGCTGATGGGGAGTAAAGAATACATCTTTTGTTTACCTCTGCTTCCATGCACAGCCTTTCCTGTATTAAACAGCTTTTACCTTCACCCACAAGGGGGTTTCTACCTTATTTTCTCCCCCACCCTGTTCTGATGAGGAATGATAAAGCAGTTTGGTGGGTACCTGGTGCACAGCCAAAGTCAACACACCACAACTTCGCACTCTTTTTCTTCTTACACTATTTCAAATCCAGAGGTCCACATGAAGCCACCTGACTGACTGGGCTACTCTGAATAAGGCACATCACCTCCTTCAGCTAACAGAACACTCAAGGGCAAAGTGAACAGCATCATGTCTGACCATCTTTGATTTGCAGCTCCATGACACATATTTGTATTTAGCTGGGTTGACTACAAATCACCTGTATAATGAGCCAAGAATACAGCTGGTAGTCTCCTCTCTGCACCCACACAGGGTTTCACTCTGGTCCTCCCATTACAGTCCAGTATTTACACTAATTTTCCCTTTATACAGCTGCTTTAAAGAAATGTATTATATATTGTGTCATCTCTCATACTTGTCTTGGGAGTGCATAAAGGAGAATTCTGAGGTACAAACCTGCCCAACTTTCTATTGTTAAAACTGTTTTTTAATGGAGTAAAAAACACCAAGACCAGAAAAATCACCACAATAATCTAAGCCAACTGGTAACATTACACATAGTAATTTGTCCAGCACTTCTTCCATCAAGCTTTAAAATCTGAACTTGAACTACACTGTATCTTTCTACAAGCTTCACTTATTACCTCCAGTGATGCAGAGTAATTCTAACCCTTCCACACTTTATGACACAGTGAAGCCAGATAATGAAAAACCAATCCTTCCAACACCTCTGTGACTTAGAAGGCACACTGTCAGTCACCGGATAACACAACAAAGCTACAGCTTCAATAAGCTGTTTAGATTGTCTGTATTTCAGAAAAGGTACCTGTGACTGGTAGCACATGCAAGTAGTGAATGGGCTGGAATTAGTGTTAAATACCCTTTCACTGGCCTTTTTTCAGTTAACTGAAAACCTGAAACATGTGAAAGAGAGTGCACTACTCAGTTGTTCAGAATAAAACAGCTGAAGAGACTGTTACTCCTATTTTATGTTGATAACAATTTCAGCCTAAATGTTTGAAATAAGACATATTTAACATAGCTAAAATTCATACTTGATAATTTCTCCATGGAAGTACACACATTCATAATTTAGAACCATTTAAGTGCAGCTGTAGTTAACCCTGTTATTAACTCCCTGTACTAACTAATGATACCCTTTTTAACCAGAGCTTTTTTCTACCAAACACCTTCCATCTAAAAGAGATTGTAGCAATTTAATTCTAATACCAGAAGTTACACAGTCATATAGTCACTCACTTAAACACACTACTCAGCTAAAAAGTCCATCTAGCTGTCCATGAACTACTTTTCAGCACTGCAATATGCCTTGTAAGACACATTCTAAATTCAGTTTCGATCACAGACACTTTCCATTCCTGCTACTGCAAATCTCAACAAGAATAAATTAAGCCTAGCTTGGCCTATGAACAGTCAGAGAAACCCACTCTATAAAGGTTTTCTAGTCAAGTGAATAAGCAAAGAAGGGCTTTATTCCTTGGGTAGGGTCAGGTGCTGGCACTACACATCCAGATCTTTCCTTTAGACAGCTGTATGTGAGCAGCCAAGAGAACCTGAAAAGCAGCAAGCGTATCCTGCTAAATGTTGGGCTGCAAGCTTGACAGGCTTCCCACCAGCAGGTACTTCTGCTAATGCTCCTTTCTGGCATCAGCAGGTAGGAAGAACACCTGACAGGTGTGACAGCTTCCCTGCTCTTATGTTTTACAGGCATCTGCCTAAACTTGAGTGTGGGTTCTTGGAAGCACTACAGACTCCTACACAGGAGAAACCAGATTTTTACATGTATTTGTCTAACAGCCTCTGGTTTACTAGATGTGATGGCCAGGTATGCTGATGCCCTGTCCTGCTAACTAAGTATATATCAGTAAGAAGACCTCATTTTAAATTTTGAAACATTAAACTAAAAGCCTTTTAATTTCTCCATCTTCCCCCAAACATGGCATTTAATCAAGTATTTTGTTTCATACTCAGAAAAAAAAAAAAAATCACTGTGAAACAGTCATCAGTAACTTCATAACACTTAGCTACATATGGTCTGAATATTAATCTCAGCAGATAGGCCTGGTCTATGACTGAGTTTTGTCACTGGTTAAATCATAATGTCAATTAAAAACACACCTAAAAATAAGGTAAAACCATAGTTAATTATACATATTTCAAGTTTTAAATCATACTGTACCTATTCGGATTACATGGGCAACTATGTACAAATCTCTCTTCATGTCCTTACTGCTGAGATCCTAAAAGATTGGAAAAAATAGAGACATTAAAAAAAATTAACTTCCAAAATAAGGGTCTGCAAAACTCCCACAAACAGTAACAAGGACCACACAGTACTACTCTCCATTCACCTAGCTCCTCCATCTTTAATAAGAGAAAGTATTATGATTTCTAATTTACAGACAAGAAGAGTAAAGTATAGAAGGATTACAATTGGTTGAATAGTCTTTAAAAGGAAAATAAATTGAAGCTTCTGACTCCAATGATATATCAAAATTCTGGCAAACATTTAAAATATTCATTTAATCGTTAATTCAAACACATTATTAGAGTGTATTAAATTTGCATGGTAAATTTAAACACTTGAGTTACCTTAACTGCACCTCTTCTGGCTTCCTTCACCCCATCCCCTGACTGCAGGTCCCAGCCCTGTCTCTAAGACTTTTCCTTCCCTTCTGCTTTTCTTTTTTGTCTTTTGACTTCTCATTGTGTAGTCTTTGTGCCACACGATGGCTCTGGAAAAGTCTGCAGCATGACTGTCACAATTCAGATTCAAAATGTGTTTTGAACTAATCTCTGTTTTAGGAGTCGATTGGTCCAATTCCTCCGAACAAGTAAAAGTCTCAACAGGAGAAAAAGTGGAAGACTCAGAGACATGGTTTATTTGCTTGTAAATGTGTTATTCTTTTTCATAGGTGTTCATTACATTATGAAAGCAGCAAGGCAGTGTCTCAACCATGAGGTCAGAGAGCCAAGGGCAGCTAGTTCATAGCTAAACTTCTTCAACATTCAAAACCAGGGCAGGATGCATGCAAAACTGCTGTCTAGAAATGCTCTCTGCCCCATTCTAACTGCTGAAACATGCCGAGTGATGATTTGAGGAGCACAGTAGCTGGAAAGGGCCGCATTTGGCAAAAAAACATTCTAACAGTTTAATGACATTTGAAACAGTGATAGTGTATTAGAAAAACTAAGAAATAAGTTCAGTTTTAAGATAATTGCTTAGCAAAACACAGGACTTTAAGATCTCTGAAAAGTTATTTTTATGGCAAGCTGTCATATACATGGATGCCAACTCTGAAGTTCCAGGTCAAAACTTAAAAATGAGCTTGAAGAACTGCAAAAACTGGGAAAAGGAGAACCTACAGAAGAGCTGTAGGAAACTGAGGCTAGTGAAGAGTAGGAAAGAGTAGGAAAACTGAAGCTAGTGAAGACAAAAAGTGTTATTGGCCCTGACAAAGCTTTATTATTAAAGAAAATGAATTAAGAATTATGCATAAAGTACTTCCCAATAATTCACTACTGTGGCATTTTGCCTTCACATGTTTGAAGCTGTCTTAATTGCAATTTCCTTGGCATGTTGTGCTTTTCTCTGATAACATTATAAACAAAAACATTCCCCTCTCTTCTTTTTTTAACTGGAGAAAAGAACTAGGAAACACTTCTTTCTAAAAACATTAGCATTGTTAAAACAAGTTTTCCTTATGTTACTAACCTCCAAGACAAGGAGATTCTAAACACCACATGTTTGTGTACTATGAGAATATTCATTCATGACTCTGTTGCAAAAATGTTCTTTGTGATCTATAACAACAGCTGTTGCCTCTTTCTTCCCTCTGCTAAGTGCTACCATCTTACTGTTACGTCCTGACTTACACCAGACAGCCTTCAAATTCTCCCCAGATGTAAAGGGCATTGCTCCATTCATTTCTCAGGAGAAGAGCAACTGGAAATGCAAAATGATTAATGTATTCTTCCTAAGAACATGGGAGAGCGAAGTGTGAATGCATAGGAAAGAGACATACCCAAAAAGGAGGGCTTCAGCTCAGTTCCTGCTGTTTGCTTCACTCCTCCCCTTACACTGAAGCAACTGACATCACCTCACATTTTCCTCAAACAATTTTTTTGTTGGTTTGTACAAAATGATTTCAACGTAAGGCTTTTTAAAAACAGCTCTAGGGCTTTCACATATGACTTCACAAACAACTTGAGATGATAGCTATGTGTTCTTCTACCTCTTTTTTTTTTGTTCCCTTTTCAATTGAATAAAGATACATATCCCAGAAATAACTGTCCCCTCTAAAATGTACAGCTGTATGGGGACAACACTGGTGGATTTGTCTATGCACGAATGTAGCTTGGACTTCTAATACTCTATTTTTTGTGTGTTAAAAAACAAAGCAAAAATCAACTGGAAAAATATCAGGTTCAAATAAAACCTAGTATTTTCCTTAAAAAAAGCAATTAAATGGTATTAAAAGCACTGTAAAATGAAAAAAAAAATCCAATTTTTACATAAATGGGGAGAAAATTTTAAACTGTGGACATCTAAGTTCTGTCATTCCTAATTTGAACTAATTCAGTGAATTAAAAATTGCATTTTGCTGGAAGCTAAGATATGAACTTTAAAAGTCACACAGAAAATTCCTTCCCCATGTGACTTGAGAAACCAAATCTCAACTACTGAGATTATGATGGCAATGCACATAAACATTGAGCTTCGGATTAAAGTGACATATAGCACAATAAAATCTGGGCCCACTGACTGAGAGCTAGGCATAAAGAGAATTTATTCTAAGGAGAAGTTTCAGTCCCTTTCAAATACTGTTACATTGCTAAATTACAGCAGGCAAGTAATAAATTCATGGCTGTATCTTCTGACTCCATTTAAAAGGAGCACTGTGTTTCTCTGGGCAGCATATGCAGAGAGTTGCAAACACACTGCTTGGTATGCTTACCAGCTAGCAGATCATGCCTCTCTGAAGCCAAAGAATTAAGCTATATAAATCTTCTTTTATCGTTTTCTCTTCAAGTCTTATTTTGCTGCTGCATGAATAAAGGAACATACTTTCCAGGCTTTCATCACCTAACATACCAACACAGCATATGGTAGGCTTTAGCGTGCACATCCTGGAGAAATTGAAGTTCCATGGTAAGAAGGGATTTGACATAGTTTTAATCTCAGGAATGCCTGACAATACATTGAAAAAGCAACAAAACTTGGAGGTAGTATTTAATACTCTAGAGAGTAACAGATTTTTGCAAGTATCTGTGATCTGACAGGGAGTATTTTATTACACTGTCAGATTACCAGTTGTAACTAACAGCAATTTAGAGAACTATTTTTCCAAAGGGCAGCTGTCAAAATATCAGGAAATGGAGGGCATGAACATATTGATGGGTTCACACTTCCGTCGCTTTTCAGTTTCACAAAAAATATACTGTGTCACAGTCAAAAGACAAAAAAATGTGGGCCCAGATGGCCTTGTATTTCACTTTGTACAGCAGAGGCTTTTTACAAGGCGAGAAATTCTTCCTATGACATGGACAAACACCAAAAAACTCCAGCCCCTTTGAGGAATTCTTCAGGTAACTTCTCTGTAGAGAATCCACACACGACTTAGGACCAGAAAGGACAAACTAAGTTCATTATTTGCCTGTGTGCAGTATAAATAAACCAATATCCAGAAAGGTGCTCTTAGGCCTGCGTCCACAGGGGAATTATTTCCCACATCCTTCTAAGCTTCTTAAATGGTACTGCTTGATAAGCAAAATAATTTCATAATAGTTCTAATTCCATGGCTTGTTAGAAAATCACCTCTTTTCCCCCCACCATACTGGATATGGAAAAATGTTACTCTATAACAAAGGTTAGCTCTTTATCATGCTGGTCCCTATAAAGGTCTAACTGTATGTTAAAAAAAACAAATTCTACCACCCCCAAATCAGTGAATCCAGGATACTTCACTGCCTGGAATCCAGGATACTTAACTGACCAGTTATTTTAAAAGCTTTACCAAATTCAGTTGCCAACATCACAGGTGACAGAGTGAGGTATTTAACAAAAATAGCAAGCTTATACTGTGTGGTTACGTTTTAATTCAGACACAGGAATGTTTTTAAAGCATGCATAGGCTGAGGTTTGCTTGAGTGAGCTTTAATCTTCTGAGAAAGCAGTTTTTCACCTTTAGTGTGATATGACAACAGATGTAAAAACACTACCTAAGTGATTTTGATATCTCACACAAGGAGACAGCTGAACCCTTAGAAGCAGAAGAGATGGCAGGAAAAGGCAGGCATACCTTGAATTATCTAAGATATAGGGCTTCTTGCCTCTGGGAAAGATTAGTTTCAGAAAGATACTGTGGGGTGGTGGGGGAGAGTGAGGAAATCAAGAGTTAAAACTAACACAGCCTTAGGAACAAACCTGAAAATTGTAGAACTACCTTATTTTATATGCATTTCATAATTAGGAAGTTACGATAATTTCATTGCGGATACAAGGGTTATTCAAAAAGCTATTATTTGTTGCTCCTTTGCTACATACTTTGGGAAGTTCTTTGACTACACTGACGAAAAATATCAGAAGTGTGCAATTTTTTGTACAATTAGTTTTCCCAGTTATCATTATTCCCGTTACGAAGAGTACACGTTCTACCAGAGAGAGTGATAGATAACAAGTCTAAGCACCCCAGAGAGCTACTACTGCAGGAGCTTTGGTATTTTTGTACAGCTAAATTGAAAGGTAGCTTGGGAGTGATCCCTGGTCAGAAAGATAGTGCTACAGAGTGGCACCAGATTGCAATGCTCAGGGCTGGCCTCTTTTATACTATGCTAGCCTGATTTGCAACATGCAGCAGGTCTCACCTGGAATGTTATGCCCCTGGCCATAGCAAATCATTATTCTTTTTGTATATTTGAAAGCGTGCAAAGATGGGTCTGCAGGTCAGTGGAGCAAAACTGTTTCACACTTCACAGCATGGTGTGAAACGGAGGTTTTTTACATGACCTTTAAGCAGCGTGGCACCAATGCAGATGGGGGAAGTTTGATGGCGAAAATCTTTTTAAGAATTATGAACCTTAGAGGCCAGAAAGTGCCAAACTTGATATGAACCAGTCTGTGCTGCCTTTTGGGAATAATCCTGAGAGCAGTTCTTACTCCAACACTGCACTGTTTCGCATGACCCAGACACCAGTGCTGAAGCCTGCTCCCTGGCCACCTTTCTCTGAGAAGAGGAAGATACTTGGGTTTGAGTTACCAACAGTATAGTCAGTGCCAGGGGCAATACTAAGACACTGTTACCTCTGATGACGTTTAATCAGCTGGTAGCACTTTACTGATGGTACCAAAACTAGACCTGCTACTCATGTCAGCATCAGTGCTATTCTTGGATTGACCTGCATCTCATATCCAGATGGAGGCAGAACTGGGCATCCTTATATCCTTACATACGTTCTGTTCCTTAAAAGGAGAAATTCAGCTATCTTCCTAAAGGAGAAAAGGGAATGGTGCTGGGAACCATGCCTATTTCAGAAACCAGCCCTGCCTGACCTTAGAGGGTTTCACTGCCAGAACGTAAGTTCATACCAAAGCTGCCTGCCATGTTTTTTTTCACTGGAGGTAAAAATACCTCTGTCAAAGAGCTTCTATCATGTGTACTAGCTAAAGGTGCGTCACGATGGAAGGTGTTTATCACACTTGGGATCTGAAATTCCTTACAGTTATTCTGTGATGAGCTGTTAAGTTTCAGTGTCTCTAGATTTCCATATTCTTTCTGAGAAGAAGCAGCAGATAAAATCATGGTCTGACACATGACTCTGAGGCAATGTTTAACAGAAGTTAAGACCAACACAGAATGGATATTAAGGCTTGAGGTTTTTAAAATTACTATCTTGGTATAGCAAAACTATAAAACAAGAAAGCAGTTAGGTGAGAGGTGAGTCTGAACTATTAAAAGGAGGTAAATCTTAGTTGGCTATTTTACTCTCAACTGAGGTATCATCTGGTAGGAGCCAGATGGGTATTCCTTATCCTGTCTCTCTGGCACAGATGGTTAAAGACTGCTGGTACTGTCGGTCATATCTGCCTTGTGTCAGGATGGGGTAGCTATTGCACAGACCTGCTACAGAAACTTAGGAAGTCACAGTGTTTCCTTTATCACAACCACCTCTCTGCAGCTCAACTTGGCTGCTGCTTCTGCAGCACATCCTGGTCTGTTCTGTTCCATCACACACACTGCGCTACAGACCTGGGAAGATGCTGCAGCACCATCTACCTGGGGCTGCTACATGCACTCTTGAACAGGCCATGACAGAAATCTGTTTGGAGAATTTTCTGGGTTTCCGTGTGTGGTGTTGTAGTTGTTTGATAAACTTAGATTGTGGAAAAAGTGCCTTGCTTCACATTCAGGCTAACCTGTGACCTGTTATCTAAGAGTACATGCAATGAAAATACTCAAAATTTCAAACTACAAGCAGGAATAAATGCACTTAAAAGGAAGTACTTCAGTATATTTACTTAGCCAGAAGAATAATTTATAAGTATGTCCATTTTCTTATTAACATGTAATTATAACAAAACTTAAAATCAGCTTCTGTTCCACTCAATAAATTGGAAAGAAAGAACTGGGTTTTCTCCCCTCAGGGTGACTATATCTACAATCAAACTACTGTAAGGGAAGAAGAAAGGGAACAGACACGTACTGTGAAAAGTGCACACATTCGATCTATCTTCTCCGGGTTTCTGGGGCCTCCGTTCTTGTTTAACCTCACCATAAACCTCTCACTAAAAAGCAAACGACATTAAAAAAAATTAGTAAGAGTTTCATGTACACACTTCAGCATAAAATACAGGTAGATTTCTTTTAAAAGATGCACTGGGTTTTATACTTTTTTCTTTTTTTAAATCCCAAATAATACTGAACAGGTATTAGATAATAGAACCCACTGATATAGATAACATTACATGGAATAGCATGGAAGACTTTTAATAGCAAGTACTCCGCACGTGAAAACATCACACTGATGCATATTCATGATGCAATAACATTATAATAATGTGAATATATGAAGCACAGAATTTGAACATATTACAACTACTTCAGGCAAAAGCTAGGGCACACTTGCTGAGGAGTACATTGCCTTCGGTAAAACTGAGTTTATTAACATCCACTCAAAACTACAGGCAACAAGAATACTGATTAAGCAACCTCCTTCCACTATACTATTTATAGAAGCAACATACTAATTCAAACACATCAAGATTCAATTGACAGAAATGCTTATAAATAAAATTAAACAGTCTTTTTACGAGCAAAACCAGCACGTGTAGCCAGACTGCAAGATAAATGATCCTTACTATGGCTGCTAAACCATGGACATTGATATTATTTCTTAAGATGGAAGAGAATTTCTGTATACAAATAAATCACATGAACAGTTCTAAAAAATATAGGTTTGAAACAGTCTAGTACTGGTACAACCTATACCATAATTACAAATACACACGTGTGATTCACACATGTGAAATCAAGCCCTTACTAACCCTACCTGTAATTTACCAAACATCATATCTTAGCCTTTTCACTATGGCATTATGCTGTCCATTCTAAATACTGATACATTTTCAGAATTGCTACTACCATCACAATTCTGTCACCTTGTTATACACCTTCACGTGTTTATTTGCTTAAGTTCATCTTGCTGAGCAATCCAGATCATGCTCTCTCCCTGTTACTCACTATTACCCCAATCTCCATGCATCCCACAACCTCATTCAACGATAATTTCAAGTAATCTGCAGCACATGCTTATAAACCCCAGAGATTGCCCACATGCCCCAAATGAAACCACAAGAAACAGGTATCTGATGATTCTTTACCTACAATTACTTTTTCAGATGTCAATTAGTAAGTTAATAATGTTTTAGCAAACATTTAGCTTTAATGACATCATAAAATCTAATATTTTAGTAAGAATTTTATGGTGTGTGAAGCGGAGTGCAGTACAATAATAGTTACATTACAACTATATTAAGTGCTCATAGCTACTTCTACCTACCTAACACATAAACCATAAAAAATTAAGCTACAACTTTCAACGTAAGACCTATGTTCAATAAAACCACATTAATTCCACTCTTAACCTTTATCATTAACTCAGTCTTGTGCACATTATTTTGCTGGCAACTAATTAAGGTTGTGAAACCACACAGTAGCATGCAATTCAAGCAGGATGACCAAAGTGGCTGCTTCTCCCAGCTGTTTGCTTCAGTCCTTTGTAGCTCCTGCAAAAGGGCCACCTGAACAGGACCTCCAGTACCACATCAGCAATTAAATGTTAACAGAAACTCAAATCGGTGTTAGTTCAGTGTCAGTTGCTGGTATCACCTCAATGAATTTCAGAAGAGGAGCAGGCAGGGCAGTAGCAGTGATGCCCACAGATAAGCTCTAGTTAATGCAACAAATAACTGAGAAGATAACACACCATCAGTTTCCAAATAGAAATCATGCTTGATACCAGCAAAAATATGTAGCAATTTAAAGAGTTATCAACTCATAGTCATGTTCCTTTCAAACTGCAGAGTCAAGCACCAATATTTCTAATGCCTTTAAAAGTACTGCCTAGGGGGGATTTAATTCATTAAATCCATTTCATTTTAATCCTTGAATCGATTTCATTGTAAATTTTTTCATTTAGAAAAATGAGGAGGTAACATGCATTTCTTTTTGGTTACAAGTGTAATTTGTAAAATATATCTCCTTCCATAAAGAAAATTCCATCAAGAAAACAAACAAGAATCCATGATGACCTGCAGAGTCACAGAAGTTACTTTCATTAAATAAATACTGGTCCTCTTCAAAGCTGAACTTGAAAAAATGACAATGATTGTAGTTTATTTCTTAAGTGTAAAACTTCCAACACCCCCTGTGAGCACACTCAAAAATAATTACTGTAATTACTAGGTCTGCAGGGGAAAAATGTATCCACTAGTGATGTCCATCCAAAAATCAAGATGTAACTCAAAGCTGGTTCACTCATATTTGACCGCAAATCCCTGGAAGTTATTATGCCTTATATAATAAACACCTGGAATATCTTCACTTTCACTGCAGTGGTCAGATCAAGGCTGGTTCTCTTAATTGAGTGGATGACTGATATTTTAAAGGGAAACCATGAGCAGAGCACCAAGCTCTTCTGTGAGATGAAGAATTGATTAGAGAAAAGGAAAAATAGAAATTTGAAAATGTACTGCTGACTGAGAGTATTTTCAAATTCTGGTAAAAATACAGGAAATACATGCTACTATTCAGTACTATGGAATCATAAAACGTGGGTCACCGATAAACTGAGTTAAAGGCAAAACCAGACAAATCATTAAAACTGCCCTCCATGCAAGAGTCCATCTTACCCTATCAGCATCCTGTCTCCAACAACATCCAGTGGGGGATAATTAGGGGAAAAAAAATAGAAGACTAAAAAAAAGTATGGGATAATATTCTGCTGATATGTACTAAGAGCTTACACCACAGTGCAGCTCATGAATAACAGCAACACCTTCGAGTTCAATAGGCCTGGATATACTGAACCCAGAAATGTATTCATGCTTAAAAAATCCTTACTAGCCATTGAGAGACTTTGTTAGAGAATGAACTTTGCAGCAATTTATAATACATATATGTGCCATACAAATGCATATATATACATCACAGAATCACAGAACGGTTTGGGTTGGAAAGGAACTTAAGATCATCTACTTCCAATGCCCCTGCCATGGGCAAGGACACCTCATACTAGACCATGCTGCCCAAGACTCTCTCCAACCTGGCCTTGAACACTGCCAGGGATGGAGCATTTACCACTTCTCTAAGCAGTCTGTTCCTCACCATCCTCATAATAAAGAACTTCTTCCTTAGACCTAACAAGAACTTCCCCTGTTTAAGTTTAAATCATATAACACAACGAATCGAAGAATTAAAACTCCTTAAATTGAAGTTCTTCAAGAAATAATGGTAAAGCTATTCTTTTACCTCCACTGATCTCAACAATAATGTTACATATTCTATTTTAAATCTCGAGTAAGTTTCGTATTTTTGAACTTCCAACACTTTCTTTGAAAAACTATTTCACCACTAGTAAGCACTTTATTTTTATAACTGTAGTTGAATACAATATTGTGTCCGACGGAATCCCGTGCAGGCTGTCCCTTTGACAATAGCAGTCAAGGCTTTATTTATACTTGATTTATCAGCAACAGTCCTATTGCTTTGTCTGCTTTCAAAACATCAAAAGAGAGGTGTTCTGGAGGCTCATTTGATAGCCTCGTGCAAGGTTTTGCTCCATTAACAAGTATTTTAAAATTTGGAATTCACCCTTTTTCTTGTTACAGCCACAGAGAAAATCTGGTTCCTGTCTCCATATTTGTGTGCTTTGCAAGAAATGAAGCAGACCACCACCTTTTTTATCTGCCTTTTCAGCAACTGCTCCCTTATTCCAGCACTACCTGAGTAACAACCTTTAAATTCCTTCCTTTAATTTTCAATCATCCCCTGAGTCCTCTTGAGTTTGTGTGACTAAATAATTAAGGGAACTTCGAGAAAACTGCAGCATTTGAGAATGGTGGAACATGATGAAAAGGCATCCTGTCAAAGGAGAGATCCACTGACAGGACAAGGAGAATGAAAAGAGAACAGTGCTAACAGGCAATCTTAAAAGCCTAAGCACCTCAACTTCTCCCACCTTCCCCTGCAGGTCATTTCTCCTAAACTTACAATTTTGTTTCTCATCTCCAGAATTTCTCTCATCTTCAGTATTACTGATCAAGAACAGTTTATAAGAGCTAGTCTAAATATTCCACTAAGGTCTCACTAGTGCTGATATTGTTAGTATATCCTGGAACAGGACTTGAACCTTTTCAAACTGTTGACCTATATTACAAATTACTTAGTAAAATGCTCTCCATTTTACAACTGCAGATTTATTTCTATGTCAAAGCAAACCAGGAAGAACAACCCTGTTTGCAATGATCTGAAGATCCAGTGCCTTCAGCTATCATTACAGCTCCTTTTTTAGACAGAGACACACATTGAGGGTCAAGAAACCTAAGAGAAATTCAGTCACTTAATTTTTTATTTTGGCAGCTACTTCCTTTGAAAGAGTTCAGTCTTCAGTGTCTATTCCTCAAGATCATCTTCTGCACAAAGACAAAAAGCATGCATAGAATCTAGACAAAATTAAAGCCGAGTTTAGTGAGACAAAAATATCAAATCTGAGTAAACTGCAAATGGAAATAATCGCCCAGGTTTCTATGCATTAAACATTATTCTTATTATAACTGAATATTCTCTAATTACTTAAAGAAAACAGGCACATGCTACTCTGTTAGAAAACCCTGAAATACATCATAAAGAACATTTAAAAACCCCCTATAAATGCCAAATGGGTGGTGGAAATGGAGAATAGGGAGGTACTGAGTGCTTGATACAATCTGACTGCTTGATCAAACTACTGTAAAAAAAACATCTCTTTTTTAGTTACTCTGAAAATACATCAAAACCAGTTCTCTCTTGCATAAAATTGGAGATAAGAACCAAAATGGAGAAAAGAATTAACATTTTACCTTGTTGAGTTCAGACCTAAAATGCGCTATACCAGTAAGTAGCAGTATCTTAAACAAAAGCTTATTTATTCCTCTTGTTCCTACAGGCTATAAGTAATCATCAATTACCTTAACGGCAAGATCTCCTCCTGTGCTAACTCACATCAGAGTGAAACCATCTCTTGTGC